CATAGCCCCCATAGCCCCCACAGCCCCCATAGCCGCTCACAGACCCCCATAGCCGCCTACACGATGGTGGTACTGGTGGGTGCTGGTGCTTGGCCGGCTGCTCCCAGTGTGCTGGGAACGGGGGCTGGAGCTGGCACCAGGACCCATGACAGGAGCTGGAGCTGGGAACATGAAATGGTGCCAGGAACCCAAACTGGTGCCAGGAGCTGGAGACGGTGCCAGGAACTGGGGCTGGTGCCGGGGACCAGGAACGGTGCCAGGACCAGTAACGGTGACGGGAACCAGGAACGGTGCCGGGACCAGTAACGGTGATGGGAACCAGGAACGGTACCGGGATCAGGAACGGTGCCGGGATCAGGAACGGTGCCGGGACCAGTAACGGTGCCGGGACTCAGGAACAGTGCCGGGACCAGTAACGGTGCTGGGGACCAGTAACGGTGCCGGGGACCAGGAACGGTGCCGGGACTCAGGAACGGTGCCGGGACCAGTAACGGTGCCGGGGACCAGTAACGGTGCCGGGAACCAGTAACGGTGCCGGGACCAGTAACGGTGCCGGGACTCAGGAACAGTGCGGGAGCAGTAACGGTGCTGGGACTCAGGAACAGTGCGGGACCAGTAACGGTGCTGGGGACCAGTAACGGTGCCGGGGACCAGTAACAGTGCCGGGGACCAGGAACGGTGCCGGGAACCAGTAACGGTGCCGGGACCAGTAACGGTGCCGGGAACCAGTAACGGTGCCGGGACCAGTAACGGTGCCGGGAACCAGTAACGGTGCCGGGACCAGTAACGGTGCCGGGACCAGGAACGGTGCCGGGAACCAGTAACGGTGCCGGGACCAGTAACGGTGCCGGGACCAGGAACGGTGCCAGGAACCAGTAACGGTGCCAGGAGCAGTAACGGTGCCAGGACCAGGAACGGTGCTGGGACCAGTAATGGTGCTGGGAACCAGGAACGGTGCCGGGACCAGGAATGGTGCTGGAACCAGGAACGGTGCCGGGACCAGTAATGGTACCAGGGATTAGTAGCAGTGCCAGGACCAGTAACAATGCTGGGGACCAGTAACGGTGCTGGGACCAGAAACGGTGCCAGGGATCAGTAACAATGGGGACCAGTAAGGGTGCCGCGACCAGTAACAGTGCTGGGACCAGTAACAGCGCTGGGACCAGTAACAGCGCTGGGACCAGTAACAGTGTCTGTGTGCGCAGGAACACGCATGTGCCCGTCCGCCCCTGTCGTTAACATGTGGGACTGCACATACATGGGACCGCACACACGTGGGACCGCACGCACGTGGGACCGCACGCACGTGGGACCGCACGCACGTGGGACCGAACACACGTGGGACCGCACGCACGTGGGACCGCACGCACGTGGGACCGCACGCACGTGGGACCGCACGCACACGGGACCGCACGCACGTGGGACCGCACGCACGTGGGACCGCACACACGTGGGACCGCACGCACGTGGGGCCGCACACACGTGGGACCGAACACACGTGGGACCGAACACACGTGGGACCGAACACACATGGGGCCGCACACACGTGGGACCGCACACACGTGGGACTGCACGCACGTGGGGCTGCACATACGTGGGACTGAACTCGTGCACCTGAACACGTGTGTGACCCCCCTGTGGAGCATGCACACGCGTGTGCGAAAGGAGGTGCAACACAGGCACGAACACGCATGTGAACACACCTGCCTGGCTGCACATGCACACACATGTGATGGCCTCGTGCCTCCTGGTAAATCCCAGTGCCTCCCAGTACGCCCCAGTGCTGTTCCCAGTACCTCCCATTACCTCCCAGTGTGGCCACTGCCCCTCAGGGCAACTCCCATTGGCTCCCAGTGCAGCTCCCAGTGCCTCCCAGTAACCCCCATTACCTCCCAATGTGGCCACTGGCTCTCAGTGCAACTCCCATTGCCTCCCAGTGCAGCTCCCAGTAACCCCCATTAGCTCCCAGTGCATCTCCCAGTGCCTCCCGGTACCTTCCATCACCTTCCAGTACCCCCCAGCGCAGCTCCCATTAGCTCCCAGTAACCCCCATTACCTCCCAGTAACCCCCATTACCTCTCAGTGCCTGCCGGTACCTTCCATCACCTCCCAGTAACCCCCATTGTGCTCCGTTACCTCCCAGTGTCCCGGTGCGTGTCCCCGCTCACCGCAGTCATGTGCCGGGGCCGGTGGCGCGGGGCCGGGCCCACACAAAGGCCCCTTTGAGCCGGGGGACAAAGTCCAGCGCCGCGGCCCCACCGGAGCAGTGCTGAGATCGGCACCGGCACCGGCACCAGCCCCGGCAGTGCCGGAGGGCAGCGGGCCCGTGGGCACCGGGAGGACGTCACGTGTCACCCGTGCCCCCTGGCACCCCCCGGGTCCCCCAGCAGCAGAGGGGTGACACCATGGAGTCGCTGCATGTGACACGGGGGACAGGCGTATGTACAGAGCACATACATGGGATGTGACATGGGATGTGACATGGGATGTGACATGGGATGTGACATGCGATGTGACGGGATGTGACATGGGATGTGACGTGACATGGGATGTGATGTGACATAGGATGTGACATGGGATGTGACATGGGATGTGACGTGACATAGGATGTGACATAGGATGTGACATGCGATGCGACATGGGATGTGACAGGATGTGACATGGGATGTGACATGTGACGTGACATGGGATGTGACATGGGATGTGACATGGGATGTGACATGGGATGTGACGGGATGTGACATGGGATGTGACGTGACATGGGATGTGATGTGACATAGGATGTGACATAGGATGTGACATGCGATGCGACATGGGATGTGACATGGGATGTGATGTGACATAGGATGTGACATGGGATGTGACATGCGATGTGACATGGGATGTGATGTGACGTAGGATGTGACATGGGATGTGACGTGACATAGGATGTGACATGGGATGTGACAGGTTCCCCCCCCCACCAGGCAGCTGCCTGCACCCCTTAACCCTTGCAGAGAGGGTCCCATCGTGTGCCAGTCCCGGGTACCAGCACTGCCGCCAGCTCGACCCGTGGGCACGCTCCTGCCTGTACCGGCAGCATGGGCAGTGCAGGCAGGATGCGGTGCAGGCAGGAGGGAGCACCCACCCCAGCACAGCCTGGCTGGGGGGCAGCGGGTGGAGGATGTACAGGCAGGGTGTACAGGCAAGACACGATACAGGCAGGATGCGGTGCAGGCAGGGTGCAGCGCAGGCAGCTGCAGCATAGGGAAGGTGCAGTGCAGGCAGGATGTGATGAAGGCACAGGCAGGATGCCATGCAGAGTGCATCTGCAATGCAGGCAGGCAGAGAGCAGGCAGAGTGCGATGCAGGCAGGGAGCAGGCACGCAGTGTTAACAGCGGTAAAGGCACGGTGCAGGCAGGGTTAACAGTGGGCAGGGAGCAGTAAGGCAGGGTTAATAGCAGGCAGGGTGCGATGCAGGCAGGGTGCGATGCAGGCAGGGTGCGATGCAGGCAGGGTGCGATGCAGGCAGGGTGCGATGCAGGCAGGGTGCGATGCAGGCAGGGTGCGATGCAGGCAGGGTTAATAGCAGGCAGGGTTAATAGCAGGCAGGGTTAACAGCAGGCAGGGTTAATAGCAGGCAGGGTTAACAGCAGGCAGGGTTAATAGCAGGCAGGGTTAACAGCAGGCAGGGTTAACAGGGAGCGTTCCCAGCCCTGCCCCGAGGGCAGCCCCAGCCCCAGATGCTGTGGGAAGTGGAAGCAGGGCCGGGAAGGAGAGGGGTGGGGGCAGGACCACACTACAACACCACTTGATGGTCCACAGGGGCCCGGTACTGGACCCCACGGAGCCGCATCCAGCCCCATGGCCCCGGGGCAGGACCCCCCCACCCAGTCCCACGTAGCCCCATGGCTCTGGTAGACTGTGACACACAGCACGGGGTCCGTAGAGTGGCACAGAACACGCGGCACGCTGTGGGGCACAGGATGCGTGGCACACGGTCACACATCGCCGGCACACGGTTTGTGGGGCACATGGCACAGTACATAACATGGCTGGCACATGGCACAGTACATCACACATGGCCGGCACACGGCACAGTACATCACACATGGCCGGCACACGGCACAGTACATCACACGTGGCCGGCACATGGCACAGTACATAACACATGGCCGGCACATGGCACAGTACATAACACATGGCCGGCACATGGCACAGTACATCACACATGGCTGGCACCCAGCACAGTATATAACACATGGCCGGCACATGGCACAGTACATAACACATGGCTGGCACCCAGCACAGTATATAACACATGGCCGGCACACGGCACAGTACATAACACGTGGCCGGCACATGGCACAGTACATAACACATGGCTGGCACACGGCACAGTACATAACACGTGGCCGGCACATGGCACAGTACATAACACATGGCTGGCACACGGCACAGTACATAACACGTGGCCGGCACATGTCACAGTACATAACATGTGGCTGGCACACGGCACAGTACATAACACGTGGCCGGCACATGGCACAGTACATAACACATGGCTGGCACACGGCACAGTACATAACACGTGGCCGGCACATGTCACAGTACATAACATGTGGCTGGCACACGGTTTGTGTGGCACACGGCACAGTACATCACACGTGGCTGGCACACGGTTTGTGTGGCACATGGCACAGTACATCACACATGGCCGGCACATGGCACAGTACATAACACGTGGCTGGCACACGGTTTGTGTGGCACACGGCACAGTACATCACACGTGGCTGGCACACGGTTTGTGTGGCACATGGCACAGTACATAACACATGGCTGGCACACGTCCCATGTCAGCTGCCACGATGGCCGTGCCACAGGCACTGCTGCAGGTCCCAGTCCAGCACCTGGCACACGCGTCCCAGCTCACGTCCCCATCCCCAGCACCCAGGACACAGCCCATGGCCCCAGCCCTTTATTGACCCCGTGCTCCGGCCACGGCCCGGCCCGTGCCGTGCAGCACGTGGCACACGTCCCCGTGCCCGCGTCAGGCGGTGCCGTGGCTCTCGCGCAGGCGCTGCCGCAGCTCCCGGTCCAGCGCGTGGTGCAGCGCACGGCAGCCGGCGGTGGCCGCATCCAGCACCGGCTCCAGGCGCTCGCGGGGCAGGCGGGCGCTGAGCTGCAGCAGCGCCAGGAGCCCCGAGGCCGGCAGCAGCGCCAGCGACAGCCCTGGCCCCGCCGCCGCCTCCTCGGCCCCGCTGGGGTCTGCCAGCGCCGTGTCCTCGGCCAGCGCGGCCGAGCTGGCGCACACCATGTCCCGCAGCGGGATCCCCGCGTCCAGCACCGCCAGCGCTGCCGCCGTGGTGCCGGCACAGCAGTGCCCTCCGTCTGCCTGCAGCACCTGTGGGGACACGGGGATGTCAGCGTGGGGATGTGGTACAGGGACATGGCACAGGGACAGGGATACGGGGGCGGGGATACAGGGACATGGCACAGCGACATGGCACAGGGACACAGAACATGGTACAGGGACATGGTACAGGGACATGGTACAGGGACATGGTACAGGGACATGGTACAGGGACACAGAACATGGTACAGGGACATGGTACAGGGACAGGGATACAGGGACACAGAACATGGTACAGGGACATGGTACAGGGACAGGGATACAGGGACACAGAACATGGATACAGGGACAGGGACACAGGGACACAGAACATGGGTACAGGGACATGGCACAGGGACTTGGATACAGGGACACAGAACATGGATACAGGGACACTGAACTTGGATACAGGGACAGGGATACAGGGACACAGAACATGGGTACAGGGACATGGGACAGGGACAGGGATACAGGGACATGGCATAGGGACACAGAACATGGGTACAGGGATACAGGGACACAGAACTTGGATACAGGGACAGGGATACAGGGACATGGTACAGGGACATGGCACAGGGACTTGGATACAGGGACACAGAACATGGGTACAGGGATACAGGGACACTGAACTTGGATACAGGGACAGGGACACAGGGACATGGCATAGGGACACAGAACATGGTACAGGGACACAGAACATGGATACAGGGACAGGGATACAGGGACACAGAACATGGGTACAGGGACAGGGATACAGGGACATGGCACAGGGACACAGAACATGGGTACAGGGATACAGGGACACAGAACTTGGATACAGGGACAGGGATACAGGGACATGGTACAGGGACACAGAACATAGATACAGGCACACAGAACATGGGTACAGGGACAGGGACACAGGGACATGGCATAGGGACACAGAACATGGATACAGGGACACAGAACATGGGTACAGGGACACAGGGACACAGAATATGGGGACAGGGAGAGGGATACAAGGACACAGAACATGGGGACAGGGACAGAGACACAGGGACATGGCATAGGGACACAGAACATGGATACAGGGACACAGAACATGGGTACAGGGATACAGGGACACAGAACTTGGATACAGGGACACAGAATATGGGTACAGGGACACAGGGACATGGCACAGGAATACAGAACATAGGGACAGGGATACAGGGACACAGAACTTGGATACAGGGACACAGAATATGGGTACAGGGACAGGGACACAGGGACATGGCACAGGAATACAGAACATGGGGACAGGGATACAGGGACACAGAACATGGGGACAGGGACACAGGGACATGGCACAGGGACACAGAACATGGGGACAGGGATACAGGGACAGCGATACAGGAACATGGCACAAGGACACAGAACATGGGTACAGGGACATGCCATGGTGCCTGCACAGCAGTGCCCCCAGCCGCCTGCAGCACCCGCAGGCACGGGGACATCAGCACAGGGACACAGCACACATGTGGCACATGGCACACAGCTTGGACCACGGCCCGTGGTGTGACACATGGACACAACAAGGACATGGAACATGGCACAAGGACGCAGCACACGGCACAGGGACATGGAACCGGCATGCGGTGCAGGGCCACGGCACACGTGACACATGGCACACAGCACACATGATGCGTGGCACGGCCCGGAGCACACAGCGTGGCACCCAGCACAGTGCCATCAGCTTCACCATCAGCGCCGTGCCCCCCAGTGTTCCCTCCCAGTTCTCCCATGACCCTGCCACGGTCCCTCCCATCTCCCCTTATCATCCCCCCGTTTCCCTCCCCTATGTCCCAATGTCCCCTGCCATGTACCCCCCCAACGTCCCCCCACTATTCTCCCCAATGCTCCAAACAGTATCCTGCCAATGTCATGCCCCGATGTCCCCCCAGTATCCCTATGTCCTTGCCCACAGCTCCCCCATGTCCCTCACAGATGTCCCCTCAATATCCCTCTATATGGCCCCCAAGTCCTCCCCAGTGTCCAAGCTCCATTAATCCCCCACATCCCTCCCTATGTCCCTCCCATGTCCCCCCATTAACCCCCGACATCCCTCCCTATGCCCCTCCCATGTCCCCCTATGTCCACCCCACATCTCCCCACGTCCCTCCCATGTCCCCCCATGTCCACCCCACATCTCCCCACGTCCCTCCCATGTCCCCCAGTCCACCCCCATCCCCCATGTCCCCCCATGTCCACCCCACATCTCCCCATGTCCCCCCATGTCCACCCCACATCTCCCCATGTCCCCCCATGTCCCCCCCACATCTCCCCATGTCCCCCATGTCCACCCCACATCTCCCCATGTCCCCCCCACATCTCCCCATGTCCCCCCATGTCCACCCCACACCTCCCCACGTCCTCCCACGTCCCCCCCGTGCCCCCCCCGCGGTACCTGCACGTAGACGTCGATCTGGGAGCGCGGGAAGAGCTGCGTGAGGACGGCGGCCTCGAGGCTCTGCTGCAGCTGCAGCGCCAGCTCCGCGCTGCGCCGGTCCCCGTGCGGCCGCCGCCGCTCGGCCGAGCTGAAAGCGGCCAGGCTGAACCGGCAGTTGAGCACCGCGCGCTCGGGCAGCGCCTTCCCGCGGGGGGCCGCGCACCTGAGACCGGCACCGGGGCAGGCGTGAGCGGGGGAGGCCTGGGGGGGACGGAAGGGACCGGGAGGGAAGGGGGACGCGGGGATGGGGGGCACGGACAGGAAGGGGGATGCGCAGGAGGCAGAGGGACCGAGGAAGGAGCGAGGCGAACCGGAGATAAACGGGGCGAGGGGGGAGCCGGCGGAACGGGGCGGGGGACGGGACAGGAGGGAGCGGAGGGGCCCGGAGAAGACGGGGAAGAGCGGGGGGGTCCTGGGGGAGGAGCAGGGTCAATGGGGGCTGGGAGCAAAGGGACCCGGGAGACGGGGACCCGGGAGATGCGGAGGGGAGCGGGGGAGGACCCGCGGCCGCGCTGCCCGTGCCCGCTGACCTCGTGCGGGCCGTAGACCACGGCCAGGGCCTTGGTGTTGCCCTGCTCGATGTAGGCGGAGCCGTCGGCCTGCGCGACAGCCCGAGCCGGGCCCGCACCTTCCGGATCTCCCCGGGCCGGCGCCCGTCGGCGCGGAAACCCCTCATCCGACAGCAGCTCCGCGCCGCCATCGCGCCGCGCGCTTCCGGCCGGGGCGCGCCCCTTCCCGCGAGAGGCCACGCCCCCCTCCGGGGAGGCCACGCCCCCTCGCTGCGGCCCCGGGCGAGGCCGCCTGACGAAGCCACGCCTCCATGAGAAACGTCACTCAGAGGCCACGCCCCCGCGCTGTTCGAGCCGCGCCCCCATAGGTGACATCACCCGTGAGGCCATCCCCCAGAGCGACGACCCCGTTAGGACACGCCCCCCAGGCAGGCGCCCCCGCTGAGGCCACGCCCCTCGAGCAGACGCCCCCCTCTGAGGCCACGCCCCCCGTGGCCGGTGAACGGGAGCCGGAGGCCGACCCGAGCCGAGCGGAGGCCGAACCGAGCCGAGCCGAGCCCCCGGTGCCCGGAGCCGTCCCCCATGGCTGCCGAGGGCCCCGTGCCCGGCCCCGCCGGGTTCAGTTCGCCATCGACCGCGGCGGGACCTTCACGGACGTGTTCGCTCGCTGCCCCGGCGGCGGCGTCCGCGTCCTCAAGCTGCTCTCCGAGGACCCGGCCTACGCAGATCCGCCCACCGAGGGCATCCGCCGCGTCCTGGAGGAGGTGCGGCCCCGACAGCTCCGAGACGGCGCCGGGACCCCGGGGCCCTTCTCTTGGGGCCCTTCCCTGCCACACTCCCGGGACCCCACCCCCGGGACCCTTCCTCGGGACCCCTTTGGGAGCCCCCCCGGACACTCCGGACCCCCCGGCACCTCCCGGGACCCGCCAGTGGAGCACCCCCGGGATCCCCCCCAGCACTTCCCCAGGAGCCCCCGATGCCCCCTGGCACCTCTTTGGGACCCCCTCAGGACCCCTCATGACCTTCTTGGACCCCCCTCCCGGAATTCCCTTTGGACGCTCCTGGGGACAACCCGGATGCCCCCCAGGATCTCCCCCTACACCCTCCCCGCTGGGGCCCCCGGTGGTGCTGAGGGTCTGCAATGGTGCTGGGAGTCCCTGCGGGTCCATGGGATTTGGGGTCCCGGCGGCTCCATGGGGCTGAGGCTCCCGGTGGCTCCGCGGTGCTGAGGTGCCGGTGCCGCAGGAGCTGGGGGTGCCGCTGCCCCGGGAGCAGCCGCTGGACGCGGCCGGTATCGAGTGGATCCGGATGGGGACCACGGTGGCCACCAACGCGCTGCTGGAGCGCCGGGGCGAGCGCGTGGCGCTGCTGGTGACCCGCGGCTTCCGCCACCTCCTGCACATCGGCACCCAGGCGCGGCCGCGCATCTTCGACCTGGTGAGCCCCCGCCGTGCCCCCGCTCCCCGGCACCGCCTGCAGCCCCACCGCCGTATCCCGTGACCCAGCCGTGGGGAAGCGCGTCCCCGTGTGACCCCAGTGCTGGCGCGTCCCCGTGTGCCCACGGTGTGTCCTCTGCCCTCCGCGGACGCCCTTGGTGCTGGTGCTGGGTGCTGCTGGCGCTGCTGCTGGTGCTGGGTGCTGCGGCTCTGATGCTGCTCGGTGGCGCCGAGTCCCCGTGTCCCCATGAGCGCCGCAGCTTCAAGCCAGCACCGGCCCGGGACCCGGCCTGCCCCCGGCACGTTCCTCGGCCCGCGGTGGTCCCCGGTGCCACCACCACCCCGTGTCCCTGTCCCTCCCTCGGTCCCGGTGCCACCCCGTGTCCCCTGTCCCTCCCTCGGTCCCGGTGCCACGCCGTGTCCCTGTCCCTCTCTCGGTCCCGGTGCCACCCCGTGTCCCTGTCCCTCCCTCGGTCGCGGTGGGCGCTGCGGTAGCCCCGATACCACCCCGTGTCCCTGTCCCTCCCTCGGCCCCGGTGCCACCCCGTGTCCCTGTCCCTCCCTCGGTCCCGGTGCCACCCCGTGTCCCTGTCCCTCCCTCGGTCGCGGTGGGCGCTGCGGTAGCCCCGATACCACCCCGTGTCCCTGTCCCTCCCTCGGCCCCGGTGCCGCCGGTGCCACCCCGTGTCCCTGTCGCTCCCTCGGCCCCGGTGCCACCCCGTGTCCCTGTCCCTCTCTCGGTCCCGGTGCCACCCCGTGTCCCTGTCGCTCCCTCGGCCCCGGTGCCACCCCGTGTCCCGCAGGCGGTGGCGGTGCCCGAGGTGCTGTACGAGGAGGTGATCGAGGTGGACGAGCGGCTCATCCCGCTCCAGCCGCGCTGCCGCCTCCCGGGCACAGAGTCGCTCCCGGTGCTCCAAGGTACGGCCAGGCCCCGGGGGGGCGGTCCCGGCGCGGGGCCCCCCCTCACCCGGCCCCTGCTGTTCCCAGGATCCATGGGGGTGTCGCTGGTGCTGCAGCGGCCGCTGGAGCTCTCGGCGCTGCGGCGGGAGCTGGAGGGGGTGCGGGACCGCGGCATCCGCAGCCTGGCCGTGCTGCTGCTGCACTCCTACGCGTGAGGCGGGGGAGCCCCGGGGGGGCTGAGGGGCCCAGTGGTGTTTGGGGGGGGCCTGGTGGGTTTGGGGGGATCCCTGGTGAGCTTTTAGGGCCCGGGGGCAGGAGGATTTTTGGGGGTCCCGTTGGGGTTTGGTGAGTTCCTGGTGCGGTTTGCGGGGCTCTGTTAGGTTCTGGGGGTTCCAGTGGGTGGGGTTTGGGGTCCCCACTGGGGTTTTGGGGAGCCCTGGGATGGTTTGGGGTTCCCGGTTGGGTCTCTGGTGGGCATTGGGGTGGTTCTGGTTGGGTTCTGGGGGCTCCCGGTGGGTACTGGTGAGGTTTTGGGGCTCCCATTGGGGTTCGGGAGGCTCTGGTGGGTTCTGGGGCGTCCCCGGTGCCCATCGCGGTCCCCGCAGGTGGCCGGGCCATGAGCAGCGAGTGGCGGCGCTGGCGCGGGAGCTGGGCTTCGAGCACGTGTCGCTGTCCTCGGCCGTGGCGCCCATGGTGCGCGCGGTGCCGCGCGGCTTCACCGCCTGCGCCGATGCCTACCTGAGCCCCTGCATCCAGCGGTACCTGCACGGCTTCCGCGCCGGCTTCCGGCACCGCCTGCAGGTGAGGGCACAGGGACTCCCCCGGGACCGCCCAGGACACCCCCGAACACCGCCCTCTGATACCCCCCTGGGACACCCAGCACTGCCCTAGGCACCCTGTAACACCCCTCCATGGGCACCCATCACCCTGCGACCTCTCCATGGGCACCCATCACATTGGGACTCTGCCATGAGCACCCGTTACCCATCACACCTCCATAGACATCTATCCAGTTGGGACCTCCCCAGTGGCACCCATCCCAACATGACCTCCCCACTGGCACCCATCCCACCCTCCGTGGCACCCCTCACTCCCCATAAGCGTCCGTTACACTGCGACCCCCCGTGGGCACATGTGCACTACGGACACCTATTACCCATCATGCCTCCATGGGTACCCATCCAATTGGGACCCCCCTTCCCCTCATGACACCCTATGAGACCCCATCCCACCCTATGGGCACCCACGCCACCCATGCCCCCCTGCGCAGGGGGTGCCGGTGCTGTTCATGCGCTCGGACGGGGGCCTCACGCCGATGGAGAAGTTCTCCGGTGCCAGCTCCATCCTGTCGGGCCCGGCCGGCGGCGTTGTTGGCTATGCCATGACCACGTACGACCACGGTGACGGCACACCCGTCATAGGCTTTGACATGGGAGGTGAGCCCATGCACCGGCACCCGTGGGGGCCACCATGGGACAGGGTGGGCAAAGAGCCCCAAGGGTGCTGCGCGGTGTCACCCGCGGTGGGGATGGTCACTGGCGCTGTCCCTCGGGCCTCGGTGTTGTTCAGTGCCTCCATTGATGGGTGAGGGGATCGGGGCACCTGAGGTGGCACCAGGCTGGGTGGGAGCATCTCCAGAGGGATCTGCCCGGGCGGGATCCGTGGGGTGAGGCCATGGGATGAAGGTCAACAGGCAAAGTGCCAAGTGCCGGGTCCTGCCCTCGGGCCACAACAGCCCCAGGGAACACTAAATCCTTAGGGAAGAGTGGCCGGAAACTGCTCATGGAACAGGGCCTGGGGTGGTGGAGCTGAACGTGAGCAGGCTGCGCCCACGGCAAATACATCCTGGCTGGAGCAGCACCAGGGCGGCAGCGGGGCCAGGGCAGGGGTTGAGCCCCTGCACCGGGCACCGGGGAGGCCGCACCTGGGATCCTGTGCTCGGCTCCGGGCCCCTCACTGCAAGAGAGACCTTGAGGGGCTGGAGTGGGGCCGGAGAAGGGAATGGAGCTGGAGCAGGGCCTGGAGCACAGGGGTGATGGGGAAGGGCTGAGGGACCTGGGGGGTTCAGATGGAGAAGATGTTGGCACCTGGGGACATGGGTTAGTGGTGGCCTCGGCAGTGCTGGGAACGGTTGGACTGGGTGAGCTTCAAGGTCTCTTCCAAGCTGGCTGACCCCGTGCCTCCATGGTTCCCTGGCTCCATGGTTCCATGCTGCTCCCTCCGCAGGCACCTCCACCGACGTCAGCCGCTATGCCGGTGAGTACGAGCACGTCTTCGAGGCCACCACAGCCGGTGTCACCATCCAGGCGCCGCAGCTCGACATCAACACGGTGGCGGCCGGCGGCGGCTCCCGGCTCTTCTTCAGGTGGGTGCCAGCCCCAGCGCCCATGAGTGGCGTGGACGTGGCCATGGACGAGCCTGGTTTGGTGGAGCTGCCTCCTTGTGTCTCCTCTTCAGGTCTGGGCTCTACGTGGTTGGCCCTGAGTCAGCCGGTGCCCACCCCGGCCCCGCGTGTTACCGCAAGGGTGAGCGTCGTGGGGACATGGGGATGGGAATCGGCTGGGCAGGGGAAAGGATGAGGATGGGATTGGGAGGGGATGCGGCCAGTGCTGTGCTCGCCACCCATCACCATTGTGGTTTAGGGGGTCCATTGACCACCATCAACGTTTAGAGGGACCATTGACCATCCCCATCATGGTTTAGGGTATCCACTGACTACCGCCATCATGGTTTAGGGGGTCCATTGACCATCCCCATCATGGTTTAGGGTATCCACTGACTACCACCATCATGGTTTAGGGGGTCCATTGACCCTCCCCATCACGGTTTAGGGTATCCACTGACTACCACCATCATGGTTTAGGGGGTCCATTGACCATCCCCATCACGGTTTAGGGTATCCACTGACTACCACCATCATGGTTTAGGGTTTCCATTGACCATCCCCATCACAGTTTAGGGTAACCACTGACTACCGCCATCATGGTTTAGGGGGTCCATTGACCATCACTGATGCCAACCTCTGCCTTGGCCGCCTCCTTCCCGAGTACTTCCCACGGATCTTTGGCCCCGGCGAGGACCAGCCCCTGTGCCGGGACACGGTGGCACAGGCGTTCCAAGCCATGGCCGCCGACATCGCCGCCTTCACCGCCAGCACCGCCGGTGACACCGGCACCAGTGCCACCAGTGCCCCCGCCACCCCCAGTGCCCCACAGCCCCTGTCAGTGGAGGAGGTGGCCATGGGCTTCGTGCGTGTGGCCAATGAAGCCATGTGCCGGCCCATCCGCGCCCTCACGCAGGTTGGTGGCCATGGGGGGTGTTGGGGGTTCCCGGGGTTCCCGGTGTCACCATGGGCTCTGTGTCCCTCCCAGGCCCGAGGCCATGACACTGCCCGGCACGTGCTGGCGTGTTTCGGGGGCGCCGGGGGGCAGCACGCGTGTGCCATTGCCCGCGCCCTTGGCATGAGCCGTGTCTTCATCCACAGGTACCCCCTGGGGGGGGTGGAGAACCCCCACTGGGTGACACGGGGGGGTTGGGATGTCCCCGGTCTCCAGGTGGCTGGGTGGGATTGGAGGGTCCTGGTGCCCCATGGAGATGGGTTGGGGTGTTCTGGTTCCACATGGAGAAGGGGTGGGGGGTCCCTATGGAGATGGGGTTTGTGGGGTCCTGGTTTCCCAAGGTGGAGACCATTGCTCTGTTTTGGGGTCCCCATGTCCTGTGTCCCCATGCCCAGGCACAGTGGGGTGCTCTGGCTGGTTTTGGGGTGCTATTTCCCATATCCCCATGTCCCAGTCCCATGTCCCCATGCAGGCACAGTAAGGTGGCCATGGCTGCTTTTGGGGCGCCCATGGCCATGTTTTGGGGTTCCATGTCCCCATGCAGGCACAACAGGGTTCTATGGCTGTTTTGGGGTCCCATGTCCCCCTGCCCTCCAGGCACAATGGGCTGCTCTGGCTCTGTTTTGGGGTCCCTAAGGCTCTGTTTTGTGGTGCCCCCCAGGCACAGCGGGGTGCTCTGGACGGGTTTGGGATGCTGTGGGTGGCTTTGGGGTGCCATATCCCATGTCCCCCAGGCACAGCGGGCTGCTGTCTGCCGTGGGGCTGGCGCTGGCGGATGTGGTGCACGAGGCACAGGCTCCCTGTGCCCTTCCCTACGCTCCCGACTCCTTCCCACACCTGGACCGGCGCATCCAGGAGCTGGAGCAGGAATGCCGGGATGTGCTGCAGGAGCAGGGCTTCAGCCTGTGAGCATGGGCACTGGGCACGGGGGGACAGGGGGACAGCATGGGGATATGGAGATAAAGGGATGGGGATGGGATGGATGGAGTTTGGGATCGGTGGAGATGGATGAAGATGGACCTGGGAATGGGAGCATGGCATGGGGATGAGATGGAGATGGGGTGGGATACGATGAGGATATGGGGATGAGATAGGTATATGTGGATGAGATAGGGATATGGGGATGGAGATGGGATGGGAATGACTGGAGCCAGGGATGGGATGGAGGAGGGGACGAGGATGAGTTCATGGGGAAGGGATCAGATGGGGATGGAGATGGGAATCGAACGGGATGGAGATGGGTTAGATGGGAACAAGGGGATGGGATTGAGGTGAATGGAGATGGGATGGGATGGAGATGGACATAGGGATGGGATAGGGATGGAATGGGAATGCGATGGAGCAATGGCAATGGTGGCAGGGGGACAGGGCCGGGGCCGGGGGTGACAGGGGCAGAGCTGGAGAGGGGTGACGAGGGGTGCCGGGGCTGTGCCGCAGGGAGCAGATCCGCACGGAATCCTTCCTACACCTGCGCTATGAAGGCACCGACTGCGCCCTCATGTGCTCGGCCAAGGGGCACCCGGCCACCGCCGGCTCCTGCCGCGCCGGGGACTTCCTCAGCGCCTTCACCAGCCGGTGCGGCCCGAGCGGGACCCAGCCCAGTGCCAAGATCCCTGTCCCAGTGCCAAGATCCCTGTCCCAGTGCCGTGATCCCCGTCCCAGTGCCGTGATCCCCATCCCAGTGCCGTGATCCCCGTCCCAGTGCCGTGATCCCCATCCCAGTGCCGTGATCCCCGTCCCAGTGCCAAGATCCCCGTCCCAGTGCCGTGATCCCCGTCCCAGTGCCAAGATCCCCGTCCCAGTGCCATGATCCCCATCCCAGTGCCGTGATCCCCAGCCCAGGGCCAAGATCCCCGTCCCAGTGCCGTGATCCCCGTCCCAGGGCCAAGATCCCCATCCCAGTGCCGTGATCCCCGTCCCAGTGCCGTGATCCCCAGCCCAGTGCCGTGATCCCCGTCCCAGTGCCGTGATCCCCATCCCAGTGCCGTGATCCCCAGCCCAGTGCCGTGATCCCCAGCCCAGTGCCAAGATCCCTGTCCCAGTGCTGTGATCCCCATCCCAGAGCCAAGATCCTTGTCCCAGTGCCATGATCCCCATCCCAGTGCCAAGATCCCCAGCCCAGTGCCGTGATCCCCAGCCCAGTGCCGTGATCCCCAGCCCAGTGCCGTGATCCCCATCCCAGTGCCAAGATCCCCATCCCAGTGCCGTGATCCCCGTCCCAGTGCCGTGATCCCCATCCCAGTGCCAAGATCCCCATCCCAGTGCCGTGATCCCCAGCCCAGTGCCGTGATCCCCAGCCCAGTGCCGTGATCCCCATCCCAGAGCCAAGATCCTTGTCCCAGTGCCGTGATCCCCAGCCCAGTGCTGTGATCCCCATCTCAGAGCCAAGATCCTTGTCCCAGTGCCGTGATCCCCATCCCAGTGCCGTGATCCCCATCCCAGAGCCAAGATCCTTGTCCCAGTGCCGTGATCCCCAGCCCAGTGCTGTGATCCCCATCCCAGAGCCAAGATCCTTGTCCCAGTGCCGTGATCCCCATCCCAGTGCCGTGATCCCCAGCCCAGTGCCGTGATCCCCAGCCCAGTGCCGTGATCCCCATCTCAGAGCCAAGATCCTTGTCCCAGTGCTGTGATCCCCATCCCAGTGCCGTGATCCCCATCCCAGTGCCGTGATCCCCATCCCAGTGCCGTGACCCCCACCCCAGAGCCACGGTTCCCATCTCAAGTCCCAGTCCCTGATCCCGGCAGCCGATCCCGTTCCTCCCCGGGCCGGTGCCGGTGCCGGTGCCGGTCCCGTCCCAGCTGCGCCCCCCGCAGGTACCGGCTGGAGTTCGGGTTCACGATCCCGGACCGGGCCGTGCTCGTGGATGACGTCCGGGTGCGCGGCACCGGCTCCAGCGGCAGCAGCGCCCGAAGCCCCCTGAGCCCCAGCGGGGAGCCCCCCCCCGTGGAGACGGTGGGGACGGGGGGAACGGGGGGGGGAAAGGGGGTGCGGGGGGACGGGGAGGGGAACTGGGGCAGGGGGATGGAGGGGGACGGGGGGGGGCAGGGGGATGGAGGGGGACGGGGGGGCAGGGGGAGGGAGGGGACAAGGGGGGCAGGGGGACGGGGAGGGGAGGGGGGGGCAGGGGGATGGAGGGGACAAGGGGGGCAGGGGGATGGAGGGGACAAGGGGGGGCAGGGGTATGGAGGGGACAAGGGGGGGCGAGGGGATGGAGGGGACAAGGGGGGGCAGGGGGATGGAGGGGACAAGGGGGGGCAGGGGGATGGGGGGGGACAGGGGCTGCAGGGGGATGGAGGGGACAAGGGGGGCAGGGGGATGGAGGGGACAAGGGGGGCGAGGGGATGGAGGGGACAAGGGAGACCAAAGAGATTGGAGGGGAGAAGGGGGCAAGGGGGGAAACGGGGGACAGGAAGGACGGGGGGAAACAAGGGGGATGGGGGTGACCGGGGCAACAGGGGAGCCTGGGGGAAAGAGGAGGACTGGGGGGGACAGGGGGCGACAGGGAGGGAAGGGGGGAACAGAGGAGAACAGGGAGGGAAGGGGGGGGACAAAGAACAGGGGGACAAGGGAGAAGGATGGGGGGAATGGGGGAGGCCGTGGGGGATAGGGGGCTCCAGGAGGGTCAGGGCGACCCCGGGAGCCAGGGGTGTCCCAGTGGTGACGTGCTGGGGGGGTCCCGCAGGTGACGCGGTGCTACTTCGAGGAGGGGTACATGGACACCCCCGTGTTCCTGCTGCAGGCGCTGGCCTCTGACCACAGCATCCCCGGGCCAGCCATCATCATCGACAACAACAGGTGGGGACCCCGGGGGGACAAACGGGACCCCAGGGGACAGTGGGGACCGTGGGGGGGCAGCAGGACTGTGGGGGGACAGCAGGATCGTGGGGGGACAGCAGGATCATGGGGGACAGCAGGATCGTGGGGGGACAGCAGGACCATGGGGGACAGCAGGATCATGGGGGGACAGCAGGATCATGGGGACAGCAGGATCATGGGGGGACAGCAGGATCATGGGGGGACAGCAGGATCGTGGGGGGACAGCAGGATCATGGGGACAGCAGGATCGTGGGGGGACAGCAGGATCGTGGGGACAGCAGGACCGTGGGGGGACAGCAGGACCGTGGGGGGGCAGCAGGATCATGGGGGGACAGCAGGATCATGGGGGGACAGCAGGATCATGGGGACAGCAGGACCGTGGGGGGACAGCAGGATCATGGGGACAGCAGGATCATGGGGGGACAGCAGGATCATGGGGACAGCAGGATCATGGGGGGACAGCAGGATCGTGGGGGGACAGCAGGATCATGGGGGGACAGCAGGATCATGGGGACAGCAGGACCGTGGGGGGGCAGCAGGATCATGGGGGGACAGCAGGATCATGGGGGGACAGCAGGATCGTGGGGGGACAGCAGGATCATGGGGGGACAGCAGGATCATGGGGACAGCAGGACCGTGGGGGGACAGCAGGACCGTGGGGGGGCAGCAGGATCATGGGGGGACAGCAGGATCATGGGGGGACAGCAGGATCGTGGGGGGACAGCAGGATCATGGGGGGACAGCAGGATCGTGGGGGACAGCAGGATCATGGGGACAGCAGGATCATGGGGGGACAGCAGGATCATGGGGACAGCAGGACCGTGGGGGGACAGCAGGACCGTGGGGGGGCAGCAGGATCATGGGGACAGCAGGACCATGGGGGGACAGCAGGACCATGGGGGAACAGCAGGACCATGGGGGGACAGCAGGATCATGGGGGGACAGCAGGACCGTGGGGGGACAGCAGGATCATGGGGACAGCAGGACCATGGGGGGACAGCAGGACCATGGGGGGACAGCAGGATCGTGGGGGGACAGCAGGATCATGGGGGGACAGCAGGATCATGGGGACAGCAGGACCATGGGGCGACAGCAGGACCGTGGGGGGACAGCAGGATCATGGGGGGACAGCAGGACCGTGGGGGGACAGCAGGATCATGGGGGGACAGCAGGACCGTGGGGGGACAGCAGGATCATGGGGACAGCAGGACCATGGGGGGACAGCAGGATCATGGGGGGACAGCAGGATCATGGGGACAGCAGGACCATGGGGGGACAGCAGGATCATGGGGACAGCAGGACCGTGGGGGGACAGCAGGATCATGGGGGGGCAGCAGGATCATGGGGGGACAGCAGGATCATGGGGACAGCAGGATCATGGGGGGACAGCAGGATCATGGGGACAGCAGGATCATGGGGGGACAGCAGGACCATGGGGGGACAGCAGGACCATGGGGGAACAGCAGGACCATGGGGGGACAGCAGGATCATGGGGGCACAGCAGGACCATGGGGGGACAGCAGGATCGTGGGGGGACAGCAGGACCATGGGGGGACAGCAGGATCATGGGGGGACAGCAGGACTGTGGGGACAGCAGGATCATGGGGGACAGCAGGATCATGGGGACAGCAGGACCGTGGGGGGACAGCAGGATCATGGGGGGACAGCAGGACCGTGGGGGGACAGCAGGATCATGGGGACAGCAGGACCATGGGGGGACAGCAGGATCATGGGGGGACAGCAGGACCATTGGGGGACAGCCAGATCCCCAAGGAGCTCATGGGAACCCCAGGGAGACACTGGGGACCCTGAGGGATGGTGGGACCCCAGGGGGCAGTGGGGACCAAGGAGCTGGTGGGGACCTTCAGAAGCCAGAAGGATCCCAGGGGGCAGTGGGGACCCCAAGGAGCTGGTGGGACCCCAGAGAGGTGGTGGGACCCCAGGGAGGTGGTGGGACCCCAAGGAGCCATGGGGACAGCCATGGTGGAACCCTGGGGAGCTGCTGGGACCTCAGGAGAACCCCAAGGAGGTGGTGGGCACCCGGGGCAGCCGCTGACCCTCAGCCTCCCGCAGCACCATCGTGGTGGAACCGGGCTGCACCGCCAGCATCACCCGCGTCGGGGACATCTCCATCGCCGTGGGGTCGGTGGCCACACGCCCCATCGGCCCCCAGCTCGACCCCGTGCAGCTCTCCATCTTCTCCCACCGTTTCATGAGCATCGCAGGTGTGGGGCAGGGGCGGTGTGGGGCTGGGGGGGGGGGTTAGTGTGGGGCCGACAGGGCTCCGTGGGGCTCTATGGGGCAGGAGCCGGCTCCCGAGGGTCCCGTGTCCCCCGCAGAGCAGATGGGCCGCATCCTGCAGCGCACGGCCATCTCCACCAACATCAAGGAGCGCCTGGACTTCTCCTGCGCGCTCTTCGGGCCGGATGGGGGGCTCGTGTCCAACGCGCCCCACATCCCCGTGCACCTCGGCGCCATGCAGGAGGCCGTCCAGTTCCAGGCAGGGGCTCCGGGACAGCAGGGGCATGGCAGGACCTCGGGGAGGCAGAAGGAGCCCGGGGAGCCAATGGGGGCCCTGGGGAGATGGTGGGGACACCAGGGAGCCAGGAGGACCCCAAAGAGCTTTGGAGTCCCTGGGGAGATGGCGGGACCCCAAGGGAGTGGTGGGACCCCAAGGGAGTGGTGGGACCCCAAGGAGCTGGTGGGACCCCAAGGGAGTGGTGGGACCCCAAGGAGCTGGTGGGACCCCAAGGGAGTGGTGGGACCCCAAGGAAGTGGTGGGACCCCAAGGAGCTGGTGGGACCCCAAGGGAGTGGTGGGACCCCAAGGAAGTGGTGGGACCCCAAGGAACTGCTGGGACCCCAAGGGAGTGGTGGGACCCCAAGGGAGTGGTGGGACCCCAAGGGAGTGGTGGGACCCCAAGGAGCTGGTGGGACCCCAAGGGAGTGGTGGGACCCCAAGGAAGTGGTGGGACCCCAAGGGAGTGGTGGGACCCCAAGGAAGTGGTGGGACCCCAAGGAACTGCTGGGACCCCAAGGAAGTGGTGGGACCCCAAGGGAGTGGTGGGACCCCAAGGAACTGCTGGGACCCCAAGGGAGTGGTGGGACCCCAAGGAAGTGGTGGGACCCCAAGGGAGTGGTGGGACCCCAAGGAACTTGTGGGACCCCAAGGAACTGCTGGGACCCCAAGGAAGTGGTGGGACCCCAAGGGAGTGGTGGGACCCCAAGGAGCTGGTGGGACCCCAAGGGAGTGGTGGGACCCCAAGGAACTGCTGGGACCCCAAGGGAGTGGTGGGACCCCAAGGAGCTGGTGGGACCCCAAGGAAGTGGTGGGACCCCAAGGAGCTGGTGGGACCCCAAGGAAGTGGTGGGACCCCAAGGAAGTGGTGGGACCCCAAGGGAGTGGTGGGACCCCAAGGAGCTGGTGGGACCCCAAGGGAGTGGTGGGACCCCAAGGAAGTGGTGGGACCCCAAGGGAGTGGTGGGACCCCAAGGAACTGCTGGGACCCCAAGGGAGTGGTGGGACCCCAAGGAGCTGGTGGGACCCCAAGGAAGTGGTGGGACCCCAAGGGAGTGGTGGGACCCCAAGGAGCTGGTGGGACCCCAAGGAGCTGGTGGGACCCCAAGGAAGTGGTGGGACCCCAAGGAGCTGGTGGGACCCCAAGGAAGTGGTGGGACCCCAAAGAGCTGGTGGGACCCCAAGGAGCTGGTGGGACCCCAAGGAAGTGGTGGGACCCCAAGGAGCTGGTGGGACCCCAAGGAAGTGGTGGGACCCCAAGGAGCTGGTGGGACCCCAAGGAAGTGGTGGGACCCCAAAGAACTGGTGGGACCCCAAGGAGCTGGTGGGACCCCAAGGAAGTGGTGGGACCCCAAGGAAGTGGTGGGACCCCAAGGAACTGCTGGGACCCCAAGGAAGTGGTGGGACCCCAGGCAGCTGATTGGGATCCCATGAAGCCAGAAGCACCCTGGGGAGCTGGAAATGTGGCGGGGATGGGGAGGACGTGGTGGTGAGGACATGGTGGGGATGGCAGTGCTGTGCTGCTGGTGGAGACACGGTGGGGATGCTATGGGGATGGTGAGGACATGGTGGCAGTGCCGTGTTGCTGGTGGGGATGCTGTGGGGATGGTGGGGATGGTGAGGACACGGTGGCAGTGCCATGTTGCTGGTGGGGATGCTGTGGGGATGGTGGGGATGGTGAGGACACGGTGGCAGTGCCGTATTGCTGGTGGGGATGCTATGGGGATGCTATGGGGATGCTATGGGGATGGTGAGGACATGGTGGCAGTGCCATGTTGCTGGTGGGGATGCTATGGGGATGCTATGGGGATGGTGAGGACACGGTGGCAGTGCCGTATTGCTGGTGGGGATGCTATGGGGATGCTATGGGGATGGTGAGGACACAGTGGCAGTGCCATGTTGCTGGTGGGGATGCTATGGGGATGCTATAGGGATGCTATGGGGATGCTATGGGGATGGTGAGGACACGGTGGCAGTGCCATGTTGCTGGTGGGGATGCTATGGGGATGCTATAGGGATGCTATGGGGATGGTGAGGACACGGTGGCAGTGCCATGTTGCTGGTGGGGATGCTATGGGGATGCTATCGGGATGCTATGGGGATGCTATGGGGATGGTGAGGACACAGTGGCAGTGCTGTGCTGCTCCTGGGACACGCTGAGCCCTTGGAGGTGCCGCAACAGATCCGGAACCTGGGTGAGGACCTGCGGGACGGGGACGTGATCCTGAGCAACCACCCGTGTGCGGGGGGCAGCCACCTGCCCGACCTCACCGTCATCACCCCGGTGAGCGGGGGCCCCCCCCGGCGGCGCCAGGACCCCCCCGGGACCACCGCGCTCACCCCCGGCGCTGCCCCAGGTCTTCTGGCCGGGCATCCCCAGCCCCGTGTTCTTCGTGGCCAACCGCGGGCACCACGCGGACATCGGCGGCAGCACCCCCGGCTCGATGCCCCCCCACTCCAAGACGCTGCGGGAGGAAGGAGCCGTCTTCATCTCCTTCAAGCTGGTCAAGGACGGGGTGTTCCAGGAGGAGGGTGCGTCCGCGCCGGCGTCGTGCGGGGAACAGTGGGCACTCGGTGGGGACGATGGACATGGGGATGTGGTGGGGATGTGGTGGGGATGTGGTGGGGGTGGTTGGGATGTGGTGGGGATGGTTGGGATGTGGTGGGGATGTGGTGCTGGTGGTTGGGATGTGGTGCTGGTGGTTGGGATGTGGTGGGGATGGTTGGGATGTGGTGGGGATGTGGTGGGGATGTGGTGGGGATGTGGTGGGGATGGTTGGGATGTGGTGGGGATGTTTGGGATGTGGTGGGGGTGGTTGGGATGTGGTGGGGATGTGGTTGGGATGTGGTGGGGATGGTTGGGATGTGGTGGGGATGTGGTGGGGATGTGGTGGGGGTGGTTGGGATGTGGTGGGGATGTGGTGGGGGTGGTTGGGATGTGGTGGGGGTGGTTGGGATGTGGTGGGGATGTGGTGGGGATGTGGTGGGGATGGTTGGGATGTGGTGGGGGTGGTTGGGATGTGGTGGGGATGTGGTTGGGATGTGGTGGGGATGGTTGGGATGTGGTGGGGGTGGTTGGGATGTGGTGGGGATGTGGTGGGGATGTGGTGGGGGTGGTTGGGATGTGGTGGGGATGTGGTGGGGATGTGGTGGGGATGTGGTGGGGGTGGTTGGGATGTGGTGGGGATGTGGTGGGGATGGTTGGGATGTGGTGGGGATGTGGTGGGGATGGTTGGGATGTGGTGGGGGTGGTTGGGTTGTGGTGGGGATGTGGTGGGGACGTGGTGCAAACAATAGTGACGGGGTGGGGACATGGTGGGGATGTGGGGAGGATGGTTGGGATGTGGTGGGGATGGTTGGGATGTGGTGGGGACAATGGAGACGTGGTGATGTAATGGGGACACAATGGGGATGGTGGGGACACGGTGGGGACAATGGGGACATGGTGAGGATGTGGTGAGGATGTAATGGGGACGCAATGGGGATGGTGGGGACACGGTGGGGACAATGGGGATGTAGAAGAATGACAGGGATGTGGTGAGGTTGATGCGGACATGGTGGGGACGTGGTGGGGATACCGTGGGGATGGCGGGGACATGGGATGGAAGGGACATGGTAGGGATAACGGGGAAAGGACCGTGGGGACACGGTGAGGACACGATAGGGATGGCGGGGATGTGGTGGTGGCACGGTGGGGACACAGTGGGGATGGTGGGGATGGTGGGACAGCGGCGGTGCAGTGAGGGCGGTGGGGACATGGTGGAGATGACGGGGACATGGTGGAGATGACGGGGACACGGTGGGGATGGTGCGGATGGTGGGACAGTGGAGATGCAGTGAGGGCGGTGGGGACATGGTGGAGATGACGGGGACACGGTGAGGATGGTGGGGATGGTGGGACAGCGGTGGTGCAGTGAGGGCGGTGGGGACATGGTGGAGATGACGGGGACACGGTGAGGATGGTGGGGATGGTGGGACAGTGGAGATGCAGTGAGGGCAGTGGGGACATGGTGGAGATGACGGGGACACGGTGGGGATGGTGGGGGTGCGGTGGGGACAGTGGGGGTGTGATGGGGTAGTTGGGACCCGGTGGTGACGCTGGGGACATGCTAGGGCCGCGGTGGTGGATCGGGCCGCGGCGGTGCCGGCGGTGGGTGACGCGGCGTTGTCCCCGCAGCGGTGGCCGCGGCGCTGCATGCCCCGGGGCAGGTCCCGGGCTGCAGTGGGACACGGAACCTGCGCGACAACGTGTCGGACCTGCGCGCGCAGGTGGCCGCCAACCGCGCCGGCGCTGAGCTGGTGACGGCGCTGATCCGGCAGCACGGGCTCAGCACCGTGCAGGGCTACATGCGGCACGTCCAGGTGCGGGTGTGACACGTGTCACATGACACACGTCACGTGTCACACACGTGTCACGTGTCCCTGATGCAGGACACAGTGGAGTACTGCGTTTGGGACATGACACATCACATGTCACATGACACACATCACATGTCACACGTCACATGTCACACACATGTTCCCCGCCAGGACACAACGGAGCGCTGTGTTCGGGAACGACACATGTCACATGTCACACATCACACGTCACATGTCACACGTCACATGTCACACGTCACATGTCACACACGTGTTCCCCACCAGGACACAGTGGAGCGCTGTGTTCGGGACATGACACATGTCACATGTCACACATCACGTGTCACATGTCACACATCACATGACACATGTCACATGTGACACACGTGTCCCCCCGGACACCGCTGAGCGCTGTGTTCGGGACATGACACATGTCACATGTCACACATCACATGTCACATGTCACACACGTGTCCCCCCAGAACACCGCGGAGCACTGTGTTCGGGACACATCACACATCACATGTCACACATCACATGTGACATGTGACACACGTGTCTCCCCTGGACACCGCGGAGCACTGTGTTTCGGACACGTCACACGTCACACATCACATGACACGCGTCACATGTCACATATCACATGACATGTCACATGTCTCACATGATACATGTCACATGTGACACGTGTGCCCCCAGGACACCGCGGAGCGCTGTGTTCGGGACATGACACATGTCACATGTCACACATCACATGTCACATGTGACACACGTGTCCCCCAGGACACCGCGGAGCGCTGTGTTTGGCACATGACACATGTCACACATCACATGACACATGTCACACATCACATGACACATGTCACATGTCACATGTGACACACGTGTCCCCAGGACACCGCGGAGCGCTGTGTTCGGGACATGACACATGTCACATGTCACACATCACATGTCACATGTGACACACGTGTCCCCCAGGACACCGTGGAGCGCTGTGTTCGGGACATGTCACACATCACATGATACATGTCACGTGTGACACACGTGTCCCCCAGGACACTGCGGAGCGCTGTGTTTGGCACGTGACACATGTCACACATCACATGACACATGTCACACATCACATGACACATGTCACATGTCACATGTGACACACATGTGTCCTCAGGACACCGCGGAGCGCTGTGTTCGGGACATGTCACACATCACATGACACATGTCACATGTGACACACGTGTCCCCAGGACACCGCGGAGCGCTGTGTTCGGGACATGTCACACATCACATGACACATGTCACATGTCACATGTGACACACGTGTCCCCAGGACACTGCGGAGCGCTGTGTTTGGGACATGTCACACATCACATGATACATGTCACATGTCACACATCACATGTCACATGTGACACACGTGTCCCCAGGACACCGCGGAGCGCTGTGTTCGGGACATGTCACACATCACATGACACATGTCACATGTGACACACACGTGTCCCCAGGACACCGCGGAGCGCTGTGTTCGGGACATGTCACACATCACATGATACATGTCACATGTCACACATCACATGTCACATGTGACACACGTGTCCCCAGGACACCGCGGAGCGCTGTGTTCGGGACATGTCACACATCACATGACACATGTCACATGTGACACACACGTGTCCCCAGGACACCGCGGAGCGCTGTGTTCGGGACATGTCACACATCACATGACACATGTCACACATCACATGTCACATGTGACACACGTGTCCCCAGGACACCGCGGAGCGCTGTGTTCGGGACATGCTCCGAGCCTTCTGGGCGCGCTGGGGCGCGGAGCTGGGGGCTGAGGACGGGCTGGACGATGGGAGCCGCCTGCGGCTGCGAGTGCGGCTGCAGCCCGAGGTGCGGGGGGGGGGTTTGGGGTTCGGGGTGCTGGGGGTGGTTTGGGGTTCGGGGTGCTGGGGGTGGTTTGGGGTTCGGGGTGCTGGGGGGTGGTTTGGGGTTCGGGGTGCTGGGGGGTGGTTTGGGGTTCAGGGTGCTGGGGGGTGGTTTGGGGTTCGGGGTGCTGGGGGGTGGTTTGGGGTTCAGGGTGCTGGGGGGTGGTTTGGGGTTCGGGGTGCTGGGGGGTGGTTTGGGGTTCAGGGTGCTGGGGGGTGGTTTGGGATTCGGGGTGCTGGGGGGTGGTTTGGGGTTGGGGTGCTGGGGGTGGTTTGGGGTTCAGGGTGCTGGGGGTGGTTTGGGGTTCAGGGTGCTGGGGGTGGTTTGGGATTCGGGGTGCTGGGGGGTGGTTTGGGATTCGGGGTGCTGGGGGGTGGTTTGGGGTTCGGGGTGCTGGGGGGTGGTTTGGGGTTGGGGTGCTGGGGGGTGGTTTGGGGTTCGGGGTGCTGGGGGTGGTTTGTGGTTCGGGGTGCTGGGGGGGGTTTGGGGTTCGGGGTGCTGGGGGGTGGTTTGGAGTTCGGGGTGCTGGGGGGGTGGTTTGGGACGATGCAGAGGTGTTTGCATGGAGGGTTTGGGGCAGTTTATGGTGGTTTGGGGCAATGAGGGGTGGTTTGGGGGGTTTTGGGGGTGTCTGGGGGGGTTTGGGGGTTTGGGGGTGTTTGGGATGGGTTTGGGGGGGTTTGGGGGTGTCTGGGGGTGTTTGGGCTTTGGGGATGTTTGGGGGTGTTTGAGATGGGTTTGGGGTGTTTGGGGGTGTTTGGGGGTGTTTGGGGGGTTTGGGGGTGTCTGGGGGTGTTTGGGCTTTGGGGATGTTTGGGGGTGTTTGAGATGGGTTTGGGGGGGTTGGGGGTGTTTGGGGGGATTGGGGGTGGTTGGGATGGGTTTGGGGGGTTTGGGATGGGTTTGGGGTGGTTGGGGCGGTTGGGGGGTTTGGGGGGGTTGGGGTGGTTGGGGGGCTTTGGGGGGGGTGTTGGGGTTGGGTTGGCCCCTGTCCCCAGGGCAGGGCAATGTTCAATTTCTCAGGTTTTGGGGGTACTTTGGGGCTGTTTTGTGGAGGTTTGGGTGCATCTGTGTGTGTTTTGGTGTGGTTTGGGTACATCTGTGTGTGTTTTGTGGAGGTTTGGGTACATCTGTGTGTGTTTTGGTGTGGTTTGGGTACATCTGTGTGTGTTTTGGTGTGGTTTGGGTACATCTGTGTGTGTTTTGGTGTGGTTTGGGTGCATCTGTGTGTGTTTTGTGGAGGTTTGGGTACATCTGTGTGTGTTTTGTGGAGGTTTGGGTACATCTGTGTGTGTTTTGTGGAGGTTTGGGTACATCTGTGTGTGTTTTGTGGAGGTTTGGGTACATCTGTGTGTGTTTTGGTGTGGTTTGGGTACATCTGTGTGTGTTTTGGTGTGGTTTGGGTACATCTGTGTGTGTTTTGTGGAGGTTTGGGTACATCTGTGTGTGTTTTGTGGAGGTTTGGGTACATCTGTGTGTGTTTTGTGGAGGTTTGGGTACATCTGTGTGTGTTTTGGTGTGGTTTGGGTACATCTGTGTGTGTTTTGTGGAGGTTTGGGTACATCTGTGTGTGTTTTGGTGTGGTTTGGGTACATCTGTGTGTGTTTTGTGGAGGTTTGGGTACATCTGTGTGTGTTTTGTGGAGGTTTGGGTACATCTGTGTGTGTTTTGGTGTGGTTTGGGTACATCTGTGTGTGTTTTGGTGTGGTTTGGGTGCATCTGTGTGTGTTTTGTGGAGGTTTGGGTACATCTGTGTGTGTTTTGTGGAGGTTTGGGTACATCTGTGTGTGTTTTGTGGAGGTTTGGGTACATCTGTGTGTGTTTTGGTGTGGTTTGGGTACATCTGTGTGTGTTTTGGTGTGGTTTGGGTACATCTGTGTGTGTTTTGTGGAGGTTTGGGTACATCTGTGTGTGTTTTGGTGTGGTTTGGGTACATCTGTGTGTGTTTTGTGGAGGTTTGGGTACATCTGTGTGTGTTTTGTGGAGGTTTGGGTACATCTGTGTGTGTTTTGTGGAGGTTTGGGTACATCTGTGTGTGTTTTGTGGAGGTTTGGGTACATCTGTGTGTGTTTTGTGGAGGTTTGGGTACATCTGTGTGTGTTTTGGTGTGGTTTGGGTACATCTGTGTGTGTTTTGGTGTGGTTTGGGTGCATCTGTGTGTGTTTTGGTGTGGTTTGGGTGCATCTGTGTGTGTTTTGGTGTGGTTTGGGTGCATCTGTGTGTGTTTGGGTGTGTTTTGGGTGTACCTGTGTTCATTTTGGGGTGCTTTGGGTGCCCCCGTGCACTTTTGGGTGACCCTGTGCATCTTTGGGTGCATCCGTGTGTGTTTTTGGTGTACCTGTGTGTGTTTTGGGTTGCTTTGGGTGTACGTGTGTGTGTTTTGGGGTGCTTTGGGTATACCTGGGTGCCTTTTGGGGTGCTTCGGGTGCATCCGTGTGTGTTTCGGGGTGTTTTGGGTGTACCTGGGTGCATTTGGGGGTGTTTTGGATGTACCTGGGTGCATTTGGGGGTGCTTTGGATGTACCTGGGTGCATTTTGGGGTGCTTTGGGTGCATCCGTGTGTGTTTTTGGTGTACCTGTGTGTGTTTTGGGGTGCTTTGGGTGTACCTGTGTGCGCTTGGGGGTGTTTTGGGTGTACCTGTGTGCATTTGGGGGTGCTTTGGGTGCATCCGTGTGTGTTTCGGTGTGTTTTGGGTGTACCTGGGTGTATTTTGGAGTGTTTTGGGTGTACCTGTGTGTGTTTCGGGGTGTTTTGGGTGTACCTGGGTGTATTTTGGGGTGTTTTGGGTGTACCTGTGTGTGTTTTGGGGTGTTTTGGGTGTACCTGGGTGTATTTTGGGGTGCTTCGGGTGCATCCGTGTGTGTTTCGGGGTGTTTTGGGTGTACCTGTGTGTTTCGGGGTGTTTTGGGTGTACCTGGGTGTGTTTCGGGGTGTTTTGGGTGTACCTGGGTGTATTTTGGGGTGCTTCGGGTGCATCTGTGTGTGTTTCGGGGTGTTTTGGGTGTACCTGTGTTGTTTCGGGGTGTTTTGGGTGTACCTGGGTGTATTTTGGGGTGTTTTGGATGTACCTGTGTGTGTTTCGGGGTGTTTTGGGTGTACCTGGGTGTATTTTGGGGTGCTTTGGGTGCATCTGTGTGTGTTTTGGGGTGTTTTGGGTGTACCTGTGTGTGTTTCGGGGTGTTTTGGGTGTACCTGGGTGTATTTTGGGGTGTTTTGGGTGTACCTGGGTGTATTTTGGGGTGTTTTGGGTGTACCTGTGTGTATTTTGGGGTGTTTTGGGTGTACCTGGGTGTGTTTTGGGGTGTTTTGGGTGTACCTGGGTGTATTTTGGGGTGTTTTGGGTGTACCTGGGTGCGTTTTGGGGTGCTTTGGGTGCACCTTAGTGTGCTCTGTGCCGCAGGGCAGCGCCGTGTTTGACTTCTCGGGCACGGGCCCCGAGGTGCTGGGGAACTGGAACGCGCCGCGCGCCGTCACCCTGGCCGCCATCATCTACTGCCTGCGCTGCATGGTGGGGCAGGAGCTGCCCCTCAACCAGGTGCGCGGGACCCCCATGCACCCTCCAGGAGCCCAGGCAGGAGCTGTGGGTGCTGCCCCCCCCCAGGGCACGAGGGGCTTGGAGCTGGGGGTCCTGCCCCTGTTCCCCTGTGGGGGTGCCCTGGGACCCATGGGTGCGGGTCTCCCGGAGGGGGGTGTCTGTGGGTGCTGACTGCGCCCCCCCCCAGGGGTGCCTGGCCCCCGTGCGCGTGCTCATCCCCAAGGGCTCCATCCTGGACCCCTCGCCCGAGGCCGCCGTGGTGGGGGGCAACGTCCTCACCTCCCAGCGCGTCGTGGACGTCATCTTCAAGGCCTTCGGCGTGTGCGCAGCCTCCCAGGTACGGGCTGGGGGCCGGGGGGCAATGGGAGCGATGGGGGACGATGAGGGAATGGGGGCAATGGGGAGCAATGGGAAGCAATGGGGGAATGGGGGCAATGGGGGGCAATGGGGGAATGGGGGCAATGGGGAGCAATGGGGGGCAATGGGGGACCAGAGAGAATGAGGGCAATGGAGGGCAATGAGGAACAGAAGGGAATGGGGGCAATGGGGGGCAATGGGGTGATGGGGGGTGATGAGGGAATGGGGGCAATGGGGAGCAATGGGGGGCAATGAGGGACAGGAGGGAGTGGGGGCAATGGGGGGCAATGAGGGACCAGAAGGAATGGGGGCAATGAGGACAATGGGGGGCAATGAGGAAATGGGGGCAATGGGGGGCAATGAGGGACTGGAGGGAATGGGGGCAATGGGGGGCAATGAGGGACTGGAGGGAATGGGGGCAATGAGGACAATGGGGGTGATGGGGGCAATGAGGGAATGGGGGCAATGGGGGTGATGGGGGCATTGGAGGACAAAGGGCAATGGGAGGCAATGGGGAAGCGGGGGGCAATGGCGGGAGTGGGGTAAATGGGGGTCCCAGGGGTTGGGGCTCTCAGGGGGCCCAGAGGTCCTGGGGGTCTGGGGTGCCAGAGGTCCTGAGGATCCCAGCTCTTGGAGGTCCCAGGGTGCCGGGCTCAGGGTGCAGGGGCTCAGGGTGTTGGGGCTCAGGGTGTTGGGGCTCAGGGTGTTGGGGCTCAGGGTGTTGGGGCTCAGGGTGCTGGTGCTCAGGGTGCCGGGGCTCAGGGTGCCGGGGCTCAGGGTGTTGGGGCTCAGGGTGTTGGGGCTCAGGGTGCCGGGGCTCAGGGTGTTGGGGCTCAGGGTGCCGGGGCTCAGGGTGTTGGGGCTCAGGGTGTTGGGGCTCAGGGTGTTGGGGCTCAGGGTGCCGGGGCTCAGGGTGCCGGGGCTCAGGGTGCCGGGGCTCAGGGTGTTGAGGCTCAGGGTGTTGGGGCTCAGGGTGTTGAGGCTCAGGGTGTTGGGGCTCAGGGTGCCGGGGCTCAGGGTGCCGGGCTCAGGGTGCCGGGGCTCAGGGTGTTGGGGCTCAGGGTGTTGGGGCTCAGGGTGCCGGTGCTCAGGGTGTTGGGGCTCAGGGTGTTGGGGCTCAGGGTGCCGGTGCTCAGGGTGCCGGGCTCAGGGTGTTGGGGCTCAGGGTGCCGGGGCTCAGGGTGCCGGGGCTCAGGGTGCCGGGGCTCAGGGTGTTGGGGCTCAGGGTGTTGAGGCTCAGGGTGCCGTGGCTCAGGGTGCCGGGGCTCAGGGTGTTGGGGCTCAGGGTGCCGGGGCTCAGGGTGTTGGGGCTCAGGGTGTTGGGGCTCAGGGTGCCGGGGCTCAGGGTGCCGGGGCTCAGGGTGTTGAGGCTCAGGGTGTTGGGGCTCAGGGTGCCGGGCTCAGGGTGTTGGGGCTCAGGGTGCCGGGGCTCAGGGTGTTGGGGCTCAGGGTGTTGGGGCTCAGGGTGCCGGTGCTCAGGGTGCCGGGCTCAGGGTGTTGGGGCTCAGGGTGCCGGGGCTCAGGGTGCCGGGGCTCAGGGTGTTGGTGCTCAGGGTGCCGGTGCTCAGGGTGTTGGGGCTCAGGGTGTTGGGGCTCAGGGTGCCGGGGCTCAGGGTGCCGGGGCTCAGGGTGTTGAGGCTCAGGGTGTTGGGGCTCAGGGTGCCGGGCTCAGGGTGTTGGGGCTCAGGGTGCCGGGGCTCAGGGTGCCGGGGCTCAGGGTGTTGGTGCTCAGGGTGCCGGTGCTCAGGGTGTTGGGGCTCAGGGTGTTGGGGCTCAGGGTGCCGGGGCTCAGGGTGCCGGGGCTCAGGGTGTTGAGGCTCAGGGTGTTGGGGCTCAGGGTGCCGGGGCTCAGGGTGTTGGGGCTCAGGGTGCCGGGGCTCAGGGTGCCGGGGCTCAGGGTGTTGGGGCTCAGGGTGCCGGGGCTCAGGGTGTTGGGGCTCAGGGTGCCGGGGCTCAGGGTGTTGGGGCTCAGGGTGCCGGGGCTCAGGGTGCCGGGGCTCAGGGTGCCGGGGCTCAGGGTGCTGGTGCTCAGGGTGTTGGGGCTCAGGGTGCCGGGGCTCAGGGTGCCGGGGCTCAGGGTGTTGGGGCTCAGGGTGCCGGGGCTCAGGGTGCCGGGGCTCAGGGTGTTGAGGCTCAGGGTGTTGGGGCTCAGGGTGCCGGGGCTCAGGGTGTTGGGGCTCAGGGTGTTGGGGCTCAGGGTGCCGGGGCTCAGGGTGTTGAGGCTCAGGGTGTTGGTGCTCAGGGTGTTGGGGCTCAGGGTGCCAGGGCTCAGGGTGCCGGGGCTCAGGGTGCCGGGGCTCAGGGTGCCGGGGCTCAGGGTGCCGGGGCTCAGGGTGTTGGGGCTCAGGGTGCCGGGGCTCAGGGTGTTGAGGCTCAGGGTGTTGGGGCTCAGGGTGCCGGGGCTCAGGGTGTTGGGGCTCAAGGTGCCGGGGCTCAGGGTGCCGGGGCTCAGGGTGTTGGGGCTCAGGGTGTTGGGGCTCAAGGTGCCGGGGCTCAGGGTGCCGGGGCTCAGGGTGTTGGGGCTCAGGGTGCCGGGGCTCAGGGTGTTGGGGCTCAAGGTGCCGGGGCTCAGGGTGCCGGGGCTCAGGGTGTTGGGGCTCAGGGTGTTGGGGCTCAAGGTGCCGGGGCTCAGGGTGCCGGGGCTCAGGGTGTTGGGGCTCAGGGTGTTGGGGCTCAGGGTGTTGGGGCTCAGGGTGCCGGGGCTCAGGGTGCCGGGGCTCAGGGTGCCGGGGCTCAGGGTGTTGGGGCTCAGGGTGTTGGGGCTCAGGGTGCCGGGGCTCAGGGTCCCTCCCGCCGCCCCCCAGGGCTGCATGAACAACGTCACCTTCGGCACTGCCCGCTCCGGGTACTACGAGACGGTGGCGGGCGGGGCCGGGGCGGGCCCTGGCTGGCACGGCCGCAGCGGGGTGCACACGCACATGACCAACACCCGCATCACCGACCCCGAGATCCTGGAGCAGCGGTGCGGGACCGGGGGGTCGGGAGGGGACGGGGGTGCGGGGGGGTGCGGGCGCTGGAGCTGCCGGGGATGCCCCGCAGTGCAGGGGGCGCTGGGGGCGCTGGGGGCGCTGCTGAGCACTGGAGCTCCGGTGCCGCCCGCAGGTGCAGGGGGCGCTGGGGGCGCTGGGGGGCGCTGCTGAGCACTGGAGCTCCGGTGCTGCCCGCAGGTGCAGGGGGCGCTGCGGGCGCTGGGGGGCGCTGCTGAGCACTGGAGCTCCGGTGCCGCCCGCAGGTGCAGGGTGCAGGGTGCAGGGGGCGCTGGGGGCGCTGGGGGCGCTGCTGAGCACTGGAGCTGCCGGGGATGCCCCGCAGTGCAGGGGGCGCTGCGGGCGCTGGGGGGCGCTGCTGAGCACTGGAGCTCCGGTGCTGCCCGCAGGTACCCGGGTGCAGGGGTGCAGGGGGCGCTGGGGGCGCTGGGGGCGCTGCTGAGCACTGGAGCTCCGGTGCCGCCCGCAGGTACCCGGTGGTGCTGCAGCGCTTCGGGCTGCGGGCGGGCTCGGGAGGCGCCGGGCGCTGGCGCGGCGGGGACGGCCTGGTCCGGGAGCTGCTGTTCCGGGAGCGGCTGGAGCTGGCGGTGCTGAGCGAGAGGAGGGTGCTGAGGCCCTACGGGCTCTGCGGTGAGAGCTCGGGGGGCGCGGGGCTGGGGGCGACGGGGCAGCAATGGAGCAGCACGGACCCATGGGGGCAGCAATGGCACCCATGGAGCAGCAGGGACCCATGGGGGCAACGGGGCGCCCATGGAGCAGCACCGACCCATGGGGGCAGCAATGGCACCCATGGAGCAGCACGGAACAATGGGGGCAGCAATGGCACCCATGGAGCAGCAGGGACCCATGGGGGCAGCAATGGCACCCATGGAGCAGCAGGGACCCATGGGGGCAGCAATGGCACCCATGGAGCAGCAGGGACCCATGGGGGCAGCAATGGCACCCATGGAGCAGCACGGACCCATGGGGGCAGCAATGGCACCCCGTGAACCCCCATGACTCCCCATAACCCCCTGACCCCCATCTCTCCCTTAGGGGGCAGCCCCGGTGCCCCAGGCCTGAACCTGCTGCTGCGCCGCGACGGGAGAACCCTCAACCTGGGGGGCAAGAGCTCCGTGTCGGTGGAGCCGGGGGTGAGTGCGGGGACACCCCATACGTCACCTCCAGCCCCCACAGAGACCCGGACGTAACCCATAGAGACCCATGGATGCCCCATGGACCCCCAACCCCCCACCCAGATCCCCCCCATCCCCCCCCTTTCCCCCCTGACCCCTGCTCCCCCCATAGGACGTTTTCCGCCTCCTGACCCCCGGTGGCGGCGGCTTCGGAGCCCCCGAGGACGGGCCCGGGGCCGGGGCTGAGGATGGGGCCGGGGACAGAGCCCGGGGGGGGGGCCCGGTGCCACCGCCCCCCCCCAGCTTCACCGAGCGCGGCAGCGTCTTCGAGTACCGGCGGGCGCAGGAGAGCGTCTGAGGGGCTGCCCCACAACTGCGGCCATGGGGCTGCCCCACGGCGCACAGCGCACCCCATGGGCTGCCCCACGGCACACAGCGCACCCCATGGGCTGCCCCACAACTGCGGCCATGGGGCTGCCCCACAGCACACAGCGCACCCCATGGGCTGCCCCACAACTGCGGCCATGGGGCTGCCCCATGGCGCACAGCGCACCCCATGGGCTGCTCCACGGCACACAGCGCACCCCATGGGCTGCCCCACAACTGCGGCCATGGGGCTGCCCCACGGCACACAGCGCACCCCATGGGCTGCCCCACGGCACACAGCGCACCCCATGGGCTGCCCCACAACTGCGGCCATGGGGCTGCCCCACGGCACACAGCGTACCCCATGGGCTGCCCCACGGCACACAGCGCACCCCATGGGCTGCCCCACAACTGCGGCCATGGGGCTGCCCCACGGCACACAGCGCACCCCATGGGCTGCCCCACAGCACACAGCACACCCCATGGGCTGCCCCACGGCACACAGCACACCCCATGGGCTGCCCCACGGCACACAGCACACTCAATGGGCAGCCCCCAACCCCATAGGCACACACCCCATGGGGCAGCCCCCCCCAGGGTATGCACAGCCCATAGGGCAATCCCCCAACCCCACATGCATATATCCCACGGGGCAGCCCCCCAACCCTAGATACGCACAAGTCTATAGGGCAGCCCCTAACCCCAAGTAGCACCCCCTTGATCTTAGCTATGCACAATCCATGGGGCATTCCCCGAGCTCCCTTCACACACACCCCATAGGGCAGCTCCCCTCACTACACACACTCTATGGGGCAGCCCCCCAACCCTAGATACGCACAACTGATGTGGCAGACCCCAACCCCAATGCACACCCCATAGGGCAGCTCCCCTCACTACGCACACTCCCTGTGGGGCAGCCCCCAACCCTAGATAGGCACAGTCAATAGGGCAGCCCCCAAGCAGCATCCCCTTGATCGTAGCTATGCACACTCCATGGGGCAGACCCCAGCTCCCTTCACCCGCTATGGGGCGGTTCCCCAACTCCAGCTATGCACTCCCCAAAGCAGAGGGGACCGAGGGTCACCTCATGGGGCAGAGCTCAGGGTACTGCTATGGGGCAGCCTCTGCCCCATAGCTCTGCCCGTGGGCTTCAGCGCTTCTGCCTTGAAGCACATGGGGACCCCCACCCAGCACCCCGCAAATGTGGGGGCTGAGCCCCACAAGTGTGGGTCTCCATCTGCCCCATTGATCCCAGCTTGGTGCCTTCTAATAAAGGATTCAGACCTGCCCATGGCCTTGTGTGTGATGGGGGTCCCTGCCCCCAGCGATGGGGGGTGGGGGCAGCCCCCCAAGTGCTGTGGGGCTGGGGCAGTGTTTGGGCCTTTATGATAAAACTGACTGGAGCCAGGTCAATGCCGGATCAATGTCTCATCACTGCCCCATCAATTCCGGACCAATGCCAGGTTGGTGCCAGATCAATGCCCCATCAATACCCCATCAATGCCGGATCAATGTGGGATCAATGCTGGATCAGTGACAGATTGGTCCCAGATCAATGTCAAATCAATGCCCCATCAATACCAGATCAATGCTGGATCGATGCCAGATTGGTCCCAGATCAATGTCAAATCAATGCCCCATCAATGCCGGATCAATGTGGGATCAATGCTGGATCAGTGACAGATTGGTCCCAGATCAGTGTCAAATCAATGCCCCATCAATACTAGATCAATGCCGGATCAATGCTGGATCAATGCCAGATTGGTTCCAGATCAATGTCAAATCAATGCCCCATCAATGCCCCATCAATACCAGATCAATGTAGGATCAATGTCAGACCATTACCAGCTCAGTGCTGGATCAATGCTGAACTGGTCCCAGCTCAGTGCTGGATCAATGCTGAACTGGTCCCAGCTCAGTGCTGGATCAATGCTGAACTGGTCCCAGCTCAGTGCTGGATCAATGCTGAACTGGTCCCAGCTCAGTGCTGGATCAATGCTGAACTGGTCCCAGCTCAGTGCTGGATCAATGCTGAACTGGTCCCAGCTCAGTGCTGGATCAATGCTGAACTGGTCCCAGCTCAGTGCTGGATCAATGCTGAACTGATCCCAGCTCAGTGCTGGATCAATGCTGAACTGGCCCCAGATCAGTGCTGGATCAATGCTGAACTGGCCCCAGCTCAGTGCTGGATCAATGCTGAACTGGTCCCAGATCAGTGCTGGATCAATGCTGAACTGGTCCCAGATCAGTGCTGGATCAATGCTGAACTGGTCCCAGCTCAGTGCTGGATCAATGCTGAACTGGTCCCAGCTCAGTGCTGGATCAATGTCAGACCATTACCAGCTCAGTGCTGGATCAATGCTGAACTGGTCCCAGCTCAGTGCTGGATCAATGCTGAACTGGTCCCAGCTCAGTGCTGGATCAATGTCAGACCATTACCAGCTCAGTGCTGGATCAATGCTGAACTGGTCCCAGATCAGTGCTGGATCAATGCTGAACTGGTCCCAGCTCAGTGCTGGATCAATGCTGAACTGGTCCCAGCTCAGTGCTGGATCGGTGCCATACTGGTGCTGGCTCGGTGCTGGGTCGGTACCAGACCAATGCCCCATCACTGCCGGGTCCATGCTGGGTCAGAGCTGGAGCGGTCCCAGATCAACACTGGATCGATACTGAACCAGCGCTGGATCACTGCTGGATCCGTGCCGGATCAGTGCCACGATGGTGCCGGATCAGTGTCGGATCCATGCTGGATCTGTGCTGGATCAGCACCAGATCACTGCCACGATGGTGCCGGATCAGTGTTAGATCACTGCCGGATCAGCACCAGATCAGTGCCACGATGGTGCCGGATCAGTGTCGGATCCATGCTGGATTCGTGCTGGATCAGCGCCAGATCAGTGCCACGATGGTGCCGGATCAGTGCCGGATCAGTGTTAGATCACTGCTGGATCAGCACCAGATCAGTGCCACGATGGTGCCAGATCAGTGTTGGATCAGTGTTAGATCACTGCCGGATCAGCACCAGATCAGTGCCACGATGGTGCCGGATCAGTGTTAGATCACTGCTGGATCAGCACCAGATCAGTGCCACAATGGCGCTGGATCAGTGTTAGATCACTGCCGGATCAGCACCAGATCAGTGCCACGATGGTGCCGGATCAGTGCTGGATCAGTGTTAGATCACTGCCGGATCAGCACCAGATCAGTGCCACGATGGTGCCAGATCAGTGCCGGATCAGTGTTAGATCACTGCTGGATCAGCACCAGATCAGTGCCACGATGGTGCTGGATCAGTGTTGGATCACTGCCGGATCAGCACCAGATCAGTGCCACGATGGCGCCGGATCAGTGCCGGATCAGTGTTAGATCACTGCTGGATCAGCACCAGATCAGTGCCACGATGGTGCCAGATCAGTGTTGGATCAGTGTTAGATCACTGCCGGATCAGCACCAGATCAGTGCCACGATGGTGCCGGATCAGTGCTGGATCAGTGTTAGATCACTGCTGGATCAGCACCAGATCAGTGCCACGATGGTGCCAGATCAGTGCCGGATCAGTGTTAGATCACTGCCGGATCAGCACCAGATCAGTGCCACGATGGTGCCGGATCAGTGCCGGATCAGTGTTAGATCACTGCTGGATCAGCACCAGATCAGTGCCACGATGGTGCCGGATCAGTGCTGGATCAGTGTTAGATCACTGCCGGATCAGCACCAGATCAGTGCCACGATGGTGCCAGATCAGTGTCGGATCCGTGCTGGATCCGTGCTGGATCAGCGGCACATTGACACCAGCACCATGTCCCAGTCACCCCTTGTCCCAGTGTCCCGGTGTCCCGGTGTCCCAGTGTCCCGGTGCTGGTGTCGCTGTGTCCCAGTGCCCCGGTGTTGCTGTGTCCTGGTGCTGGTGTCCCGGTGCTGGTGTCCCGGTGCTGGTGTCCCGGTGTCCCAGTGTCCCGGTACTGGAGTGCCGGTGTTGCTGTGTCCCAGTGCCGGTGTCCCGGTGCTGCGGTGCCGGTGTTGCTGTGTCCCAGTGCCGGTGTCCCGGTGCTGCGGTGCCGGTGTTGCTGTGTCCCAGTGCCGGTGTCCCGGTGCTGCGGTGCCGGTGTTGCTGTGTCCCAGTGCCGGTGTCCCGGTGCTGCGGTGCCGGTGTCGCTGTGTCCCAGTGCCGGTGTTGCTGTGTCCCAGTGCCGGTGTCCCGGTGCTGCGGTGCCAGTGTCGCTGTGTCCCAGTGCCGGTGTTGCTGTGTCCCAGTGCCGGTGCTGCGGTGCCGGTGTCGCTGTGTCCCAGTGCCGGTGTCCCGGTGCTGCGGTGCCGGTGCCGGTGCCGGTGTTGTTGTCAGGGCGCGCCGGGGCCCACGTGCAGGCTGAGGGCCACGGGCAGGTGATCGGAGCACGTGGCCAAGCGGGTGATGAAGGAGACGGCGGCGACGTCCTGGGGACAGGGGATGGGGGGCTCAGGGGGGTCAGGGGGGTCAGGGGGGTCAGGGGGGTCAGGGGGGGCTCAGGGGGGTTGGGGGTTCAGGGGGGCCTAAGGGGGGGTCAGGGGGGTCAGGGGGGGCTCAGGGGGGTCAGGGGGGGCTCAGGGGGGGCTCAGGGGGGTTGGGGGTTCAGGGGGGCCTAAGGGGGGGTCAGGGGGGCTCAGGGGGGTCAGGGGGGGCTCAGGGGGGGTCAGGGGGGGCTCAGGGGGGTCAGGGGGCGCTAAGGGGGGGTCAGGGGGGGCTCAGGGGGGGTCAGGGGGGGTCAGGGGGCGCTAAGGGGGCTCAGGGGGGTCAGGGGGGGTCAGGGGGCTCAGGGGGGGTCAGGGGGGTCAGGGGGGCTCAGGGGGGTCAGGGGGGCTCAGGGGTCTCGGGTTCCCCCCCCATTGCAGCTCTCACCGTGCGCAGCGGCGGCCGCGGCCCGGAACACGGCGTAATCCAAGCGGCGGCCCCGGCACGGGGCGGGGAAGGAGGCGTCCGGGAGCCCCGAGGCCAGGATGGGGCCCGCCAGGAACCGGCAGCGGCCACCGGGAGAGGAGAGGGTCCTGGGGGGACACGGGAGGGCAGTGAGGGGGGCACGGGGGGGGGACAGGGAGGGAGGGGGGCAGAGAGGGATGGGGGCACTGCGGGATGGGGGCAGAGGGGGATGGGGGCAGAGAGGGATGGGGGCAGAGTGGGATGGGGGCAGAGTGGGATGGGGGCAGAGTGGGATGGGGGCAGCACGGGATGGGGGCACTGCGGGATGGGGGCAGAGTGGGATGGGGGCACTGCGGGATGGGGGCAGAGTGGGATGGGGGCAGAGTGGGATGGGGGCAGCGCGGGATGGGGGCAGCACGGGATGGGGGCACTGCGGGATGGGGGCAGAGAGGGATGGGGGCAGAGAGGGATGGGGGCACTGCGGGATGGGGGCAGAGCGGGATGGGGGCACTGCGGGATGGGGCAGAGCGGGATGGGGGCACTGTGGCACCCGGTCAGCACGGGATGGGGACAGCACAAAGTGAGGGAAGGGCACCAGGGCACCACGGTGACACCAGAGCACCGCAGTGACACCAGGGCACCACGGTGACACCAGGGCACCGGGACACTCCGGCATGAAGACACCAGGGGATGGGGGACTTGGGATGGGGAATGCAGCAGGACAGGGGCGCCATGGGATAGGGACAAGGGGGAAGTGGAATGGGGACGTGAGGACACCATGGCAGAGGGAAACAGTGGCATGGGGACATGATGGAATGGGGACGTGGGGACTTGGGGACATGGGGGCACAGGGATGGGGTGGCACAGGGACCTCATGGCACAGGGATGGCCCCCCCCCCCCCCCAGGGCTTTGATGGCCTTTCCCCATGTCCCCTCCCCATCACCTCTTCATCTTCTCCGGGGTGGACACGGGCTCCTCATAGATCTCCAGGTAGTTGAGGAGAGTGCCTGGGAACAGGGGAGATGGGGCACATAAGGATATGGGGGAGATGGGGCACATAAGGATATGGGGGAGATGGGGCACATAAGGACATGGGGGGAGATGGGGCACATAAGGATATGGGGGAAGATGGGGCAGATAAGGATATGGGGGGAGATGGGGCACATAAGGATATGGGGGGAGGTGGACACAGGGGTTGGGACAAGTGGTGATGAGAACAGGGACGGTGCCCGGGCCAGGCCACGCTGTGTCCCTGGCGGGTGGCAGGGGGTGCCCAGTCCCACCTATGGCCCAGGGCTCATCCTGCCCCGGTCCCTGGCGGCACGGGTCCTGGTAGAGCTCGAAGAGCCGGTGCCGCTGGTTGAGCTGGTCACCTGCGGGCAGGGACGCAGAGGGGGTCACCCCATGGACAACGCGTGCTCCCTGTGCCCTCAGGTCCCTCAGTCCCCATGTCTCCTATCCCCATGTCCCTATGTCCCCATATCGCCTATCCCCATGTCCCTCAGTCCCCATATCCCCTATCCCCATGTCTCTATGTCCCCTATCCCCATGTCCCTCAGTCCCCATGTCCCCTATCCCCATGTCCCTATGTCCCCATATCGCCTATCCCCATGTCCCTCAGTCCCCATATCCCCTATCCCCATGTCTCTATGTCCCCTATCCCCATGTCCCCTCTCTCCATGTCCCCTACCCCCTATCCCCATGTCCCCTATCCCCACCTCCCCTATCCCCTATCCCCTATCCCCACCTCCCCTATCCCCACCTCCCCATCTCCCGTATCCCCTATCCCCACGTCCCCTACCCCCATCTCCCCTATCCCCACCTCCCCTGTCCCCCTATCCCCTATCCCCACGTCCCCTATCCCCCTGTACCCTATCCCCACCTCCCCTGTCCCCCTATCCCCACGTCCCCTATCCCCCCGTCCCCTATCCCCACCTCCCCTATCCCCTATCCCCTATCCCCCTGTCCCCTATTCCCCTATCCCCACGTCCCCCATCCCCACGTCCCCTATCCCCATCTCCCCCATCCCCACCTCCCCTGTCCCCCTATCCCCACGTCCCCTATCCCCCCGTCCCCTATCCCCACCTCCCCTATCCCCACGTCCCCTATCCCCCTGTCCCCTATCCCCCTATCCCCTATCCCCTATCCCCCCGTCCCCTATCCCCCATCCCCACGTCCCCCATCCCCACGTCCCCCATCCCCACGTCCCCCACCCCCACGTCCCCATGTCCCCAGGTCCCCCCCGTCCGTTCCCCCCCGTGTCCCCACCGCGGGAGCAGTTGTCGAAGTTGAGGTCCCCGCAGAGGACGTCGAAGGCCACCAGGTCCCCGCTGCGCTCCTGCTCCTGCTGGAACCGCTGCAGCCAGCGCAGCGCCAGCGTCAGCTGCGCGTCCCGGACGGCGCCGTCCCCTGCGGCACACGGGGGCCGTGGAACCGCTGCGCTGCCGCCCCCCGGCCCGCTCCGTCCCCGCCGCCCGCCGCTCACCGGCCGGCGCCTGCAGGTGCGTGCAGCCCACGTAGCCCACGATGCGGCGGTGCCGCGCCGAGCCCAGCTGCACCTGCGGGACGACAGCGGCCTCAGCGGGGCCCCGGCACCGCGGCGGGGCCCGGCGGGACCCGCGCTCACCTGGACCATGAGCAGCCCCTTGTCGGCCATCGCGTCCTCCCGGGCGCCGTTGGGGAAGCTGCGGAAGGCGGCGGCCAGCACCGGGAAGCGGCTGGCGAGGAACAAGCCGCTGCCGAGCAGCCGCAGGCGCCCGCGGCGCAGCCCCCCCGTGCCCACCTCCGAGATAACGTGCGGGAACACGCGGCCGAGCCGGCGGCGGAGACACGCGGCGGCCGCGCCGTCGAACACCTCCTGCAGGCAAAGGACGTCGGCGGCCGGCGGGAAGCGCTCGGACAGCGGCGGCTCCGGCTCCGTCAGCGGCGGCTCCGGCTCCGTCAGCGGCGGCTCCGGCTCCGTCACCGGCGGCTCCGGTTCCCTCACCGGCGGCTCCGGCTCCGCCATCGGCGGCTCCGGCTCCGTCAGCGGCGCCTCCACCTCGGGCATCTCCAGGGCCACGCCGCGCTCGGTGCTCAGGGTCCCTCCGTAGCCGTTGGCTCCGCGGTGCCGCGGCTCCACCAGGCCCGCGCGGTCGCTGCCGGGGTCCGGTGGGGCCGGGACGAGGCGCCGGGCGATGTCCGCTGCCCGCTGCGGGGTCTGCCCCAGGTTGCTGAACTTGGCCAAGCCGCTGGGCAGGAGGCAGAGGTTGGCGCTGACGAAGGTGAAGGTCCGGGGCTGCCGCAGGTCCCACGGCTCGGCCGGCGCCGCCGCCGTGTGCTGGTAAAGGAAGGGGCTCCGCGCCGCCTGCAGCGGCAGCCACAGCAGCAGCCCCAGCGCCGTGAGGGGCAGCGAGAGCAGCAGCAGCACCGCGAGCACCGGCCCCGCCACCGCCCGAGCGGCGCAACCGCGGCACCAAGCGCACGGCCGCCGCCGCCGCCGCTCCGCCGTCGTGGGCCGCAGGTCCAGGAGCCGGTTGAGGGCCCAGGAGCCGGGAGCCAGCAGCGCCCGAGCCACGGCGTCCAGAGCCGCCAGCGCGGGGCTGCGGAACGGGGCCTGCGGCAGCCGCATCCCCTGGGGCGCGCTCAGCGCGGGGTCCCCGCCGCAGCCGCTGACACCTGCGGGACACGGAGCCGCGTTGGGACCGAGCGGCCGCAGCCGGAGCCGCCCCCGCGGGAGCCTCCGCGTCCCCCGTGAGCGCCCCGCGCGGCTCCGGGTCCGACGGAAGCACCGGAGCGGGCCGGGGGCCGCGGAGCAACCGGAGCCCGAGCACCGGCACCCACGGAGACCCCGGCACCGGCGGCACTCCCGGCAGCGCCGCTCGCCCGCGCCCGGGAGCCTCCGTCCGGCCGCGGGAGCCGGGAAGGGGCTGAGCCGCGGCGGCGCCGGGACTGGCCCGACGGGTTCCCGGTACCTGCGGGGGGCAGGACCCGGCGCCACGGGCGAAAACACCGCGTCTGCCCCGGCACCGCCGGCTGCGCCAGGGAGCCCTGAGCGAGCCTGACCGGGTCTGAGTGAGCCCTGAGCGAGCCTGACTGAGCCTGACTGAGCCTGACCGGGTCTGAGCGAGCCCTGAGCGAGCCCTGACCGGGTCTGAGCGAGCCCTGAGCGAGCCCTGACCGGGTCTGAGCGAGACCTGAGCGAGCCTGAGTGAGCCCTGACTGAGCCTGACTGAGCCTGACTGAGCCTGACCGGGTCTGAGTGAGCCCTGAGCGAGCCCTGAGCGAACCTGACTGAGCCTGACCGGGTCTGACCGGGTCTGAGTGAGACCTGAGACCTGAGCGAGCCTGACTGAGCCTGACCGGGTCTGAGCGAGCCCTGAGCGAGCCTGACTGAGCCTGACCGGGTCTGAGCGAGCCCTGAGCGAGCCTGACTGAGCCTGACCGGGTCTGAGCGAGCCCTGAGCGAACCTGACCGGGTCTGAGTGAGACCTGAGTGAGCCCTGAGCGAACCTGACCGGGTCTGAGTGAGACCTGAGTGAGACCTGAGCGAACCTGACTGGGTCTGAGCGAGCCTGACTGAGCCTGACTGAGCCTGACCGGGTCTGAGTGAGACCTGAGTGAGACCTGAGCGAACCTGACTGAGCCTGACCGGGTCTGAGTGAGACCTGAGTGAGACCTGAGCGAGTCTGAGAGAGCCCTGCCTGAGCCCGGGTCCTGCCTGAGCCTGAGCCCAAGCCCAAGCCCGAGCCCTGCCTGAGCTTGAGCCCTGCCTGAGTCCTGCCTGAGCCGTAGCCCTGCTCCAGCCTGAGTCCTGTCTGAGTCTGACCTGACCCTACCTGAGTACTGACTGAGCCTGGGTTTTACCTAAGCTTGAGTCCTGTCTGTCCTGCCCACGTCTGACCTGACCCTACCTGAGTACTGACTGAGCCTGGGTCTTGCCTAAGCTTGAGTCCTGTCTGAGTCCTGTCTGAGTCCTGCCTGAGTCTGACCTGACCCAACCTGAGTACTGACTGAGCCTGGGTCTTGCCTAAGCTTGAGTCCTGTCTGTCCTGCCCAAGTCTAACCTGACCCTGCCAGAGTCCTGCCCACGTCCGGGGCCCTGCCCAAGTCCCGAGTCCTGCTCCAGCCTGAGTCCTGTCTGAGTCCTGCCCTCCTGCGCCCACTGCCAGCGTGGGATGCTGCTGGGCACTGGGGATGCTGGGGTCACTGGGAGCGCTGGGGCTGCTCCAACCCATCCCAGGTCCCGGTACACGCAGCCGCTCAGGGCTGTGTTGGCTGGTGGTGTCCCTGGCCTGGCACCAACCTTGGCTCCATCCCCGCTGCTGCCATGGGGCCAGGGCACAGCCATGGGGCTGGTTCCCACCTCACTGACCCCAGCACGGCCCTGGCACAGCTCTGGCACGGCCCCAGCACGGTTCTGGCACACTTCCTGCCCCATGGTTCCTGCCCCACGGCGCTGGCGCAGCTCCGAATGACTCAGCCCAGGGCCCGGCACTTCCCAGTGGCTCCCACATCCCACGGGAAGGTCAATCACTGTCACGGGAGTGTGAGTGTGCGGGGAGCGGCCCCCGCGGTGCCGGGGTCACCGTGAGCCATGGACAGGCAGCCACAGCGGAGCCGGCAGAGCCGGTGGGGCCGAACACGGAGCGGGAGCAGGAACAGGGAGCAGGGAACAGGGAGAAGCAGGCAGCAGTCGTTGTTCTCACAGGACTGATGTGGGCATTGTGCAGGCAGCAGAACCAGCATTGACCCACGGTGCAGGCAGCAGAACCACCATTGACCCATTGCCCCACGGTGCAGGCAAGCACCGGGAAGAGGCATTGACCCATTGCCCCACGGTGCAGGAAACAGCAGGAAGAGTCATTGACCCATTGCACCACAGTGCAGGAAGCAGCACTGCCCCATTGCCCCACAGTGCAGGAAGCAGCAGGAAGCAGCATTGCCCCATTGCCGCACAGTGCAGGAAGCATCTGGAAGCAGCATTGCCCCATTGCCCCACAGTGCGGGCAGCAGCTGGAAGCAGCATTGCCCCATTGCCGCACAGTGCAGGAAGCATCTGGAAGCAGCATTGCCCCATTGCCCCACAGTGCGGGCAGCAGCCGGAAGCAGCATTGCCCCATTGCCCCACAGTGTGGGCAGCCGCCGGAAGCAGCATTGCCCCATTGCCCCACAGTCTGGGCAGCAGCCGGAAGCAGCATTGCCCCATTGCCCCACAGTGTGGGCAGCAGCCGGAAGCAGCATTGCCCCATTGCCGCACAGTGCGGGCAGCAGCTGGAAGCAGCATTGCCCTATTGCCTTATGGTGGGGGCAGTAGCAGGAAGTGGCATTTCCCGTGGTACAGGCAGGAGAACCGGCAGTGTTGGCAGGGCGGGCAGCACCAGGGCCCCCGGTGCTGTGTTTGCCCAGCACCTGCCTGTTTGCCTGCACCGCGCTGCCTGTACCTTGCTGCCTGTCCTGTGCTGCCCAGCAGCTCCTGCCCGCCACTGCCTTCGGTGCTGGCAATGGAATGAGTGGCACCGACCCCCAGGGCTGGTTCCTTCCCTGAGATCCCGGCTGCCCTGAGCTGCCCGCATCAGCCCCTGCCCTCACCAGCCCTGAGCTGCCCGCACCAGTCCCCTGCCCTCACCAGCCCCTGCCCTCACCAGTCCCCTGCCCGCACCAGTCCCCTGCCCGCACCAGTCCCCTGCCCTCACCAGCCCCTGCCCTCACCAGTCCCCTGCCCGCACCAGTCCCCTGCCCTCACCAGCCCCTGCCCGCACCAGCCCCTGCCCACACCAGCCCCTGCCCTCACCAGCCCCTGCCCACACCAGTCCCTCTGCCGCCGGCCTCGGTCACGCCACGTCCCGTGTTCCCGGTGCCCGCCGCTCACCTTCAGACTCCAGGGCCCCGGGCGCCATGGCCAAAGCCACCAACACGGGAGGCTCCGGCCCCGCTGCCGACGGTCACCGGCGGCTCCGCAGGTCACAAACATCCGCTGGCTGCGGCCGGGCCCGGTGCCCGGGCTGGCGACATTCCTGCCGCGGTGCGTGGCCAGCGCCGCACCTCCTCTTCCACCTGCGGGCAGGGGCCGGCACAGTGCGGGCAGGGGTGGGCACGGTGCGGGCAGGGGTGGGCACGGTGAGGGCAGGGGCGGGTATGGGGCGGGCAGGGGCGGGCAGCGGTACGGACGAGGTCTGGCAGTGGTAAGGCAGGGAGCCGGAGCTGCTGGTGCTGCACCTTGCCCGGCTGGTTCAACCGGCGCTGTAACCCCTTGTCTGCCGCGTCCTGGCTGTGCCGGTGCCCGGGGGGGTGGTGACGGGCGCAGGGTGACGGGTGCAGGGTGACAGGTGCTGGGTGCTGGGCGCAGGGTGCTGGGTGCAGGGTGTTGGGTGCAGGGTGCTGAGTGCTGGGTGCTGAGTGCTGAGTGCAGGGTGCTGAGTGCTGGGTGCTGTGTGCAGGGTGTTGGGTGCAGGGTGCTGAGTGCTGGGTGCAGGGTGCTGTGTGCAGGGTGCGGGTGCTGTCCCCTACCTGGCTGCTTCTCGGTGAGCTCCGGCTGCGCTCGGCCCGGCCCCGCGTGTCCGCTCGTTTCCCGTCGGCGCCGGCTGACTCCGCGCTGCTTTTCCCCTTCCTGCCACGGGCAGCGCGGAGCCGGGGCTGAGGCGGGGCTGAGCCCCCCAGAAACCTGCGCCCAGCACCGGCCCGGCCCCTCCCGGGCTCACCTCAGGACCAGGGGTGCCCGTGCCCCCCTCCGCGGGGCTGCCCCCTCCCTCCCGTGCTCCCGGGGCCGGTTCCAGGCTCCCGCTTCCGCATCCGAGCGGCGGCGGCTGCCAAAGGGAACAGGGAAAAGAGCCACGGCCTTGACCGCGGGGTGACCCCCCCCTCCCTGCACCGGTGTCTGTAACCCTGCCTGCACCCAGCACCCTGCCTGCACCCAGCACCGCTGCCTGTAACCCTGCCTGCACCCAGCACCGGTGTCTGTAACCCTGCCTGCACCCAGCACCGCTGCCTGTAACCCTGCCTGCACCCAGCACCGGTGTCTGTAACCCTGCCTGCACCCAGCACCGGTGTCTGTAACCCTGCCTGCACCCAGCACCGGTGTCTGTAAGCCGGCCTGCACCCAGCACCCTGCCTGCACCCAGCACCGCTGCCTGCACCCAGCACCGCTGCCTGTAACCCTGCCTGCACCCAGCACTGGTGTCTGTAACCCTGCCGGCACCCAGCACCGGTGTCTGTAACCCTGCCTGCACCCAGCACCCTGCCTGCACCCAGCACCGGTGTCTGTAACCCTGCCGGCACCCAGCACCGCTGCCTGTAACCCTGCCTGCACCCAGCACCGCTGCCTGTAACCCTGCCTGCACCCAGCACTGGTGTCTGTAACCCTGCCTGCACCCAGCTCCCTGCCTGCACCCAGCACCGCTGCCTGTAACCCTGCCTGCACCCAGCACCGCTGCCTGTAACCCTGCCTGCACCCAGCACCGCTGCCTGTAACCCTGCCTGCACCCAGCACTGGTGTCTGTAACCCTGCCTGCACCCAGCTCCCTGCCTGCACCCAGCACCGCTGCCTGTAACCCTGCCTGCACCCAGCACCGCTGCCTGTAACCCTGCCTGCACCCAGCACCGGTGTCTGTAACCCTGCCTGCACCCAGCACTGGTGTCTGTAACCCTGACTGCACCCAGCACCCTGCCTGCACCCAGCACCGCTGCCTGCACCCAGCACCGCTGCCTGTAACCCTGCCTGCACCCAGCACCGGTGTCTGTAACCCTGCCTGCACCCAGCACCGGTGTCTGTAACCCGGCCTGCACCCAGCACCGCTGCCTGTAACCCTGCCGGCACCCAGCACCGGTGTCTGTAACCCGGCCTGCACCCAGCACCCTGCCTGCACCCAGCACCGGTGTCTGTAACCCTGCCGGCACCCAGCACCCTGCCTGCACCCAGCACCGCTGCCTGTAACCCTGCCTGCACCCAGCACCGGTGTCTGTAACCCTGCCGGCACCCAGCACCGCTGCCTGTAACCCTGCCTGCACCCAGCACCGGTGTCTGTAACCCTGCCTGCACCCAGCACCGCTGCCTGTAACCCTGCCTGCACCCAGCACCGCTGCCTGTAACCCTGCCTGCACCCAGCACCGGTGTCTGTAACCCTGCCTGCACCCAGCACCGCTGCCTGTAACCCTGCCTGCACCCAGCACCGGTGTCTGTAACCCTGCCTGCACCCAGCACCGCTGCCTGTAACCCTGCCTGCACCCAGCACCGGTGTCTGTAACCCTGCCTGCACCCAGCACCGGTGTCTGTAACCCTGCCTGCACCCAGCACCGGTGTCTGTAACCCGGCCTGCACCCAGCACCCTGCCTGCACCCAGCACCGCTGCCTGCACCCAGCACCGCTGCCTGTAACCCTGCCTGCACCCAGCACTGGTGTCTGTAACCCTGCCGGCACCCAGCACCGCTGCCTGTAACCCTGCCTGCACCCAGCACCGCTGCCTGTAACCCTGCCTGCACCCAGCACCGGTGTCTGTAACCCTGCCTGCACCCAGCACCGCTGCCTGTAACCCTGCCTGCACCCAGCACCGGTGTCTGTAACCCTGCCTGCACCCAGCACCGCTGCCTGTAACCCTGCCTGCACCCAGCACCGCTGCCTGTAACCCTGCCTGCACCCAGCACCGGTGTCTGTAACCCTGCCTGCACCCAGCACCGGTGTCTGTAACCCTGCCGGCACCCAGCACCCTGCCTGCACCCAGCACCGCTGCCTGTAACCCTGCCTGCACCCAGCACCGGTGTCTGTAACCCTGCCTGCACCCAGCACCGCTGCCTGTAACCCTGCCTGCACCCAGCACCGGTGTCTGTAACCCTGCCTGCACCCAGCACTGGTGTCTGTAACCCTGCCTGCACCCAGCACTGGTGTCTGTAACCCTGCCTGCACCCAGCACCGCTGCCTGTCACCCTGCCTGCACCCAGCACCGGTGTCTGTAACCCTGCCTGCACCCAGCACCGCTGCCTGTAACCCTGCCTGCACCCAGCACCGGTGTCTGTAACCCTGCCTGCACCCAGCACTGGTGTCTGTAACCCTGCCTGCACCCAGCACTGGTGTCTGTAACCCTGCCTGCACCCAGCACCGCTGCCTGTCACCCTGCCTGCACCCAGCACTGGTGTCTGTAACCCTGCCTGCACCCAGCTCCCTGCCTGCACCCAGCACCGCTGCCTGTAACCCCGCGTGCCCCCAGCGCCGCCGCACACGCCGTTGTTGCTCTGGCTCAGGTTTATTGCCCGGTGCCGGTGCCGGCGCTCACCAGAAGAAGAGCGGGTGCCCGTCCTCCCTGGCCAGCGCCTCCAGGCACTCCAGCAGCACCATCGCGTCCCGCAGCGCCGCCCGCGGCACCGTCTCGGCCAGGACGCGGCGCAGGAAGGCCGGGCTGTGCCGGGGGTCGGGGCTGCTGGGCCCCGCCAGGACGCCGAAGGCGTTCACCAGCGCCTCGCTGAAGGCGGGGTGCACCGAGGGGCTGTAGCCCAGCGCCTGCAGCCGCCGCATCACGCCCAGGTAGCGCCGCACGGCCGCCACGCAGCCCCGCTCGTCGAAGCTGCCCGGGACCGCGTTCAGCGCCGTCTGCGGGGGTTGGGGGGGGGGAGAGCGCCGGGTGAGCGCCGCGGGTCCCCGCCGGGCTGGCGGGGGCGGGGGGGGGCCGCAGGGCTCGGTACCGTCATGATCCTCTCGGGGATGGTGGCGACGGTGAAGCCGTAGAGCCGCGCGTGGTCGGGGAAGACGCTGGCGAGGATGCGGCGGTCGAGCTGGAACGCGATCTCACCCACCAGCGGCTCCCAGGGCCGGTGCCGGCTCCCTGCGGGGCCCCCGGCGGACGGAGTCAGCCCCGCACATCGGCAGCGCCACCGCGGCCCCGAGCTCCCCGCTGAGGCCCCCCCCGCTCACCTGGTGAACCCGAGACCGGCGGCGAGTCCTGCCCCGCCGCCGGCCCCGGCAGCTCCAACCCCGGTGCTTGCGGTGCTGCCGGGGGCGCCGCCGGGGCCGGGGCCGGGGCCGGGGCCGGGGCCGGGGCCGGTGGGAAGGGGTGCGGGGGGGGCCCGGCCGCCGCCGGCCGCAGGTCCGACAGCCTCATGCTGCTGCTGCTGCTCAGCTCCAGCGTCACGGGAGGGGTCCGGGAGCCGGCGGGGCTGAAGCGGTTCAGGGGGCACGAGAGCCGCAGGCTGTCAGCGCCGGGGGGGCCGGGCACGGTCACCGGGAGCGCTGCCGGGGAGGAGAAGACTGGGGGGGGGCTGCAGTGGAACCATCAGCCCAGGGCTGGGGCTGGGGTTAGGATGGGATGGGATGGGAATGGTTGGGGATGGGATTAGGATGGGGATGGGGATGAGGATGGATGGGGATGGAGATTGACTGGGATGGATGGGGATGGGATGGGATAGGGTTAGGGTGGAGATTGGGTGGGATGGAAAGCCCCCTCCGTATACATCTCATCCTGCCATCAGCGAATATCATGCCGCTGCTCAAGTTGCTGTTCATGCCGCTGCTGATGCCGGCGCTGCCGCTGATGCCGGCGCTGCTGTCGGTGACTGTCGAGCCCAGCGGCAGCGGAGCCCAGGGTCCATCCTGCGACTGCTGCGTGATGTCCCACGGGGAGCTCTGCTGCAGCGGTGCCAGCTCTGGCGCGCCGCTCGCTGCAGTGCTGTGGTCAGTGCATGTGCCACCGCCACCACAACCCTCTGCCACCACCAGCGCAACCCTCTGCCACCACCACCGCAACCCTCTGCCACCACCACCACAACCCTCTGCCATCACCACCATAACCCCTCTGCCACCGCCACCACAACCCTCTGCCACCACCACCACAACCCTCTGCCACCACCACCACAACCCTCTGCCACCACCACCGCAACCCTCTGCCACCATCACCGCAACCCTCTGCCACCATCACCGCAACCTTCTGCCACCACCACCACTGCAACCCTTTGCCACCACCACCATAACCCCTCTGCCACCACCACCACCACAACCCTCTGCCACCACCACTATAACCCCTCTGCCACCACCACTGCAACCCTCTGCCATCACCACCATAACCCCTCTGCCACCGCCACCGCAAGCCCTCTGCCACCACCAACATAACCCCTCTGCCACCACCACCACCGCAACCCTCTGCCACCACCACCACAACCCTCTGCCATCACCACCATAACCCCTCTGCCACCACCACCACAACCCTCTGCCATCACCACCACAACCCCTCTGCCACCACCACCATAACCCTTCTGCCACCACCACCACCGCAACCCTCTGCCATCACCACCACAACCCTCTGCCACCACCACCGCAACCTCTCTGCCATCATCACCACAACCTCTCTGCCACCACCACCACCACAACCCTCTGCCATCACCACCACCGCAACCCTCTGCCACCACCACCGCAACCTCTCTGCCACCACCACCACCGCAACCTCTCTGCCACCACCGCCGCAACCTCTCTGCCATCACCACCACAACCCCTCTGCCACCTCCACTGCCGAGGTGTTTCCTGTGCCACCACGGCCACCCACCCGTGCCAGGGAAGGGGAAGTAGCCGCTGTGGGTCCCGAGCGGCGGTGCGGAGCCGGGCACACCCCGCTGGCATTGCCGGAGCTGCCGCTGGTCCTGCAGCCGCCCCACAGCTCGCGCCAGCTCCTCGTTCTCCGCCAGCAGCGCCTGGATCTCGCGGCGCAGGCGGTCATAGCAGGCCAGGACCGTGAGCCCCGCGCGCGGCACCGGCTCCATGGGCTGCCCGGTGGTGCCAGCGGCAGCCCCGTGGAACCCGGGGGGAGCCGGGGCCCTGGTTCCATGGGGACGTCACAAAGGGACATCGCCCCCAACACCCAGCGCGGCCGCGGGCGCCCGGCACTGCCATGGCGCTCTGCCCCGGGAAGCACCCGCTCCACCGGCACGAGGAGGGGTCGCTGCTGCCGGGGGGCCCCGTGCTGCGCCCCTGCCTCCATCCCCCTCGCTCTGGGCCCGCAGGACCTCAGCTGGGGCCGTGCTGCGGCACGTGCTGGGTCACCGCGCCGCTGCCACCGCCGGCACCCCTGTGGGGAGCCTGGCTCAGCCCTTCCGGCTGCCGGGACCCCCGCGACGGCTGCGCCGGCCCCGCTTCCCCGGCCCCGCTCCACCACGCGTGGCCCAGCGCGCCCGCACGCTCCACGGAGAGCCTCGGCAGCGCCGACCCGAGCCCCAGCGCTGGGAGCCCCCCGGCACCGCCGTGCCCCGGTGCGGAGGAGGAGGCCCTCAGCACCACGCTGCCGCTGTGCCGGCTCAGCGCCAGCGCCAGCACCGCCATCGACCGCCGCTCCTTCCTCGCCACGGGCCTGGCCGCCGAGCTGCTGGAGGAGCTGCTGAGCCGGCGGCTGCCGGCGCCGCGGCCGGAGCAGGATGGCGGCAGCCCCGAGGAGCGCTGCTGCGCCAGCATCACCGCCTCCCCGTCACTGGAGCGGCTGCGCCGGCACAACCAGGGCTTCCAGCGCGCCATGGAGAGCTTTCGGGACCCGGCACGGGTGGCGCTGGAGGCTCCCGGCTGCCCCGGGCAGCGCTGGTGCCAGGCCCAGCACCGCGGCCACCCCTGCTGTGACCCTGCCTGGCACGTGGCCCATGGCTGCTGCGCCCGCGTGGAGCCGGTGCCGGGCATCGGGCACCAGCGTGGGCCAAAGCCCGGCCCCACGGCACCAACCCGCAGCGAAACCTCCAGCGCCCGGCAGCGCCACAAGCACCGCAGCGGCACCCGGGACGCGCACCCGGCGCCTGGCGCTGGCACCATCGTCAGCCACGAGCTGCAGCAGGGCTGGCGTGGCACCCGGGCTGCGGCCAGAGCAGGCAAGGAGCCCCAGTGGGAACCAGAGCTCAGCCGGCAGCCCTGCGGCCAGGAGGTAAGGCTTGGTGTGCTGGGCTGGCATGGAGCCTTGCCATGGGGCACAGAGCATTGCCATGTGGCACGGAGCATTGCCATGTGGCACAGTGCCATAATGGAGCATTGCCGTGTGGCATGGAGCCTTGCCATGGGGCACAGAGCATTGCCATGTGGCACGGAGCATTGCCATGTGGCACAGTGCCATAATGGAGCATTGCCGTGTGGCATGGAGCCTTGCCATGGGGCACAGAGCATTGCCATATGGCACGGAGCATTGCCATGTGGCATGGAGCTTTGCCATGTGGCACGGAGCATTGCAATGTGGCACAGTGCCATAATGGAGCATTGCCGTGTGGCATGGAGCCTTGCCATGGGGCACAGAGCATTGCCATGTGGCACGGAGCTTTGCCATGTGGCACAGAGCATTGCGATGTGGCACAGTGCCATAATGGAGCATTGCCGTGTGGCATGGAGCGTTGCCATGGGGCACAGAGCATTGCCATATGGCACGGAGCATTGCCATGTGGCATGGAGCTTTGCCATGTGGCACGGAGCATTGCGACGTGGCACAGTGCCATAATGGAGCATTGCCATATGGCACGGAGCATTGCGATGTGGCACAGTGCCATAATGGAGCATTGCCGTGTGGCATGGAGCTTTGCCATGTGGCACGGAGCATTGCGACGTGGCACAGTGCCATAATGGAGCATTGCCGTGTGGCATGGAGCTTTGCCATGTGGCACGGAGCATTGCGACGTGGCACAGTGCCATAATGGAGCATTGCCATATGGCACGGAGCATTGCAATGTGGCACAGTGCCATAATGGAGCATTGCCGTGTGGCATGGAGCTTTGCCATGTGGCACGGAGCATTGCGATGTGGCACAGTGCCATAATGGAGCATTGCCATATGGCACGGAGCACCATCATGGCTCCACCACCACTGCACCTCTCCCCCCGCAGGGTCTCGCCGTGTCGCTGCAGTGCCACGATGGACAAGTAGAGCCGGGGCCGGGCTGCGGCTGCGGCTGTGCCCTGGCCCTGAAGACCCCCCCGCAGGACATGGGCTGGATGCAGCAGGAGCAGGAGGTGCTGGTGCCACGGAGCTGCTGTCAGCAGCCGTGTGCCGCCGGTGCCACCAACATGGTGCAGGTCATCGCCAGGAGCTTCGAGCTATGGGCGCGGCAGGACCCACGTGTGCCTCTGGCGGTGCCAGGGCCTGCACAGACCTGGTGTGGCCAGGCCGGGGCCTGCGATGGTGCCCGGTGCGGGGCCTGCTCTTGAATAAAGCCCCGGCCGTGGCCGAACCCGGTATCGGTCTCGGTGTCGGTGTGACCATAACTGAGCCCATGCGGTGCCGGTGCAGGTGGGAGAGAGCAGAGGGGGCTGCCCTGGCGCTGGGGGGTGCCGGGGGCAGGGGTCCCTGCCGGCAGCCGCAGCCCCGGTTCGGCCGGGCCGGGAGAAGCAGAACCAGAGGTGGCAGAGATGAACTAACGGGGGTTTATTATTGACAGCAGGAGCCGAACGGGGGGCACGGGCTGGGCCCCCCCCGGGCGGGCAGGGACAGAGCTGAGCCCCTGCAGGGACGCTCTCAGGGTGCCTCAGCCCTGCCGTCAGCCTGGGGGCTGCCAGCACTGCCCCTGCCTGCGCGGTGAGGGGAGGTGAGGGCAGGGACAGGCAGGGGCAGGCAGGGGATGGGCAGGGACAGGCAGGGACGGGCAGGGGGAAGACAATGGGGGCAGGACGGAGGGGGCCGAGCTCCACTGCTGGGGGGGGGGGGGGCAAAGTGCTTCCAGTCCACGTTGAACGCAATAAGGGGGGGGGGGGGGGGGGAGGCTGATTCACAGCGGGGGGGTGGGGGGGGTGGGTGTCGGGGGGGGACCCCCCTGTGTTCCCCCCTGCCGCTGTGGGGGGAAAGAAACGCTTTGAGGGACACAGGGGCTCACTGGGGACACTGAGTGACACCGGTGATGGGGGGGGGTGTGACCAGGAGGGGTCATGGGGGGGGGAGTCACGTTACTCCTTGGCCCTGCCGATGATGGCGAGGATGTAGAGGAAGATGTTGATGATGTCTGTGTAGAGGTTGAGCGCGGCGAACACGTACTCCTCGGGGCTGAGCGCCAGCTGCTTGTTCCCCAGGATGAGCTGCGTGTCCACAGCCAGGAACTGCGGCGCGGGCACGGCGTGAGGGGCACAGCCCCGCCGGCACAGAGCCACCGCGCGGCCCCGCACGCAGGGGCACCCACCCAGGGGCAGGCTGAGCCCTGCCGGGGCTGGGGTTGGGCTCAGGTCCCGTCCCCCCCCTCCGCCCCGTGGGATGTGGGGCGCAGGGGGGCACAGGGGGTGGGCAGACTCACGCAGGTGAAGAGCAGGGCGCCCAGCGAGGCGTAGATGATGTCCATGATGCGGTTCCGGATGAAGATGAGGAGGATGGAGAAGAGGATCAGCACCACCAGGCAGATGATGAGGACACCCCGGCACGAGGTGAAGTCGTACTTGGTCTGGGGGGGAGACACACAGAGAGATGGGGGGCGAGGCCCAGTTTGGAGCCCCCCAGCAGGCACCGGGAGGGATGACTGGGGGGTTGTACACCCAGCTTGGAACCCCCCTGCAGTGACAAGGGGGGGTCCTACACCCAGTTCAGAGCACCCTGAGCCATTAGGGAGCAAGTGGGGGTCCTATGTCCCATTCAGAGCCCCCAGCAGGGACAAGGAGAGTCCTATACCCAGGTTGGAACCCCCCCAGCAGGGAACTGGGGGGGATCTTTGTCCAGTTTGGAGGCCCCAGCCCCAGCAGGGATCTGCCTGGGGGGAGACTGGGGGGTCCTGCACCCAGTTTGGAACCCCCAGCCCCAGTAGGAAGCTGGGGGGGGGTCGTACACCCCATTCAGAGCCCCACCAGGGACTGGGGGGGTTTGTACACCCAGTTCAGAGCTCCCAGCAGGAAGCTGGGGTAACACTGGGGGGTCCTACCCCCACTGCAGATCCCCCCCCAGGGGTTGGGGGGTGACCCCCAGCAAACCTGCAGGGAGAAGATGACGACGGTGAAGCAGACGACGACGGTGATGCCCACGGCCATGATGACAGCATCCGTGTTGTAGAAGCTGGCGATCATGCCCACCATGTAGGACAGGCTGAGGGTCAGGATGGACTGGAGGGGGACAGAGGGACACTGTCATGGACAGGGCACCCCAAAGCCATCCCCTGTGCCCCAAACCTGCCCCATTGCACCCCAACCGCCACCCCCTATGTAGGACAGGCTGAGGGTCAGGATGGACTGGAGGGGGACAGAGGGACACTGTCATGGACAGGGCACCCCAAAGCCATCCCCTGTGCCCCAAACCTGCCCCACTGCACCCCAACCCCCACCCCACCATGTAGGACAGGCTGAGGGTCAGGAGGGACTGGGGGTGCACAGAGGAACACTGTCATGGACAGGGCACCCCAAAGCCATCCCCTGTGCCCCAAACCTGCCCCATTGCACCCCAACCCCCACCCCACCATGTAGGACAGGCTGAGGGTCAGGAGGGACTGGGGGTGCACAGAGGAACACTGTCATGGACAGGGCACCCCAAAACCACCCCTGTGCCCCACCCGTACCCCAGACCTGCCCCAGCGGGTAGGACAGGCTGAGGGTCAGGAGGGACTGCGCAGGCGGGCACGGGGACCCCACATCACGGCCACGGGCGCACCCACGTCCCCTGCACCCCAAGCGCAGCACCCACCAGGGCCACCAGGTTCCAGGGGTGCTTGCGGCGGAAGTCCCCGCAGCAGCTCAGCACGATGAGCGAGATGAAGAACACGGCGTAGGACACGTAGTAGGTCCACACGTTGCGCTGCACGAAGCCCTTCACCCCTTTGAAGAAGGTGAAGGCGGCCACGAAGGCGAAGGTGACGCTCAGCTGCACCGTGAGCACCAGGAACACCTTGGGGGGGGGGACACAGGGTGACAGCGTGGCACCGGCCCCCCCGGCGGCCCCCAGGGACGGGGCAGCTCTTACCTTGCGGATGAAGGCCTGGCGCACGCTCTTGTCGTCCCAGTGCGCCGAGGGGAAGTCCTGGTTGTCATAGTACGAGGGGGGCCCGTCCTCGTGGTAGGTGCTGTGCAGGGGGGCTGCGGGGAGGAGGGGGGCAGGGGTGCCAGGGGGGCGGGGGGCCTGCCCGCCCCTGCCCTGCCCCTGCCCTGCCTGCCCCTGCCCTGCCTGCCCCTGCCCTGCCTGCCTGCCCCTGCCCTGCCTGCCCTTCCCTGCCCACTCACCCACTCTGAGGAGCAGGACTCCGGGTCTCCATGGCCCCGGGGGGGGCCAGGATGTGGCTGCAGGCACCGAGGGGAGAGCAGAGATGGGCTTGGGAGCGATCCAGGAGTTGGGGGGACCCTGGGGCTGGGGTCCGGACCCGTGGGGGGTCCCAGGGGCTGGGAGGGCACCCAGGGCCTGGGGTTTGGACCCATGGGGGGTCCCAGGGGCTGGGAGGGCACCCAGGGGCTGGGGGGGCACCCAGGGGCTGGGGTTTGGACCCGTGGGGGGCCCAGGGGCTGGGAGGGCACCCAGGGGCTGGGGTTTGGACCCATGAGGGGGTCCCAGGTGCTGGGGGGGGCACCCAGGGGCTGGGGTTTGGACCCATGGGGGCCCAGGGGCTGGGGGGGCACCCAGGGGCTGGGGTTTGCACCCATGGGGGGTCCCAGTGCCAGGGGGTTCCTGAGCTCTGTGCCCCCAGGTTGGGGCTCCCTCGCTCCCTGCACCGGGCTGACCCCCCCCCCCCCCCGGGGCTGGGCTCAGGACCCGCCCCCCCGGTGCCCCCCCGGTACTCACAGTCCTGGTCCCCGGGCACCATGGGCTGCGGCTGCGCGTAGGGCGGCTGCGCGTAGGGACCCTGCGGGTACGGCCCCGGCGGCGGGTACGGCCCGGGCGGGAAGGGCCCCGGGACCGGGTACGGAGCCGCCGGAGCGGGGAAGGGCCCCGGGGCCTGCGGGAAGGGCGGCGGCGGGAACGGCCCCGCGGGGAACGGGGGCTGCGGGAAGGAGGGGGGGGGCGGCGCGCCCGGCATCCCCTCCCCCCCCACCAGGAAGCTCTTCTCGTGGGACATCGGCGGGCAGCGACCTGCGGGGGGAGACGGAGGTCGGGGGGGGAACGGCACCCATGGGGGAGCGGCACCCATTGATACCGGCACCTAACGGGGAACGGCACCCATGGGGGAGCGGCACCCATTGATACCGGCACCCATGGGGGGGCGGCACCCATTGATAACGGCACCCATGGGGGAGCGGCACCCATTGATACCGGCACCTAACGGGGAACGGCACCCATGGGGGAGCAGCACCCATTGATACCGGCACCCATGGGGAACGGCACCCATTGATACCGGCACCCATGGGGGAACGGCACCCATTGATACCGGCACCCATGGGGAACGGCACCCATGGGGGAGCGGCACCCATTGATACCGGCACCCATGGGGGAGCGGCACCCATTGATACCGGCACCCATGGGGAACGGCACCCATTGATACCGGCACCCATGGGGAACGGCACCCATTGATACCGGCACCCATGGGGGAACGGCACCCATTGATACCGGCACCCATGGGGAACGGCACCCATGGGGGGGCGGCACCCATTGATACCGGCACCCATGGGGAGCGGCACCCATGGGGGAGCGGCACCCATTGATACCGGCACCTAACGGGGAATGGCACCCATGGGGGAGCGGCACCCATTGATACCGGCACCCATGGGGAACGGCACCCATGGGGGAGCGGCACCCATTGATACCGGCACCCATGGGGAACGGCACCCATGGGGGAGCGGCACCCATTGATACCGGCACCCATGGGGAACGGCACCCATGGGGGAGCGGCACCCATTGATACCGGCACCCATGGGGAACGGCACCCATGGGGGAGCGGCACCCATTGATACCGGCACCTAACGGGGAACGGCACCCATGGGGGGGCGGCACCTATGGGGAACGGCACCAATGGGGGAGCGGCACCCATTGATACCGGCACCTAACGGGGAATGGCACCTATGGGGGAGTGGCACCCATGGGGGAACGGCACCCATTGATACCGGCACCTAACGGGGAACGGCACCCATGGGGAGCGGCACCCATTGATACCGGCACCCAGGGGGAACGGCACCCATTGATAACAGCACCTAACGGGGAACGGCACCCAGGGGGAGCGGCACCCATTGATACCGACACCCATGGGGAGCGGCACCCAGGGGGAGTGGCACCCAACGGGGAGCGGCACCCATTGATACCGGCACCTAATGGTGAATGGCACCCAGGGGGAACGGCACCCTATGGGGAACAGCACCCAACAGGGCACGGCACCCATGGGGAATGGCACCCAATGGTGAGCAGCACTCACGGGGAACAGCACCCAAGGGGGAACGGTACCCATGGGGAGCGGCATCCATTGACACCAGCACCCATTGACACTAGCACTCAGGGGGAATGGCTCCCATGGACACGGGCACCCATGGACACGGGCACCCATTGACAGCAGCACTCATGGACAACAGCAGCCATTGACAGCAAGAGTCACTGACACCAGCACCCATGGACAGCAGCAACCAACAGACACCTGACCCATTGACACCAGCACCCAATGGCCACCAGCACCTATTGACCACAGCACCCATGGCCACCAGCACCCATTGACAGCAACACCCACTGGCCACCAGCACCCATGGGCAACAACACCCATGGACATTAACATCCATTGACAACAGCACCCAATGGCCACCAGCACCCATTGACAACAGCACCCACTGGCCACCAGCACCCATGGGCAACAACACCCATGGACATTAACATCCATTGACAACAGCACCCAATGGCCACCAGCACCCATTGACAACAGCACCCAGTGGCCACCAGCACCCATGGGCAACAACTCCCATGGACATTAACATCCATTGACAACAGCACCCAATGGCCACCAGCACCCATTGACAACAGCACCCACTGGCCACCAGCACCCCCTGCTGGCATCATCCCCCCATCACCCCCTGGGACCATCACCATCACTGCCCCAGCCAGCACCCCCATTGCTGTCACCCCATGGCTGTCACCCCCCCATTGCTGTCACCCCATGGCTGTCACCCCCATGGCTGTCACCCCCCCATTGCTGTCACCCCATGGCTGTCACCCCCCCATGGCTGTCACCCCATGGCTGTCACCCCATGGCTGTCAGCCCCCCATGGCTGTCACCCCATGGCTGTCACCCCCCCATTGCTGTCACCCCATGGCTGTCACCCCCCCATGGCTGTCACCCCATGGCTGTCACCCCATTGCTGTCACCCCATGGCTGTCACCCCCCCATGGCTGTCACCCCATTGCTGTCACCCCATGGCTGTCACCCCATGGCTGTCACCCCATTGCTGTCACCCCATGGCTGTCACCCCCCATTGCTGTCACCCCATTGCTGTCACCCCATGGCTGTCACCCCCCCATTGCTGTCACCCCATGGCTGTCACCCCCCCATGGCTGTCACCCCATGGCTGTCACCCCATTGCTGTCACCCCATGGCTGTCACCCCCCCATGGCTGTCACCCCATGGCTGTCACCCCATTGCTGTCACCCCATGGCTGTCACCCCCCCATTGCTGTCACCCCATTGCTGTCACCCCATGGCTGTCACCCCATTGCTGTCACCCCATGGCTGTCACCCCATGGCTGTCACCCCATTGCTGTCACCCCATGGCTGTCACCCCCCCATGGCTGTCACCCCATTGCTGTCACCCCATGGCTGTCACCCCCCCATGGCTGTCACCCCATTGCTGTCACCCCATGGCTGTCACCCCCCATTGCTGTCACCCCATTGCTGTCACCCCATTGCTGTCACCCCATTGCTGTCACCCCATGGCTGTCACCCCCCCATGGCTGTCACCCCATGGCTGTCACCCCATGGCTGTCACCCCCCCATTGCTGTCACCCCATGGCTGTCACCCCATGGCTGTCACCCCATTGCTGTCACCCCATGCCTGGGCCCTGTCTCGGGGTCCCCGGTGCCCGTTGGGGGCCGCGGTTCGAGGCCTGCCCAGGCCCGCTCAAGATGGCGGCCGGCGGCAGGGCCGTTGCCGTGGCAACCAGCGCGCGCCTGCTCCGGCCTGGGGAGGCCTCGGCCACGGCGGGGCCGCTGTGGGGCCGCTGTGGGGCCGCTGTGGGGCCGGCGGCCGTGGCCACCCCCCGTCACCATCCCCGCCCCCTGCCCCGCGCTCGGCCTCCCCTGGCCCGGCACGACCGGAGCCCCGGGAGCCCTCAGCGCTGAGCCCCGGCCTTACCGAACAGCGGCGGCTGCGGCAGGCGGTGAAGGCAGCGGGGACAGGCAGGGGGTGCAGGCAGTCAGTACAGGCAGCAGGGACAGGCAGGGGGGGACAGGCAGCAGGTGCAGGCAGTGGTTGCTGGTGGCGCTTGCAGTCAGTGGGTGCAGGCAGTGGGGACAGGCAGGCTATAGGCAGGGCGCAGTCAGTGGGTGCAGGCAGTGGGGACAGGCAGGCTATAGGCAGGGCGCAGTCAGTGGGTGCAGTCAGTGGGTGCAGGCAGGGGGTATAGGCAGGCTATAGGCAGGGTGCAGGCAGCGGGTGCAGGCAGTGGGTGCAGGCAGGGGGTACAGGCAGGGGGTACAGGCAGGCTATAGGCAGGGTGCAGGCAGTGGATGCAGGCAGGGGGTGCAGGCAGGGGGTACAGGCAGGGGGTACAGGCAGGCTATAGGCAGGGTGCAGGCAAAGGGTGCAGGCAGTGGGTGCAGGCAGGGGGTACAGGCAGGGGGTACAGGCAGGCTATAGGCAGGGTGCAGGCAGTGGGGACAGGCAGCGGGTGCAGGCAGGGCCCTGTGCAGAGCCCCCACCGCGGTGCCGGTGCCGCAGCGCCGGTGGCTCGGGGCCGCCGCAGCCGCCGCCAGCGCCAAGACCTGGCCGCGGCAGAACCGGAGCAGCTGCCGCCGCCGCGTGACACCGGCCCCGTGCCACCGGCAGGGACGCGGGGGGGTTGCGGCACCGCGGGAGCCCCCGGCTGCGGCTGCACCGGCACGGGGGGAGCACGGCAGCACCGGGAGCACCCCGCGGGAAGGGCGAGGGGGTGCGGGGGGGGGGGGCAGCCCCATGGGGTACAGCGGGCACAGGGAGCGGGCAGCGGGGTGAGGGGGGACACTCAGGGCTATGGGGCTGCCTGCCCGTGGGTGCACGGGATCACACAGCACGGGGTGCCGGCGCCATGGGTGCACGGGATCACGCAGTGCAGGGGTTGCAGGACCCATGGGTGCAGGGGATCACACAGCATGGGGTGCCGGCGCCATGGGTGCACGGGATCACAAAGCACGGGGTGCCGGCGCCATGGGTCCACGGGATCACGCAGTGCAGGGGTTGCAGGCGCCATGGGTGCAGGGGATCACGCAGCACAGGCTGCAGGGGGTGCAGGACCCATGGGTGCAGGGGATCACGCAGCACGGGGTGCAAAGGTTGCAGGACCCATGGGTGCAGGGGATCACGCAGCACAGGCTGCAGGGGGTGCAGGACCCATGGGTGCAGGGGATCACGCAGCACGGGGTGCAGGGGGTGCAGGACCCATGGGTGCAGGGGGTGCAGGACCCATGGGTGCAGGGGATCACGCAGCACAGGCTGCAGGACCCATGGGTGCAGGGGATCACGCAGCACGGGGTGCAGGGGCTGCAGGACCCATGGGTGCAGGGGATCACGCAGCACGGGGTGCAGGGGGTGCAGGACCCATGGGTGCAGGGGATCACGCAGCACAGGCTGCAGGGCCCCCGCGCCCCCCCATAAACCGCTTTGCCTGAGCGCTCGGTAAAGCCCCGCCGCGGCCTATTTACGGCAGCAGCGCCCGCGCCCGCGGCGCTAATCCCGGCCCAGATCCCGGCGCTAATCCCGGCCCTCGCCCGCCTCCCCCGCTCCGCGGGGCTCCCGCAGGTCCCGCTCCCGGGGCTCCCCCCCCGCGGAATGCGGCAGCACCGGGAGGGGGGGGGGGCTGTAACCGCGCTCGGGGCGGCCCCGGGGCCCCCGCACTGCCCCCCCCCCCCGCACACACCGCACCCCCCCAGCCCCCGTTCCCGCTGCCCCCCCCCTCCCCGCTCACCGCCCGTGCGGGTCCGAAGCGCTGCGGGAGGGGCGGGGCCTGCGGGAGGGGCGGGGCTAAGGGAGAGGCGGGGCCTGCGGGGAGGGCGCCCCCGTGTGGCGGCAGCGCGGCCTCGGGGCGGGGGAGGCGCTGTTTGTGCCTGCGGGTCCCTGCCAGTCCCTGCCCATCCCTGCCTGTCCTTGTCCATCCCTGTCCATCCCTGCCTGTCCTTGTCCATCGCTGTCCATCCCTGCCTGTCCCTGTCCATCCCTGCCTGTCCTTGTCCATACCTGTCCGTCCCTGCCTGTCCCTGTCCATCCCTGCCTGCCCTTGTCCATCCCTGTCCATCCCTGCCTGTCCTTGTCCATCCCCCCCGTCCCTACCTGTCCTTGTCCATCCCTGCCTGTCCCTGTCCATCCCTGCCTATCCTTGTCCATCCCTGCCTGTCCCTGTCCATCCCTGCCTGTCCTTGTCCATCCCTGTCCGTCCCTGCCTGTCCTTGTCCATCCCCCCCTGTCCCTACCTGTCCTTGTACATCCCTGTCCATCCCTGCCTGCCCTTGTCTATCCCTGCCTGTCCTTGTCCATCCCTGTCCGTCCCTGCCTGTCCTTGTCCATCCCTGTCCATCCCTGCCTGTCCTTGTCCATCCCTGCCTGTCCTTGTCCATCGCTGTCCATTCCTGCCTGTCCTTGTCCATCCCTGCCTGTCCTTGTCCATCCCTGCCTGTCCTTGTCCATCCCTGTCCGTCCCTGCCCATCCCTGCCTGCCCTTGTCCATCCCTGTCCATCCCTGCCTGTCCTTGTCCATCCCTGCCTGTCCCTGTCCATCCCTGCCTGTCCTTGTCCATCCCTGTCCGTCCCTGCCTGTCCTTGTCCATCCCCCCCTGTCCCTACCTGTCCTTGTCCATCCCTGTCCATCCCTGCCTGTCCCTGTCCAGCCCTGCCTGTCCTTGTCCATACCTGTCCGTCCCTGCCCATCCCTGCCTGCCCTTGTCCATCCCTGTCCATCCCTGCCTGTCCTTGTCCATCCCCCCCGTCCCTACCTGTCCTTGTCCATCCCTGCCTGTCCTTGTCCATCCTTGTCCATCCCTGCCTGTCCCTGTCCATCCCTGCCTGTCCTTGTCCATCCCTGTCCGTCCCTGCCTGTCCTTGTCCATCCCCCCCTGTCCCTACCTGTCCTTGTCCATCCCTGTCCATCCCTGCCTGCCCTTGTCCATCCCTGCCTGTCCTTGTCCATCCCTGCCTGTCCCTGTCCATCCCTGCCTATCCTTGTCCATCCCTGCCTGTCCCTGTCCATCCCTGCCTGTCCTTGTCCATCCCTGTCCGTCCCTGCCTGTCCTTGTCCATCCCTGCCTATCCCTGCCTGTCCTTGTCCATCCCTGTCCATCCCTGCCTGTTCTTGTCCATCCCTGTCCGTCCCTGCCTGTCCTTGTCCATCCCTGCCTATCCCTGCCTGTCCTTGTCCATCACTGTCCGTCTCTGCCTGTCCTTGTCCATCCCTGTCCGTCCCTGCCTGCCCTTGTGCATCCCTGCCTGCCCTTGTCCATCCCTGCCTGTCCTTGTCCATCCCTGCCCATCCCTGTCCATCCCTGCCTGTCCTTGTCCATACCTGTCCATCCCTGCCTGTCCTTGTCCATCCCTGCCTGTCCCTGTCCATCCCTGCCTGCCCTTGTCCATCCCTGTCCATCCCTGCCTGTCCTTGTCCATCCCTGTCCGTCCCTGCCCATCCCTGTCCATCCCTGCCTGTCCTTGTCCATCCCTGCCTGTCCTTGTCCATCCCTGTCCATCCCTGCCTGTCACTATCCATCCCTGCCTGTCCTTGTCCATCCCTGTCCATCCCTGCCTGTCCATCCCTGCCTGCCTTTGTCCATCCCTGTCCATCCCTGCCTGTCCTTGTCCATCCCCCCCTGTCCCTACCTGTCCTTGTCCATCCCTCCCTGCCCTTGTCCATCCCTTCCTGTCATTGTCCATCCCTGTCCATCCCTGCCTGTCCTTGTCCATCCCTGCCTGTCCCTGTCCATCCCTGTCTGTCCTTGTCCATCCCTGCCTGTCCCTACCTTTCCTTGTCCATCCCGGTTCATCCCTGCCTGTCCCTGTCCATCCCTGCCTGCCCTTGTCCATCCCTGTCCATCCCTGCCTGTCCCTGTCCATCCCTACCTGTCCTTGTCCATCCCTGTCCGTCCCAGCCCACTGTCCATCCCTACCTGTCCTTGTCCATCCCTGCCTGTCCCTGTCCATCCCTGTCAGTCCTTGTCCATCCCTCCCTGTCCCTACCTGTCCTTGTCCATCCCAGTTCATCGCTGCCTGTTCCTGTCCATCCTTGCCTGCCCTTGTCCATCCCTGTCCATCCCTGCCTGTCCTTGTCCATCCCTGCCTGTCCATCCCTGCCTGCCTTTGTCCATCCCTGGCCATCCCTGCCTGTCCTTGTCCATCCCCCCCTGTCCCTACCTGTCCTTGTCCATCCCTCCCTGCCCTTGTCCATCCCTTCCTGTCCTTGTCCATCCCTGTCCATCCCTGCCTGTCCTTGTCCATCCCTGCCTGTCCCTGTCCATCCCTGTCTGTCCTTGTCCATCCCTCCCTGTCCCTACCTGTCCTTGTCCATCCCGGTTCATCCCTGCCTGTCCCTGTCCATCCCTGCCTGTCCCTGTCCATCCCTGCCTGTCCCTGTCCATCCCTGTCTGTCCTTGTCCATCCCTCCCTGTCCCTACCTGTCCTTGTCCATCCCGGTTCATCGCTGCCTGTCCCTGTCCATCCTTGCCTGCCCTTGTCCATCCCTGCCTGTCCCTGTCCATCCCTGCCTGTCCTTGTCCATCCCTGTCCATCCCTACCTGTCCTTGTCCATCCCTGTCCATCCCTTCCCACTGTCCATCCCTACCTCTCCTTGTCCATCCCTGTCCATCCCTACCTGTCCTTGTCCATCCCTGTCCATCCCTGCCTGTCCCTGTCCATCCCTGCCTGTCCTTGTCCATCCCTGTCCATCCCTGCCTGTCCCTGTCCATCCTTGCCTGCCCTTGTCCATCCCTGTCCATCCCTGCCTGTCCCTGTCCATCCATGGGTGTGACACTGACAGGACAAGGGGTGATGGGCTCAGCCCGGCACAGGGGGAGCTCGGGTTGGGTGCAGGCAGAAGCTCTTCCCCGTGAGGGTGCTGAGGCGCCGGCACAGGGTGCCCAGAGGAGCTGTGGCTGCCCCATCCCTGGCAGTGCTCAGGGCCGGCTTGGACACAGGGCTCGGAGCACCCTGCTCCGGTGGGGGGGTCCCTGCCCTGCCCTGCGCTGCCCGTGCCTGGAGCCGCATCCGCTCTCGGCGCTCCCCGTCCCACGGCTCCAGGACCCCGCCTGCAGCCCCTGCCCCTGCCCGTGCCGTGCGTGACCCGAGCGTGACCCGAGCGTGACCCCTGCGTGACCCCTGCGTGACCCGAGCGGGCTCCCCTCGCGCTCCCCTCCTGCCCCGGGACCCGCACCAGTGCGCATGCGCGGCTCGGCAGGAGGGGGCGGGGCGCTGCCGGTTCCGGGGTCCCCCCGCGCCCTGGGCCCGGTCTGAGCGCGGCGGCGGGGAACGGACGGGAGCGGGACGGGAGCGGGAAGGGAGCGGGACCGGGACCGGGAAGGGGAAGGGAGCGGGACGGGAGCGGGAGCGGGAGCAGGACCGGACCGGACCGGACCGGACCGAGCGTGGGGCTGTGGGGGGTGGGGCAGGGACGCCCCGTTTCGCCTGCCGGGGGGGGGTTGCATCCCTGGGACCCCCCCATCCCCTCCCGGTACCTTTGGTGACCTCCCCCCACCGCCATGGGGCTGCTCTTGGACCCCCACTGCCGCCGGGCGCTCGCCCGCCTCATCGTGCGCCTCAACACCCCCCTCTGGTGAGCGCTGGGGGGCTCTGGGGGGCTGCATGGGGGCTGGGGGGGGCCTGTGTGGGGGCTCTATGGGGGCTCTGTGGGGGGCTGTATGGGGGCTCTGTGGGGGGCTGTATAGGGGCTTTGGTGAGCGCTGGGAAGGCTCTATGGGGGCTCCGTGGGGGGCTCTAGGGAGCACTGGGAGGGCTCTGTGGGGGGCTCTGTGGAGGGCTCTAGGGGGGACTCTGGTGAGCAGTGGGGGGTTCTACAGGGGGCTCTAGGAAGGGCTCTATGGGGGCTCTGGTGAGCGCTTAGAAGCGTCCGTGGGAGGTTCTATGGGGGGGCTCTATGGGAGGCTCTATGAGGGGCTCTGTGGGGGCTCTGTTGAGAGCTGGGGGGCTCTGTGGGGGGTCTCTATGGGGGCTCTACGGGAGGGCTCTGTGGGACCCTCTACAAGGGGCTCTGTGGGGGCTCTGGTGAGTGCTGGGAAGGCTCTATGGGGGCTCTATGGGACCCTCTACAAGGGGCTCTGTGGGGGCTCTGGTGAGTGCTGGGCAGGCTCTATGGGGGCTCTATGGGGGCTCTATGGGACCCTCTACAAGGGGCTCTATGAGGGCTCTGGTGAGTGCTGGGAAGGCTCTATGGGGGCTCTATGGGGGCTCTATGGGACCCTCTACAAGGGGCTCTATGGGGGCTCTGGTGAGTGCTGGGCAGGCTCTATGGGGGCTCTATGGGGGCTCTATGGGACCCTCTACAAGGGGCTCTATGGGGGCTCTGGTGAGTGCTGGGAAGGCTCTATGGGGGCTCTATGGGACCCTCTACAAGGGGCTCTGTGGGGGCTCTGGTGAGTGCTGGGAAGGCTCTATGGGGGCTCTATGGGAGGGCTGTATGGGAGGCTCTACAAGGGGCTCTGTGGGGGCTCTGGTGAGCGCTGGGGGGCTCTATGGGGCTGGGGTGGGCGGGTTTAGTGTGAGGTGCCCTCTCCATGGCAGGGGTTGGAGCTTGATCTTAGGTCCTTTCCAACACAAACCATTCCATGATTCTATGGGGGGCTCTGGTGACCCCCAGAGGGGAGGGGCTCTATGGGGTGCCCCATGCAGTGCCCCCCATGCTGACACCCTCCCCCCCCAGCGTGCTGAGCTATGTGCTGGGGGTGGGCTGGTTCCTGGCGCTGGCGTTCCCCCCCCTGGCCCCCCGCACCTACACGTCCGAGAACGCCATGGGCTCCACCATGGTGGAGGAGCAGTTCGGCCTTGGGGAGCGCGCCCTCGCCCTCGCCCGCGACTTCGCCACCCACAAGAAGAAAGCGGGGTGAGAATGGGGTGAAACTGGGGGGCGGTGGGGTAGGAACGGGGCTGGGGGGGGCTGAGGGATGGGGTTGCTGCAGGAGGCAGGGAGTGGTGGAGGCGTGGAGTGGTGGAGGTGTGGGGTGATGGAGGTGTGGGGTGGTGGAGGCAGGGAGTGATGGAGGCATGGGGTGGTGGAGGCGTGGAGTGGTGGAGGCGTGGGGTGGTGGAGGTGTGAGGTGGTGGAGGCGTGGGGTGGTGGAGGTGTGAGGTGATGGAGGCGTGGAGTGGTGGAGGTGTGGGGTGGTGGAGGTAGGGAGTGCTGGAGGTGGGGGGTGATGGAGGCAGGGAGTGATGGAGGCGTGGGGGATGGAGGCGTGGACTGGTGGAGGTGTGGGGTGGTGGAGGCAGGGAGTGGTGGAGAGTGGGGTGATGGACGCGTGGGGGGGTGGAGGTGTGGGGTGATGGAGGCGTGGGGTGGTGGGGCAGGGAGTGATGGAGGCAGGGAGTGATGGAGACGTGGGGCGATGGAGGCAGGGAGTGATGGAGACGTGGGGCGATGGAGGCAGGGAGTGATGGAGGCGTGGGGCGATGGAGGCATGGGGCGATGGAGGCGTGGAGGCGTGGGGCGATGGAGGCGTGGGGCGATGGATAAGGCTGGGTTGGGCTGGGAGAAGTTTGAAGCTCCTCCAGGTTCAGTCCTGACCCCTTCCCCTGGAGCAGGGTGCTCCCAGCCCCTGTGTCCGACCCGGCCTTGAGCCCTGCCAGCAATGGGGCAGCCCCAGCTTCTCCCTTCAACCCCTGCCAGGGTCCCGGCGCCCTCATGGGGAGGAACTTCCCAAGACCCCTGCTCAGCCTTCACGGGATCCTGGGGTGGTTTGGGCTGAAGGGAACTTAAAGCTCCCCCCGTTCCAGCCCCGTGCCCCAGGCAGGGCCCCTTCCACTGGAGCTGCTTCCTCCAGACCAGCCCTTGGGGCTTTATCTGGGGCTATTTCCGATCCCGGTTTCTCTGAGGTTGGGTTTTCCATCTGGAAGCAGTGGGGTGGGAATGATGCTCCTTGTTCCCCAATGGCAATGGGGGTTATTTCCTGCTGGAGCAGGTCCTGAGGAGGGGCTGAGCGCTGTCCCCAGGACGGGAATGTGGCAGCCGCCAGGTCATGGGATCGTGGAGTCAGGGAATGGGTTGGGAGGGACCTTAACGCCCCTGGTTCCAGTTTGGGATTGAACTGGGACCATGTGGAGAGCAGCTGGGAATGCAGAGGGATGAGGGAGCTGCTCCCAGTGAGGGGCAAGGTTCGAGGGGACCTTCTCCATGTCCAAACCCCTGGTGGAGCCGGGGGGCAGCTGGATCCGGTCTCAGTGTCAGGCTTGGGCAAGGGTTTGTGTCTGATGGAGGTGAGAGGGGAATTCGAGAGGGATTTTACATGGAATTCGAGAGGGATTTTACATGGAATTCGAGAGGGATTTTACATGGAATTCGAGAGGCATTTTACGTGGAATTCGAGAGGGGTTTTACGTGGAATTCGAGAGGGATTTTACATGGAATTCGAGAGGGATTTTACATGGAATTCGAGAGGGATTTTACGTGGAATTCGAGAGGGATTTTACGTGGAATTCAAAAGGAATTTTACGTGGAATTCGAGAGGGGTTTTACGTGGAATTCGAGAGGGATTTTACATGGAATTCAAAAGGAATTTTACGTGGAATTCGAGAGGGGTTTTACGTGGAATTCGAGAGGGGTTTTACGTGGAATTCGAGAGGGATTTTACGTGGAATTCGAGAGGGATTTTACATGGAATTCGAGAGGGATTTTACATGGAATTCAAAAGGAATTTTACGTGGAATTCGAGAGGAATTGGAAGGGGGGAGGATGGGAGCGGGAAGGATGCTGGAGGTGCTCCCGGTGGGGGTCAGGGTGATGCCCTTGATCCCAACCCCCCAAGGCAGCGCCCGGGTGAGGCCGGACCCTGGGTGAGGGGCATCCCCCGAGCGTTCCAGCAGCTCCCTGTGCCGAATCCCCTGCTCGGTGACACTGATGGGGCCACCCTGGGAGCAGGGGGACCCCAGCCAGCGAGGTGCAGGTACCGGGGTCACAGCCGGCGAGGTGCAGGTGCAGGTACCGGGGTCACAGCCAGTGAGGTGCAGGTGCAGGTACCGGGGTCACAGCCAGTGAGGTGCAGGTGCAGGTACCGGGGTCACAGCCAGTGAGGTGCAGGTGCAGGTACCGGGGTCACAGCCGGTGAGGTGCAGGTACCGGGGTCACAGCCAGCGAGGTGCAGGTGCAGGTACCGGGGTCACAGCCGGTGAGGTGCAGGTGCAGGTACCGGGGTCACAGCCAGCGAGGTGCAGGTGCAGGTACCGGGGTCACAGCCAGTGAGGTGCAGGTGCAGGTACCGGGGTCACAGCCAGCGAGGTGCAGGTGCAGGTACCGGGGTCACAGCCGGTGAGGTGCAGGTGCAGGTACCGGGGTCACAGCCAGCGAGGTGCAGGTGCAGGTACCGGGGTCACAGCCAGTGAGGTGCAGGTGCAGGTACTGGGGTCACAGCCAGTGAGGTGCAGGTGCAGGTACCGGGGTCACAGCCAGCGAGGTGCAGATGCAGGTACCGGGGTCACAGCCAGCGAGGTGCAGGTACCGGGGTCACAGCCAGTGAGGTGCAGGTGCAGGTACCGGGGTCACAGCCAGTGAGGTGCAGGTGCAGGTACCGGGGTCACAGCCGGCGAGGTGCAGGTGCTGGTACCAGGGTCACAGCCGGCGAGGTGCAGGTGCAGGTACCGGGGTCACAGCCGGCGAGGTGCAGGTGCAGGTACCGGGGTCACAGCTGGCGAGGTGCAGGTGCAGGTACCGGGGTCACAGCCGGCGAGGTGCAGGTGCAGGTACCGGGGTCACAGCCAGCGAGGTGCAGGTGCTGGTACCAGGGTCACAGCCGGTGTGGTGCAGGTGCAGGTACCGGGGTCACAGCCAGTGAGGTGCAGGTGCAGGTACCGGGGTCACAGCCGGCGAGGTGCAGGTGCAGGTACCGGGGTCACAGCCGGCGAGGTGCAGGTGCTGGTACCAGGGTCACAGCCTGGGATCAGGGGATCAGCTGGGGTAGAAAAGAGCTTCAGGATCACCCAGTCCAGCCCATCCCAGCCCTGCCAAGGCCACTGCTGCCCCATGGCACTGAGGCCTCATCTCCACGGGGTGTGAGCACTCGCAGGGCCGGTGCCTGCAGCCCTGCCCCGGGCAGCCTCTTCCGATGCCTGAGCACCCTCTGGGGCAGGAATTGTTCCTCAGCTCCATCTAACCCTGCCCTGGGGCAGCTTGAGGCCGGTTCCTCTGGTCCCATCCCTTGCTCCAGGCCCTGCACCAGCTCCGTTCCTGCTCCAGATGGGTCAGAGGAGGGGCAGGATCTGCTCGGGGGTCGGGTCAGTGGAGCAGGATCCCATTGGGGTCCGTGGTGCCCGCAGGGATCAGCGCTGGGCCAGGCAGCTCCTGTGGAAGGTCCCTGCCCGGGGCAGGGTCGGGGGGGCCCGGAGTCATCCCAGGGCCACCACAGACCCGCTCGTGTGTGCCCTGCTCCGGGTGGGGGCCTGGAGGCGCTCCCGAGGCCCTGCAGCGGGTGCACCAGGGTGGGGAAGCCCTCGAAGCCCGTTCCCGTTTCCCAACGCGTGTGTGCAGGGGGATGCCCGCGGCCTGGCTGGAGAAGACCATGTGGAGCCTGGGGCTGGAGGTGCATCGGCAGCACTTCTCCCACACGCTGCCCTTCCCTGACGAGAGCCGGGAGCGCTACGTACGTACGGCTGCCGCGGTGCCGCCGGCTGCGGGGGCACAGAGCCCCGTGGCTGCTGCGCGGTGTCACCAGCGGTGGGGACGGTCACTGGCGCTGTCCCTCGGGCCTCGGTGTTGTTCAGTGCCTCCGTTGATGGGTGAGGGGATCGGGGCACCTGAGCACCCCCTGCACCGGGCACCGGGGAGGCCGCACCTGGGATCCTGTGCTCGGCTCCGGGCCCCTCACTGCAAGAGAGACCTTGAGGTGCTGGAGTGGGGCCGGAGAAGGGAATGGAGCTGGAGCAGGGCCTGGAGCACAGGGGTGATGGGGAAGGGCTGAGGGACCTGGGGGGGGCTCCCATCACCCCATTGCCCTGTGCCCCATGCCTGTGCGTCCCCTGCAGCTGGTGCGGGGCACCAATGTCTATGGGATCCTGCGAGCGCCGCGCGCCGCCAGCACCGAGGCGCTGGTGCTGAGCACCGGCTGTGCCCCGGGGCCGCACAACAACCAGGCCGTGGGGCTGCTCCTGGCACTCGCTGCCTACTTCCGGGGTGAGGAGGGGGGAGTTTGTGGGGCAGGGGCCATGGGGGGGTGTGTGGGGCAGGAATGGGGCTGTGTGGGGCAGGTGCTGGGCTGTGGGGTGTGTTGGGATAGGGGCATGCGCCATGGGGGGTGTGTGGGGCAGGGATGGGGCTGTGGGGTACGTGTAAGGTGGGGTTGGGGTCTGTAAAGGGTGTGTGTGGGGCAGGGATGGGGCTATGGGGTACATGTAGGGTGGGGTTGGGGTCTGTAAAGGGTGTGTGTGGGGCAGGGATGGGCCATGGGGTGTGGGGCTCTGTGGGGCAGGGATGGGGCTGTAGGAGGGATCTGTGACCGTGCCTGTGTCCTTCAGGGCAGATCTACTGGGCGAAGGACATCATCTTCCTCGTCAATGAGCACGACCTCCTGGGCATGGAGGCCTGGCTGGAGGCTTACCATGACGTGAACATCACCGGTGAGCAGGAGAGGGGGTGGTGGTGGTGGTGCTGGTCATGGGGTGGAATGGAAGTGGTGCTGGTCATGGGGTGGAATGGAAGTGGTGCTGGTCATGGGGTGGAATGGAAGTGGTGCTGGTCATGGGGGTGGAATGGAGACGGTGCTGGTCATGGGGTGGAATGGAGGGGGTGGTGGTGATGGTGCTGGTCATGGGGGTGGAATGGAGGTGGTGCTGGTCATGGGGTGGAATGGAGGGGGTGGTGGTGATGGTGCTGGTCATGGGGGTGGTGGTGATGGTGCTGGTCATGGGGGTGGTGGTGATGGTGCTGGTCATGGGGGTGGTGGTGATGGTGATGGTCATGGGGGTGGAATGGAGGTGGTGCTGATGGTGGTGCTGGTCATGGGGGTGGAATGGAGGTGGTGGTGATGGTGCTGGTCATGGGGGTGGGTGTTGGAGTGGGCATGGAGGTGCTGACTCCCAGTGGTGCTGAGGCCCCATGGTGCAGTGCCATGCCCGGTGCCAGTGCCCGTGGTGCAGTGCTGTGCTGTGCCCACAGTGCAGTGCCATGCCCACTGCCTGCCATGCAGTGCTGTGCCCAGTGCCCGCGGTGCAGTGCCATGCCCGGTGCCGGTGCCTGCGGTGCAGTGCCATGCCCGGTGCCCGCAGTGCAATGCCATGCCTGGTGCTGGTGCCCGCAGTGCAGTGCCATGCCCGGTGCTGGTGCCTGCGGTGCAGTGCCATGCCCGGTGCCCACGGTGCAGTGCCATGCCCGGTGCTGGTGCCCGCGGTGCAGTGCCATGCCCGGTGCCTGCAGTGCAGTGCCATGCCTGGTGCCGGTGCCCGCAGTGCAGTGCCATGCCCGGTGCCCGCAGTGCAGTGCCATGCCTGGTGCTGGTGCCCGCAGTGCAGTGCCATGCCTGGTGCCGTTGCCTGCAGTGCAGTGCCATGCCTGGTGCCGGTGCCTGCAGTGCAGTGCCATGCCCGGTGCTGGTGCCCGTGGTGCAGTGCCATTCCTGGTGCCGTTGCCTGCAGTGCAGTGCCATGCCTGGTGCCGGTGCCTGCAGTGCAGTGCCATGCCCAGTGCCGGTGCCCGCGGTGCAGTGCCATGCCCGGTGCCCGCAGTGCGGTGCCATGCCTGGTGCCGGTGCCCGCAGTGCAGTGCCATGCCCGGTGCCGGTGCCCGCAGTGCAGTGCCATGCCCGATTCCCGCAGCCGTGCGCTCCTCGGGGCCGCTGGGCCGTGCCGGCGCCATCCAAGCGGCCATTGCCCTGGAGCTGAGCAGCGATGTGGTGACCAGCTTCGACGTGGCCGTGGAGGGGCTCAACGGGCAACTGCCCAACCTCGACCTGCTCAACCTCTTCAACGCCTTCTGCCAGAAGAACGGGCTCCTCTGCACCATCCAGGGCAAGGTGGGACCCACACCCCCCCCCCGGGCCTGCCGGTGGCACCGCGCCTTGTGCCAGCGCTGGGGGGGCACCGGAGCTGAGGCCTGGAGCACAGGGGTGATGGGGAAGGGCTGAGGGACCTGGGGGGTTCAGATGGGGAAGGGAAGGCTCAGGGGGGACCTGATGGCTCCCTCCAAGTGCCTGCCAGGAGGATGGAGCCAGGAGGGGCTGGGCTCTGCTCCCAAGGAACAAGGGATGGGACAAGAGGAACCGGCCTCAAGCTGCCCCAGGGCAGGGTTAGATGGAGCTGAGGAACAATTCCTGCCCCAGAGGGTGCTCAGGCATCGGAAGAGGCTGCCCGGGGCAGGGCTGCAGGCACCGGCCCTGGAGATGTCTGAAGGGGGCTTGGGAGTGGTGCTTCCGTGGCGGCCTTGGTCAGGATTGGTCTCGGCGATGTTCAGGCTCCTTCCCACCCTCCGCAGAGCCAGGGCTCAATGGTTCACGCTGCCCTTTGCTCCGGCCCAGCTGAGCACCACAACCTCTCATCCTCCTTTCTCTTGTCCATGGGGTGATGGGCTCGGGGAGGGACCCAGAGGTGGTTCCTGACCTGCAGCACCCCCTGGGCTGCCCCCCGGCCGTGGTGGTCATGGAGCCACGGAGCTATGGAGCCACGGAAGGGGTTGGGAGGGAGCTTGGAGATCCCGATCCGGCTCCTGGCCAGGGACCCCTCACACTGGAGCAGCTGCTCCAAGCCTGGCATCCCCCCCCCCCCCGCCGGTCTCTGAGGGCCCTCACTGCAGGCAGTGCCCTCGGTGCCATGGGCGGTGCTGGCCACGGTGTTTGCGCTGCCCCCCGGCCCATTGCTGAGCTCCATCCCCATTGCTGAGCTCCATCCCCATTGCCGAGCTCCATCCCCATTGCTGAGCTCCATCCCCATTGCTGAGCTCCATCCCCATTGCTGAGCTCCATCCCCATTGCTGAGCTCCATCCCCATTGCCGAGCTCCATCCCCATTGCCGAGCTCCATCCCCATTGCTGAGCTCCATCCCCACTCCCCCCCTCCCTCCTCATCCCCACTGTCCCCCTTCCCTCCCCACCTCCCTCCCCATCCCCACTGCCCTCCCCTCATCCCCTCTCCCTTCCCTCCCGCAGCTGCAGCACTCGGACTGGGACTCGCTGCCCGCCTACGCCCGGAGCCTGCAGACCCTGCTCCTCATGGTGCTGGCGCAGGCGTCGGGGCGGCCCCGCGGCGAGCACGGCCTCTTCCTGCGCTACCGCATCGAGGCGCTCACCCTGCGCGGCATCAACAGCTTCCGGCAGTACAAGTACGACCTGGGCACCGTGGGCAAGTGAGTGCCGCCGCGCCACCGTGGGGCTGCCACCGTGGGGCTGCCACCGCGCCACTGTGGGGCTGCCACTGTGGGGCTGCCCACGTGTCCCTATGGGGCTGCCCACGTGTCCCTATGGGGCTGCCCAAGTGTCCCTATGGGGCTGCCACCACGCCCCCGTGGGGCTGCCCACGTGTCACTATGGGGCTGCCCACGTGTCCCTATGGGGCTGCCCACGTGTCCCTATGGGGCTGCCACCGCGCCACCGTGGGGCTGCCACCGTGGGGCTGCCCACGTGTCACTACGGGGCTGCCACCACGCCACCGTGGGGCTGCCACCGTGGGGCTGCCCACGTGTCACTATGGGGCTGCCACCGCGCCCCCGTGGGGCTGCCCCTGCACCCCTATGGGGCTGCCCACATGTCCCTGTGGGGCTGCCCCTGCGCCCCTATGGGGCTGCCCACGTGTCCCTGTGGGGCTGCCCCTGCGCCCCTGTGGGTCTCCCCACGTGTCCCTATGGGGCTGCCCCTGCGCCCCTGTGGGTCTCCCCTCGTGTCCCTATGGGGCTGCCCCTGCGCCCCTGTGGGTCTCCCCTCGTGTCCCTATGGGGCTGACCCTGTGCCCCTATGGGGCTGCCCATGTGTCCCTCTGGGTCTCCCCACGCATCTCTCTGGGTCTCCCCATGCGTCCCTCTGGGTCTCCCTACGCGTCCCTATGGGGCTGCCCCCATGTCCCTCTGGGTCTCCCCACGCATCCCTCTGGGTCTCCCTACGCGTCCCTATGGGGCTGCCCCCATGTCCCTGTGGGGCTCCCCACGTGTCCCTGTGGGGCTGCCCCCATGTCCCTGTGGGTCTCCCCACGCGTCCCTATGGGTCTCCCCCCGTGTCCCTCTGGGTCTCCCCACGCGTCCCTCTGGGTCTCCCTACGCGTCCCTATGGGGCTGCCCCCATGTCCTGTGGGGCTCCCCACGTGTCCCTGTGGGGCTGCCCCCATGTCCCTGTGGGGCTCCCCACGCGTCCCTCTGGGTCTCCCCACGTGTCTTTGTGGGTCTCCCCCCGTGTCCCTCTGGGTCTCCCCACGCATCTCTCTGGGGCTGCCCACATGTCTCTATGGGTCTCCCCCCGTGTCCCTGTGGGTCTCCCCCCGTGTCCCTGTGGGTCTCCCCACATGTCCCTCTGGGTCTCCCCACGTGTCCCTCTGGGTCTCCCCCCGTGTCCCTCTGGGTCTCCCCACGCGTCCCTGTGGGTCTCCCCCCGTGTCCCTCTGGGTCTCCCCACGCGTCCCTGTGGGGCTGCCCCCATGTCCCTGTGGGTCTCCCCACGCGTCCCTGTGGGGCTGCCCTGCCTGCCCCCCGCCCCCAGGATGCTGGAGGGAATGTTCCGGAAGCTCAACAACCTCCTGGAGCGCCTGCACCAGTCCTACTTCCTGTACCTGCTGCCCTCGCTCTCGCGCTTCGTGTCCATCGGGCTCTACATGCCGGCCTTCGGCTTCCTGCTCCTCGTCCTCATCCTCAGGATATCCTCGGGGAGCGCCCAGCTGGGGCTGCGGGGGGACCCCAACCCCTCTGCGCTCATGGGGACCGGAGCCGCTGGAGGAGGGGGCAGGAGATGGGAACTGAGAGGGACAGGGGGAGCTCAGCACCGGGGATCAGGTCCCGAGCGGGACAGGGGGAGCTCAGCACCGGGGATCGGGACAGGGGGAGCTCAGCACCGGGGATCAGGTCCCGAGCGGGACAGGGGGAGCTCAGCACCGGGGATCGGGTCCCGAGCGGGACAGGGGGAGCTCAGCACCGGGGATCAGGTCCTGAGCGGGACAGGGGGAGCTCAGCACCGGGGATCAGGTCCCGAGCGGGACAGGGGGAGCTCAGCACCGGGGATCAGGTCCCGAGCGGGACAGGGGGAGCTCAGCACCGGGGATCGGGTCCCGAGCGGGACAGGGGGAGCTCAGCACCGGGGATCAGGTCCCGAGCGGGACAGGGGGAGCTCAGCACCGGGGATCAGGTCCCGAGCGGGACAGGGGGAGCTCAGCACCGGGGATCAGGTCCTGAGCGGGACAGGGGGAGCTCAGCACCGGGGATCAGGTCCCGAGCGGGACAGGGGGAGCTCAGCACCGGGGATCAGGTCCTGAGCGGGACAGGGGGAGCTCAGCACCGGGGATCAGGACAGGGGGAGCTCAGCACCGGGGATCAGGTCCCGAGCGGGACAGGGGGAGCTCAGCACCGGGGCTCAGCTCCCAGGGAGGAGGCAGGGACGCTCCCGGCTGGGGCAGGCCCTGCCCCACAGCTTGCCCATGGTGGGGCGCGTCGGAGCCAGAGCGGGGGCAGAAGAGGGGGCGCCGCGGGGAGGAGCCAGGGGGGCTTCTCCTGCCCGGAGCTCCGGGAGGCCTGGCCCGGGGAGGTGGGGACCGGGCGGCGGCAGGGCTGGAGCGGGACATCTCCTGAGGGTCCCTGCCCCGTCCCATCCTGTCCCCATCTCATCCCATCCCATCCAATCCCTTCCCATCTCATCCCAACTCGTCTCATCCCATCCCATCCCTTTCCATCTCATCCCATCCCCAACCCCTCCCATCCCCATCCCACCCCATCCCATCCCTTCCCATCCAACCCCATCTCATCCCATCCCATCCTTTTCCATCTCATCCCATCCCCAAGCCCTCCCATGCCCATCCCGCCCCATCTCATCCCATCCCTTCCCACCCCACCCCATCCCCTCCCCACCCTCTCCCCACCCCATCCCCACCCCACCCCCATCCCCACTCCTCCCCTCCCACCCCTCCACCCCCCCTTCCCCTTCCTTCCCCCCCCATCCCCACCCCCCCACCCCATCCCCATCCCCACCCCATCCCTTCCCACCCCACCCCATCCCCTCCCCACCCCCTCCCCACCCCATCCCCTCCCCACCCCCTCCCCACCCCATCCCCACCCCATCCCCACCCCCCCCTTCCCCTTCCTTCCCCCCCCCCATCCCCACCCCCCCACCCCTCCCCATCCCCTCCCCCCCATCCCCTCCCCACCGCTGCCCTCCCTGCCCCCATTTCCGCGCTGTTTTCCCTCACGGCCCCGCACGCCCTGGACCTCTGGATGAAGCTGAGCCGGGCGGAGCCGGGCGGCGCGGAGCAGCGCAGCGACAGCGCCCCGGAGGTGGGTGAGGCCCCCCCGCGCCCCCCAGCCGCGCCCCGCACCCGGCCCCTCTGACGCTGTGCCCGCAGGCGCCGCGGCTGCTGGCGCTGGTGCCGCCGGTGCTCGTGTGCCACGCGGCGGGGCTGGCGCTCTACTCCCTGCCCGTGCTGGGCCAGAGCGTGGCCACGCAGCACTTCCCGGTGTCCGAGGCCGAGGCCGTGGTGCTCACCCTCATCGCCATCTACGTGGCGGGCATGGCCCTGCCCCACAGCACCCACAGGTGAGCCCCGGCCCTGCCCTGCCCCACAGCACCCACAGGTGAGCCCCGGCCCTGCCCCACAGCACCCACAGGTGAGCTCCGGACCCTGCCCCACAGCACCCACAGCACCCACAGGTGAGCCCCGGGCCTGCCCCACAGCACCCACAGCACCCACAGGTGGGCTCCGGGCCTGCCCTGCCCCACAGCACCCACAGGTGAGCCCCGAGCCCTGCCCCACAGCACCCACAGGTGAGCTCCGGACCCTGCCCCACAGCACCCACAGCACCCACAGGTGAGCTCCAGGCCTGCCCCACAGCACCCACAGGTGAGCCCCGGCCCTGCCCTGCCCCACAGCACCCACAGGTGAGCCCCGGCCCTGCCCCACAGCACCCACAGCACCCACAGCACCCACAGGTGGGCTCCGGGCCTGCCCTGCCCCACAGCACCCATAGGTGAGCCCCGAGCCCTGCCCCACAGCACCCACAGGTGAGCTCCGGACCCTGCCCCACAGCACCCACAGGTGAGCCCCGGCCCTGCCCCACAGCACCCACAGCACCCACAGCACCCACAGCACCCACAGGTGAGCTCCGGACCCTGCCCCACAGCACCCACAGCACCCACAGCACCCACAGGTGAGCCCCGGCCCTGCCCCACAGCACCCACAGGTGAGCTCCAGGCCTGCCCCACAGCACCCACAGGTGAGCCCCGGCCCTGCCCTGCCCCACAGCACCCACAGGTGAGCCCCGGCCCTGCCCCACAGCACCCACAGGTGAGCTCCGGACCCTGCCCTGCCCCACAGCACCCACAGCACCCACAGGTGAGCCCCGGGCCTGCCCCACAGCACCCACAGCACCCACAGCACCCACAGGTGAGCTCCAGGCCTGCCCCACAGCACCCACAGGTGAGCCCCGGGCCTGCCCTGCCCCACAGCACCCACAGGTGAGCCCCGGGCCTGCCCTGCCCCACAGCACCCACAGGTGAGCCCCGGGCCTGCCCCACAGCACCCACAGGTGAGCCCCGGGCCTGCCCTGCCCCACAGCACCCACAGGTGAGCCCCGGGCCTGCCCCACAGCACCCACAGGTGAGCCCCGGCCCTGCCCCACAGCACCCACAGCACCCACAGGTGAGCCCCCAGCCCTGCCCCACAGCACCCACAGGTGAGCCCCGGGCCTGCCCCACAGCACCCACAGCACCCACAGGTGAGCCCCCGGCCCTGCCCCACAGCACCCACAGGTGAGCCCCGGGCCTGCCCCACAGCACCCACAGGTGAGCCCCGAGCCCTGCCCCACAGCACCCACAGGTGAGCCCCGGCCCTGCCCTGCCCCACAGCACCCACAGGTGAGCTCCGGACCCTGCCCCACAGCACCCACAGCACCCACAGGTGAGCCTCGGCCCTGCCCTGCCCCACAGCACCCACAGGTGAGCCCCTGCCCTGCCACACAGCACCCACAGGTGAGCCCCTGGCAGGGTGCTGGGTGCCCCCATTGACCCCCGTTCCCCGCAGGGTGCTGGGTGCCCCCATTGACTCCCATTCCCCCGCAGGGTGCTGGGTGCCCCCATTGACCCCCGTTCCCCCGCAGGGTGCTGGGTGCCCCCATTGACTCCCGCAGGGTGCTGGGTGCCCCCATTGACCCCCGTTCCCCGCAGGGTGCTGGGTGCCCCCATTGACCCCCGTTCCCCGCAGGGTGCTGGGTGCCCCCATTGACCCCCGTTCCCCGCAGGGTGCTGGGTGCCCCCATTGACCCCCGTTCCCCGCAGGGTGCTGGGTGCCCCCATTGACCCCCGTTCCCCGCAGGGTGCTGGGTGCCCCCATTGACCCCCGTTCCCCGCAGGGTGCTGGGTGCCCCCATTGACCCCCGTTCCCCGCAGGGTGCTGGGTGCTGGGTGCCCCCATTGACCGCCGTTCCCCGCAGGGTGCTGGGTGCCCCCATTGACCCCCGTTCCCCGCAGGGTGCTGGGTGCTGGGTGCCCCCATTGACCGCCGTTCCCCGCAGGGTGCTGGGTGCCCCCATTGACTCCCGCAGGGTGCTGGGTGCCCCCATTGACCCCCGTTCCCCGCAGGGTGCTGGGTGCCCCCATTGACTCCCATTCCCCCGCAGGGTGCTGGGTGCCCCCATTGACCCCCGTTCCCCTCAGGGTGCTGGGTGCCCCCATTGACCCCCGTTCCCCGCAGGGTGCTGGGTGCCCCCATTGACCCCCGTTCCCCGCAGGGTGCTGGGTGCCCCCATTGACCGCCGTTCCCCGCAGGGTGCTGGGTGCCCCCGGCTCGGCGGCGGCGGCGCGGGGCTGGATGCTGCTGAAGCTCCTGGCACTGCTCTACCTGGCGGCTCAGCTCACGGCGCTGGCGCTGCTCAACTTCTCCCTCGGCTTCCTCCTGGCAGTGACCATGGTGCCGGCGGCCGCGGCCACGGCCCCCACCGGGCCCCGGTCAGCACCGCGCCGGGGGGCAAGGGGCTGCAGGGGCACTGGGTGCTGGGTCCCTGCAGGGTGATACCGGGGGTCACTGGGTGCCATTGGGGTCACTGGGTGCTGGGTCCCTGCAGGGTGACACCGGGGGTCACTGGGTGCCATTGGGGTCACTGGGTGCTGGGTCCCTGCAGGGTGATACCATGGGTCACTGGGTGCCATTGGGGTCACTGGGTGCTGGGTCCCTGCAGGGTGACACCGGGGGTCACTGGGTGCCATTGGGGTCACTGGGTGCTGGGTCCCTGCAGGGTGATACCATGGGTCACTGGGTGCCATTGGGGTCACTGGGTGCTGGGTCCCTGCAGGGCGACACTGGGGGTCATTGGGTGCCATTGGGGTCACTGGGTGCTGGGTCCCTGCAGGGTGATACCATGGGTCACTGGGTGCCATTGGGGTCACTGGGTGCTGGGTCCCTGCAGGGCGACACTGGGGGTCATTGGGTGCCATTGGGGTCACTGGGTGCTGGGTCCCTGCAGGGTGACACCGGGGGTCAGGGGGGTCATTGGGGTCACTGGGTGCTGGGTCCCTGCAGGGCGACACCGGGGGTCGGGGGGGTCACTGGGTGCTGGGTCCCTGCAGGGTGACACCGGGGGTCATTGGGGTCACTGGGTGCTGGGTCCCTGCAGGGTGACACCGGGGGTCATTGGGGTCACTGGGTGCTGGGTCCCTGCAGGGTGACACCGGGGGTCACTGGGTGCCATTGGGGTGCTGGGTCCCTGCAGGGTGCCGCTGGTGCTGGTGGCACTGGGTGCTATAGGGGGCTCCCTGTGTTCCTGCTCCCCATAGGGTGCTGCTGGCACTGGGTGGCACTGGTGTCCTCGTGCTCACTGTCCCCGTTCCCCATAGGGTGCTGGGTGCCCCCGGTGTCCTCGTGCTCACTGTCCCCGTTCCCCGCAGGGTGCTGCTGGCACTGGGTGCCCCCGGTGTCCTCGTGCTCACTGTCCCCGTTCCCCGCAGGGCGCTGCTGGCGCTGGTGCTGGTTTTGGCCACCCCGGCCGTGTCGCTGCTCTTGGGCATCTTCCTGGAGCGGGAGCTGGTGGAGGCGCCGGCGGCGCCGGGCGAGGCCTGGCAGCGCTTCCTGGGCGCGCTGGGGCAGGGGCTGCTCCTGCACCACCTGCACGGGGCCTTCCTCTGCCCCCTGCTCGCCCTCGGCACCTACCCCTGCTGGCTGCTGCTCTGGAACGTGCTCTTCTGGGACTGACCCACAGCGCCCCACACGTGGACCCTGAGCCCAGCCCAGGGCCCCCCTCTGCCCCCCAGCACCTACCCCTGCTGGCTGCTGCTCTGGAACGTGCTCTTCTGGGACTGACCCACAGCGCCCCACATGTGGACCCTGAGCCCAGCCCAGGGCCCCCCTCTGCCCCCCAGCACCTGCCCCTGCTGCTCTGGAACGTGCTCTTCTGGGACTGACCCACAGCACCCCACGGTGGGACCCACAGAGAGACCCATGGTGGGACCCACAGAGGGAAGGGACCCACGGATGGACCCACACAGGGACCCATGGCTCAGGAACGTGCACTTCTTGAAGCGATGCCGCTGGACCTGCAGAGAGCCCCATGGACAGACCCACGGAAGGACCCATGGATGCACCCACAGGTGAACCTACATCCAGAGCCATGGATGGGGCCAGAGCCAGCCCCACAGCCGGACACTGTGGCCGTGGGGCAGGGACAGGGACACCAGCCCCAGCCGAGCCCTGGGGTGGCAGCAATGGGGGCGGTGCCAATGGGCCCCATTCCCATGAGGCTGCAGCCCCCAGGGTGCATGGGGGGGGTTCTGTGTGCTGGGGGAGCCTGGTCTCTATTGGGGGTGGGTCCTGGTGGCCCCAAAGGGGGGGGCCCTGTCCTGGGGGTCTCTGTACCGGGGTCTGGTCTGTCCCGGGGGTCTCTGTCCCGGGGGTCTCTGTCCCGGGGGTCTCTGTACTGGGGGTCTCTGTACCGGGGTCTGGTCTGTCCCGGGGGGTCTCTGTACCGGGGTCTGGTCTGTCCCGGGGGGTCTCTGTCCTGGGGGTCTGGTCTGGTCTGTCCCGGGGGTCTCTGTACCGGGGTCTGGTCTGTCCCGGGGGTCTCTGTACCGGGGTCTGGTCTGTCCCGGGGGGTCTCTGTACCGGGGTCTGGTCTGTCCCGGGGGGTCTCTGTCCTGGGGGTCTGGTCTGGTCTGTCCCGGGGGTCTCTGTACCGGGGTCTGGTCTGTCCCGGGGGTCTCTGTCCCGGGGTCTGGTCTGTCCCGGGGGTCTCTGTCCCGGGGTCTGGTCTGTCCTGGGGGTCTCTGTCCCGGGGTCTGGTCTGTCCCGGGGGTCTCTGTACCGGGGTCTGGTCTGTCCCGGGGGTCTCTGTCCCGGGGTCTGGTCTGTCCCGGGGGTCTCTGTCCCGGGGTCTGGTCTGGTCTGTCCTGGGGGTCTCTGTCCCGGGGTCTGGTCTGGTCTGTCCCGGGGGTCTCTGTCCCGGGGGTCTCTGTAACGGGGTCTGGACTGTCCCGGGGGTCTCTGTACCGGGGTCTGGTCTGTCCCGGGGGTCTCTGTACCGGGGTCTGGTCTGTCCCGGGGGTCTCTGTCCCGGGGTCTGGTCTGGTCTGTCCCGGGGGTCTCTGTCCCGGGGGTCTCTGTAACGGGGTCTGGTCTGTCCCGGGGGTCTCTGTACTGGGGTCTGGTCTGGTCTGTCCCGGGGGTCTCTGTACCGGGGTCTGGTCTGGTCTGTCCCGGGGGTCTCTGTCCCGGGGGTCTCTGTAACGGGGTCTGGTCTGTCCCGGGGGTCTCTGTCCCGGGGTGCCTGTGCTGGTCTCTGTACGGGGGGGTCACTGTCGTGGTGCCTCCCTGCATCGCGGCGGCTCTATCGCAGCGGCTCTATCGCGGTGGCTCTGTCGCGGTGGCTCTATCGCGGTGGCTCTATCGTGGCGGCTCTATCGCGGTGGCTCTTCACGATACAATAAAGCCAGGGCTGGGAGCGGAGCTGTTTCATGTGACAGGGTTGGGGATGGGTTAAAACCACCAGAGCTTGGTGCATTGGGTGCTCCCAATGGATGCTGGGTGTTATGGACATGGGGGTGCATTGGGTGCTCCCAATGGATGCTGTGTGTTATGGACATGGGGGTGCATTGGGTGCTCCCAATGGATGCTGGGTGTTATGGACATGGGGGTGCATTGGGTGCTCCCAATGGATGCTGGGTGTTATGGACATGGGGGTGCATTGGGTGCTCCCAATGGATGCTGGGTGTTATGGACATGGGGGTGCATTGGGTGCTCCCAATGGATGCTGGGTGTTATGGACATGGGGATGTGCTGGGTGCTCCCAATGGATGCTGGGTGTTATGGACATGGGGGTGCATTGGGTGCTCCCAATGGATGCTGTGTGTTATGGACATGGGGGTGCACTGGGTGCTCCCAATGGATGCTGGGTGTTATGGACATGGGGATGTGTTGGGTGCTCCCGGTTCCTGGCCGGTCCCAGTTGTGAGCCCAGAGGCTGCTCCCACCGTTCCCTTCACCCCATTCCCTGCTCCTCACCTTTAGCACCGGGAGGAGCCTCCATGGCCTGAGAGGAGAATCTGGAGGCCGTGGTGTAGGTCCTTGTCCCTATAGAGCCCCTATAGCCAGGCTCTGTCTCTGGAGCCCTATAGCCAGGCTCTGTCTCTGGAGCCCCTATAGACAGGCTCTGTCTCTGGAGCCCCTATAGACAGGCTCTGTCTCTGCAGCCCCTATAGCCAGGCTCTGTCTCCGCAGCCCCTATAGCCAGGCTCTGTCTCTGGAGCCCCTATAGCCAGGCTCTGTCTCTGGAGCCCCTATAGCCAGGCTCTGTCTCTGGAGCCCCTATAGCCAGGCTCTGTCTCTGGAGCCCCTATAGCCAGGCTCTGTCTCTGCAGCCCCTATAGCCAGGCTCTGTCTCTGCAGCCCCTATAGCCAGGCTCTGTCTCTGGAGCCCCTATAGCCAGGCTCTGTCTCTGGAGCCCCTATAGACAGGCTCTGTCTCTGCAGCCCCTATAGACAGGCTCTGTCTCTGGAGCCCCTATAGCCAGGCTCTGTCTCTGGAGCCCCTATAGCCAGGCTCTGTCTCTGGAGCCCCTATAGCCAGGCTCTGTCTCTGCAGGCCCTATAGACAGGCTCTGTCTCTGCAGCCCCTATAGCCAGGCTCTGTCTCTGGAGCCCCTATAGACAGGCTCTATCTCTGGAGCCCCTATAGCCAGGCTCTGTCTCTGCAGCCCCTATAGACAGGCTCTGTCTCTGGAGCCCCTATAGCCAGGCTCTGTCTCTGCAGCCCCTATAGCCAGGCTCTGTCTCTGGAGCCCCTATAGCCAGGGTTTGATATCGATTACCCACTGCAGCACGGGTCTGATATCGATTACCCACTGCAGTACGGGTTTGATATTGATTACCCACTGCAGCATGGGTTTGATATTGATTACCCACTGCAGCATGGGTTTGATATCGATTACCCACTGCAGCACGGGTTTGATATCGATTACCCACTGCAGCACGGGTTTGATATCGATTACCCACTGCAGCACGGGTTTGATATCGATTACCCACTGCAGCACGGGTTTGATATCGATTACCCACTGCAGCACGGGTTTGATATCGATTACCCACTGCAGCACGGGTTTGATATCGATTACCCACTGCAGCACGGGTTTGATATCGATTACCCACTGCAGCACGGGTTTGATATCGATTACCCACTGCAGCACGGGTTTGATATCGATTACCCACTGCAGCACGGGTTTGATATCGATTACCCACTGCAGTACGGGTTTGATATCGATTACCCACTGCAGCATGGGTTTGATATCGATTACCCACTGCAGCACGGCTTTGATATCGATTACCCACTGCAGCACGGGTTTGATATCGATTACCCACTGCAGTACGGGTTTGATATCGATTACCCACTGCAGCACGGCTTTGATATCGATTACCCACTGCAGCACGGCTTTGATATCGATTACCCACTGCAGCACGGGTTTGATATCGATTACCCACTGCAGCACGGGTTTGATATCGATTACCCACTGCAGCACGGGTTTGATATCGATTACCCACTGCAGCACGGGTTTGATATCGATTACCCACTGCAGCACGGGTTTGATATCGATTACCCACTGCAGCACGGGTTTGATATCGATTACCCACTGCAGCACGGGTTTGATATCGATTACCCACTGCAGCACGGCTTTGATATCGATTACCCACTGCAGCACGGCTTTGATATCGATTACCCACTGCAGCACCGGTTTGATATCGATTACCCACTGCAGTACGGGTTTGATATCGATTACCCACTGCAGCACGGCTTTGATATCGATTACCCACTGCAGCACGGGTTTGATATCGATTACCCACTGCAGCACGGGTTTGATATCGATTACCCACTGCAGTACGGCTTTGATATCGATTACCCACTGCAGCACGGCTTTGATATCGATTACCCACTGCAGCATGGGTCTGATATCGATTACCCACTGCAGTATGGGTCTGATATCGATTACCCACTGCAGCACTGGTTTGATATCGATTACCCACTGCAGCATGGGTTTGATATCGATTACCCACTGCAGTATGGGTCTGATATTGATTACCCACTGCAGTATGGGGTTTGATACCCGTTATTAGACACTGAAATACGGGCTTCATATTGGTTATTATACAGTGAAATACGGGTTTGATATTGATAACACACTGCAGTACAGGTTTCATATTGATTATTACACACTGAAATACAGGTTCGGTGTCGGTTCTTACACCCGTAAATACGGGTTCGGCGTCGGTTCTTACAACCGTAAATACGGGTTCGGCGTCGGTTCTTACTCCCGTAAATACGGGTTCGGCGTCGGTTCTTACGCCCGTAAATACGGGTTCGGCGTCGGTTCTTACGCCCGTAGTTACGGCTCTCACGGCCGTCAGGGGCGGGGCGGGGCGGGGCGGGGGGCGGGCCGTGTGTGACGCAGCTTCCGCCGCCGGTGACGCCAGTTCCGGCGGCTCCGCTCTCGTCCCCTCGACCTCGGGCCATGGCCGCGGTTCGGGGCCTGGCGCTGCGGGCGCGGCTCCTGCGGCCCCCCCCGGGCTCGGGCAGCGGCGGCGCCGCGGTGAGACCGGGACCGGCCCCGGGCCCCCGGGACCGCCCCTACCGGTTCCCTTCCCCCCCCCCCCCCCGCTGTCCCTGGTTCCCTCCCCCATCCCCCCGGGGTCCCCCCGCTCCCTTCCCGCTCTTTCCCCTCCCCCTCCCCGCCGTTTCCCCGGTGCCCCCCATCCCCCCCCCCCGGTGCCCCCCAATCCCCGCTCCTCTCCCCCCCCTCCCCCCCCCCATTGTGCCCCGTTCCCCCCCACGGCCTTGCTGTGTCCCCTCCCGGCCCAGTGCCCCAAGGGCCCCTCCCCAGCTCAGTGCCAGGGTCCCCCCCATCCCCACCCAGGTCCCCCCCATCCGCACCCAGGTCCCCCCATCCCCACCCAGGTCCCCCCCATCCCCACCCAAGTTCCCCCCATCCCTGCCCGGCTCCCCCCCAGTCCCTTCCCAGGCCCCCCCCCACCCCTTCCAGGGTCCCCCCCATTCCTTCCCAGGTCCCCCCAATCCCTTCCCAGGCCCCCCCCACCCCTTCCCAGGCCCCCCCCACCCCTTCCCAGGGTCCCCCCCACCCCTTCCCAGGGTCCCCCCCAGCTCCCCCCCACCCCAGTCCCGTGCCCTGGTGCCCCCCAGCCTCCCCCCCCCCCGTTCCCCTGGTTCCCCCCCCCTAACGTTGTGTTCCCCCCCCAGGCCCCCCTGTCCTCGTCCTCCTCCTCGCGCCCCCCGCCCCGCTCCCGCTGGGGGCCATGGGGGGGCCGCGCGGCGCTGGCGGCTCTGGGGGCGCTGGCGGCGGGGGGGGGGACCCTGGCGCTGGGCTCGGCGCTGGCTGCGGGGGAGCTGGAGCTGCACCCCCCAACCTTCCCCTGGAGCCACAGCGGGGCCCTGGCCGCGCTCGACCACGCCAGGTACCGGCACCGGGGCCGGGGGGGGGGGGCCGGGGTTGGGGGGCAGCGGGTCCTGAGCGCGGTGCGTGGCCGCAGCCTGCGCCGCGGCTTCCAGGTGTACCGGCAGGTGTGCTCCGCGTGCCACAGCCTCGAGTACGTCGCCTTCCGCAACCTCATCGGCGTCTCCCACACCGAGGCCGAGGCCAAGGCGCTGGCGGAGGAGGTGAGGGCCTGACCCACGGCGGCTGCGACCCCAACTGGGATGAGGGCTCTGCCCCGGCGCAGCCCCGACACCCCGGTGATGGGCTCTGCACCCCCACCCCAGCTCAGGGCTCTGCCCCAGCGCAGCCCCGACACCCCGGTGATGGGCTCTGCACCCCCACCCCAGCTCAGGGCTCTGCCCCGGCGCAGCCCCGACACCCCGGTGATGGGCTCTGCACCCCCACCCCAGCTCAGGGCTCTGCCCCGGCGCAGCCCCGACACCCCGGTGATGGGCTCTGCACCCCCAGCTCAGGGCTCTGCCCCGGCGCAGCCCCGACACCCCGGTGATGGGCTCTGCACCCCCCACCCCAGCTCAGGGCTCTGCCCCGGCGCAGCCCCGACACCCCGGTGATGGGCTCTGCACCCCCAGCTCAGGGCTCTGCCCCGGCACAGCCCCGACACCCCGGTGATGGGCTCTGCACCCCCACCCCAGCTCAGGGCTCTGCCCCGGCACAGCCCCGACACCCTGGTGATGGGCTCTGCCCCCCCCAGCGCAGGGCTCTGCCCCGGCGCTGCCCCGACACCCTGGTGCTGGGCTCTGCACCCCCAGCTCAGGGCTCTGCCCCCCAGCTCAGGGCTCTGCACCCCCCAGCTCAGGGCTCTGCCCCTGTTACCCCGCTGAGGGCTTTGTGCCCCCCGGCTCTGCCCCCCCAGGTGCAGGTCCTGGACGGCCCCGATGAGAACGGGGAAATGTTCCTGCGGCCCGGCAAGATCTCCGACTACTTCCCCAAGCCGTACCCCAACGCCGAGGCCGCGCGCGCCGCCAACAACGGGGCGCTGCCCCCCGACCTCAGCTACATCGTCAACGCCCGGTGAGCCCCGCTGCACCCCCGGAGCCCCACTGCACCCACTGAGCCCCGCTGCACCCCCGGAGCCCCGCTGCACCCACTGAGCCCCGCTGCACCCCCACTGCACCCACTGAGCCCCGCTGCACCCACTGCACCCCCGGAGCCCCGCTGCACCCACTGCACCCACTGAGCCTCGCTGTGCCCACTGAGCCCCGCTGCACCCCCACTGCACCCAGGGAGCCCACTGCACCCACTGCACCCACTGAGCCCTGCTGCACCCCCACTGAGCCCCACTGCACCCCCACTGCACCCACTGAGCCCCGCTGCACCCACTGAGCCCTGCTGCACCCCCACTGCACCCACTGAGCCCCATTGCACCCACTGCACCCCCACTGAGCCCCGCTGCACCCACTGCACCCACTGAGCCTCACTGTGCCCACTGAGCACCGCTGCACCCCCCGCTGCACCCACTGAGCCCCGCTGCACCCCCACTGCACCCACTGAGCCCCGCTGCACCCACTGCACCCACTGAGCCTCACTGTGCCCACTGAGCCCGCTGCACCCCGCTGCACTCACTGAGCCCCACTACACCCCCACTGAGCCCCGCTGCACCCCCACTGCACCCACTGAGCCCCGCTGCACCCACTGAGCCCTGCTGCACCCCCACTGAGCCCCGCTGCACCCCCACTGCACCCAGGGAGCCCCACTGCACCCACTGACCCCTGCTGCACCCCTGCTGCACCCCCGCTGCACCCAGGGAGCCCCGCTGCACCCACTGCATCCACTGAGCCTCACTGTGCCCACTGAGCCCCGCTGCACCCCGCTGCAACCAGGGAGCCCCACTGCACCCCCTGAGCCCTGCTGCACCCCACTGAGCCCCACTGCACCCCCACTGCACCCTCTGAGCCCCACTGCACCCCCACTGCACCCACTGAGCCCCACTGCACCCACTGAGCCCCGCTGCACCCACTGAGCCCTGCTGCACCCCCACTGCACCCACTGAGCCCCATTGCACCCACTGACCCCATTGCACCCACTGCATCCACTGAGCCCCATTGCACCCCCACTGCACCCAGGGAGCCCCACTGCACCCACTGAGCCCCGCTGCACTCAGGGACCCCCACTGCACCCAGGGAGCCCTGCTGCACCCCCACTGCACCCAGGGAGCCCCACTGCACCCACTGAGCCCCGCTGCACCCCCTGACCCCATTGCACCCACTGAGCCCCATTGCACCCACTGAGCCCCACTGCACCCCCACTGCACCCACTGAGCCCCGCTGCACCTCCTGACCCCATTGCACCCACTGAGCCCCATTGCACCCACTGCACCCACTGAGCCCTGCTGCACCCCCACTGCACCCACGGAGCCCCGCTGCACCCCATTGCACCCACTGAGCTCCGCTGCACCCCCACTGCACCCACGGAGCCCCGCTGCACCCACGGAGCCCCGCCTGTACCCGCACTGCACGCAGTGAGCCCCGCTGCACCCACTGAGCCCTGCTCCTGCCCCCCTTGCACCCACTGAGCCCCGCTTGTACCCGCATTGAACTCGCTTGGGCCCTCGTACACCCCCATTGCACCCCCTTACTCCCTGTTAAACCCCCATTTCACCCCTTACACCCTGGTTACACCCCCGTTACACGCCCCTCCACCCTGTTACACCCCGTTAAACCCGTTACACACTCCTCCACCCCGTTACACCCCGTTAAACCCGTTACACCCCTGTTACACCCCATTACACCCCGTTAAACCGTTACACACTCCTCCACCCTGTTACACCCCATTAAACCCGTTACACCCCCGTTACACCCCATTACACCCCGTTAAACCCGTTACACACTCCTACACCCCGTTACACCCCATTAAACCCGTTACACCCCATTAAACCCGTTACACCCCGTTAAACCCGTTACACCCCCAGTTACACCCCATTAAACCCGTTACACCCCATTAAACCCATTACACCCCGTTAAACCCGTTACACCCCACTTTAACCTTGTTACACCCTGTTAAGCCCTGGCTGCATTCCACCAAACCCTGTCCCAGCCCAGTTAAACCCTGTTAAACGCTGCTCAAACCCCATCAAAGCCCAGGCAGACTCTGCCAAGTTAAAGCTGTCAGACCCCATTAAACCCCAGTTACACCCCAATTCCCAGTTAAATCCCATTAAACCCCATCAAACTGGGGTTAAACCTGACAGAGACTGTTAAACTGCATCAAACCCAGGATAAACCATGTCAAATCCTGGTTAAACCTGGTTATACCCAGATCAGACCCCAGTTAAACCACATCAAACCCAGGATAAACCATGTCAAACCCTGGTTAAACCTGGTTATACCCAGATGAAACCCCAGTTAAACCACATCAAACCCTGGCTAAACCCTGTCAAACCCCACCAAACCCCAGTTAAACCCCGTTCAATCCCAGTTAAACCCTGCAAAACCCCAGTTAAACCTCATCAATCCCCAATTAAACCCCATCAACCCCCAGTTAAACCCCACAAAACCCCAGTTAAACCCCACAAAACCCCAGTTAAACCCCATCCAACCCCAGTTAAACCCTGTCCAACCCCAGTTAAACCCCATCCAACCCCAGTTTTAAGCCCCAGTTAAACCCTGTCCAACCCCAGTCAAACCCCACCAGACCCCAGTTAAACCCTGTCCAACCCCAGTTAAACCCTGTCCAACCCCAGTTAAACCCCGTCCAACCCCAGTTAAACCCGTCCAACCCCAGTTAAACCCCATCCAACCCCAGTTAAACCCCATCCAACCCCAGTTAAACCCCGTCCAACCCCAGTTAAACCCTGTCCAACCCCAGTTAAACCCCGTCCAACCCCAGTTAAACCCCATCCAACCCCAGTTAAACCCCGTCCAACCCCAGTTAAACCCCATCCAACCCCAGTTAAACCCCATCCAACCCCAGTTAAACCCCATCCAACCACAGTTAAACCCCGCAAAACCCCAGTTAAACCCCATCCAACCCCAGTTAAACCCCACTAAACCCCATCAAACCCCAGTTAAACCCCGTCCAACCCCAGTTAAACCCTGTCCAACCCCAGTTAAACCCCATCAAACCCCAGTTAAACCCCATCAATCCCCAGTTAAACGACATCAAACCCCAGTTAAACCCCATCAATCCCCAGTTAAACCACATCAAACCCCAGTTAAACCCCATCAATCCCCAGTTAAACCACATCAAACCCCAGTTAAACGGCGTCACACCCCAGTTAAACCCTGTCCAACCCCATCAAACCCCAGTTAAACCCTGTCCAACCCCAGTTAAACCCCATCAAACCCCAGTTAAACCCTGTCCAACCCCATCAAACCCCAGTTAAACCCTGTCCAACCCCATCAAACCCCATCAAACTCCAGTTAAACCCCATCCAACCCCAGTTAAACCCCATCAAACCCCAGTTAAACCCTATCAAACCCCAGTTAAACCCTGTCCAACCCCATCAAACCCCACCAAACCCCAGTTAAACCCTGTCCAACCCCAGTTAAACCCCGTCAAACCCCAGTTAAACCCTGTCCAACCCCAGTTAAACCCCACCAAACCCCAGTTAAACCCTGTCCAACCCCAGTTAAACCCCACCAAACCCCAGTTAAACCCTATCCAACCCCAGTTAAACCCCATCCAACCCCAGTTAAACCCTGTCCAACCCCAGTTAAACCCCATCCAACCCCAGTTAAACCCCATCCAACCCCAGTTAAACCCCATCCAACCCCAGTTAAACCCTGTCCAAGCCCAGGTAAACCCCAGTCAAACCCTGTTAAACCCCAGGTAACCATCAAACCCCAGTTTTAAGCCCCAGTTAAACCCTGTCCAACCCCAGCAAACCCCCATCAAACCCCAGTTTTAAGCCCCAGTTAAACCCTGTCCAAGCCCAGGTAAACCCCAGTCAAACCCCAGTCCAACCCCACCAAACCCAGTTTTAAGCCCCAGTTAAGCCCCATCCAACCCCATCAAACCCCATCAAACCCCAGTTTTAAGCCCCAGTTAAACCCTGTCCAAGCCCATCAAACCCCAGTTTTAAGCCCCAGTTAAACCCTGTCCAACCCCATCCAACCCCAGTTTTAAGCCCCAGTTAAACCCTGTCCAACCCCACCAACCCCAGTTTAAGCCCCAGTTAAACCCTGTCCAACCCCATCAAACCCCAGTTTTAAGCCCGGTTAAACCCTGTCCAACCCCAGCAAACCCCAGTTTTAAGCCCCAGTTAAACCCTGTCCAACCCCATCCAACCCCAGTTTTAAGCCCCAGTTAAACCCTGTCCAACCCCATCCAACCCCAGTTTTAAGCCCCAGTTAAACCCTGTCCAACCCCAGCAAACCCCAGTTTTTAAGCCCCAGTTAAACCCTGTCCAACCCCAGTTAAACCCTGTCCAACCCCACCAAACCCTAGTTTTAAGCCCCAGTTAAACCCTGTCCAACCCCATCAAACCCCAGTTTTAAGCCCCAGTTAAACCCTGTCCAACCCCATCAAACCCCAGTTTTAAGCCCCAGTTAAACCCTGTCCAACCCCATCAAACCCCAGTTTAAGCCCCAGTTAAACCCTGTCCAACCCCAGCAAACCCCAGTTTTAAGCCCCGGTTAAACCCTGTCCAACCCCATCAAACCCCAGTTTTAAGCCCCAGTTAAACCCTGTCCAACCCCATCAAACCCCAGTTTTAAGCCCCAGTTAAACCCTGTCCAACCCCATCAAACCCCAGTTTTAAGCCCCAGGTTAAACCCTGTCCAACCCCATCCAACCCCAGTTTTAAGCCCCAGTTAAACCCTGTCCAACCCCACCAAACCCCAGTTTTAAGCCCCAGTTAAACCCTGTCCAACCCCAGCAAACCCCAGTTTTAAGCCCCAGTTAAACCCTGTCCAACCCCACCAAACCCCAGTTTTAAGCCCCAGTTAAACCCTGTCCAACCCCAGCAAACCCCAGTTTTAAGCCCCAGTTAAACCCTGTCCAACCCATCCAACCCCAGTTTTAAGCCCCAGTTAAACCCTGTCCAACCCCACCAAACCCCAGTTTTAAGCCCC